CCCCCCCCCCCAACTATTTGAGATTGTCCAAGAGATCCTCTACTTCAGACAGCGCGGACTACTACCCCTTCTGCCGCATTAATTTCAACCATGCCTACCAAAGTTCGCAATGGCGAAGAGCCTCCTTTAGACACATGGAAAAATTTCTGGGCTTCGACGAGAGAGCTTCAGAAATTCTCAGAGTACTTTTCAAGGCTCGAGGCAAGCCTGGATGAACTGTCCCGTGCCCGCCTAGAGCTCAAATCCAAGTCAGATGAGCTGGACAAAGCAAAGCAAGCTAAGGATAGTTTATTCATCCAGTTCGAATCTCGCTACAGCGCGTGGAATATTGAGCGCAATAGACTTGACGCCGAGCTCAAACAGTCGCAGCTTAATGCAGAAGAGGTCAATAGGAAACAGTTGCAAGATTTACGTCGCCAGATTGAAGCAACCACAAGGACTTTGACCTTGACCGAGCAAAGGCTTGACGAGACATCAACTTTACTTGAAAGTAAAGACGAAGCGCTACATGCGATCCAACAGCAACTGAAAGATGTTTTGGAAAGAGTGGGCGGAGAGGAAGTGGACGAATTCATGTAAGTCAAACCTTTCTTGAATGTGTTTCGGGTGACTTACAAAATGAAGTCGACAAGAGTTCAATATACTATTCGAAGATCTTGATCGAATTACGAAATTTTACTTTTCTCGTGACCTGCCACCGGGGCTAGAGCCTGTACGTGTCACTCTTGAAACATTTCATGCAATCACGCTTACAATGTGGAAGGACGAAATCTTCAAAATGCTTCAGCAGAGCGGATTCCAAAATCGGTGTACGATTCCGATATCGAATTCTGTTCCCTCTCAATTTTTGCGCATGTACCGAGCTCAGGGCTTCCTAGTGGATTGTCTCCAGAACGAAATTTTCCAAGAGCCCAACGTGGTACGGAGCGGTCGTTTCCCAAAAGATGCTCTTGAGAGACTCAAAGAACTGCCCCATGAAGAGGCTGTGATGCGAACACTCATTCAGAAGATTTATTCATCAGACGAAAAGGAGCATCGCGGCAAGGTCATTTGTGCCAAGGCTCGAGAGCTTGGAGATGTTATGAGCCCCCTTCTTACTTCGACTGATCGAGCACAGTTTGAGGAAGAAGTCATTGCTTTCTTGGAGACAGCTGCATTGGCATGGGACAAATCGCAACGGAAATCTGGCAGGATTTGCACAACTATCAATACCGACATCGGTGAATGGGATGTTTCGCCAATGCCGCCAATATCAGACACCAACAGCGAACTTGGCAGTCCTCCTGAAGAAGATTCAAAATGGGTACTTGTGCCTTACATTTACGTGGGCGGACAAGCCCCATTGAGTCTAATTCGGGGAATTGCTGTCTGGGGTGATGAAGATATGGTGCTTGCCGGTCAACGGGAAGCAGAAGAACAGACACGGCGGACCCGCCCCGCCCTAAGCGCCAGGCTGAACAACAGGAGTACGCGGCGGAGAAATAGTGTCAGTAGCCCCTCTAGAGTAGCTTCCTTGCACAGAGTCGTGGGAAGTATTGGAAGCTCACCACCTGGACACGGTTCGCCACACAGATCCTTCTCTCAGAGGGTGAACTCGCGGGGAATGGAAGAGAAAAGCCTCCCCGAAGCAGCCGTAGCATCTTCTTGAAATGCCTCTCTCGTCCGTTCGCGGTTTGCTTTTGCAAAGGGTAGCTGAGAAGGATATTTCCGCAGGTGCGATCTTTTGTGTTATTTTCGGGCTTCAGTTGCGTGTTCTCTCAAATTTCTGAGGGAAATTTGGCAATCCTCGCGTTTTCATTTTATTCGAAATGCTCTATAATTATGCGTCTTTATATTGAATCTGCTTTAATATACTACATCGATTCTCAAAATTAACATCTCTATAATACCCGTGGTTTCGGGGCTTTTCTGCTCCACTTGCAATATGATTGTCCTGCTATAGTGATGAGAGATAGAGCTGAAATGGTTGCTACATAATGCTCGTCCAGCACGCCCACTAAGCCTTCTTATTAGTTTTCGAGTTCTGTTGCCCTTGGGCTTTTTGATCTTGAGCCTGTTCACTGATCATCAATTCTTCCAGCTCCTGATCACTTAACCAGCTTCTCACGCTCTCCATGATTGTCTCCAAACTTCCATCTCCCTCCATGATATCTTGCAAATCATGCACGGTGATACCACTCCGATGATCCGTCACTCTCTGCTGGTTATAGTTATACGTTCTCACTTTGTCACCGCGACCCATCTTCGCAACACCCACCACACTTCTTCTCAAGCTGATCATTTCCTCTTCTCGCGCCTCACGGCGGGCCTGCGCAATCTTTGCCCGCAGCAACCTCCACGCTTTTTCTCTATTTTTCGGCTGCGACCTGGAATCCTGGATACTCACCACCGTATTGGTAGGCAAGTGAGTCAAACGAACGGCCGAATCAGTGGTATTGACGTGCTGCCCACCCGCTCCTCGCGCGCGCATGATATCTGTCCGCACATCTTTCGGATCTATATAGTAATCGCTGTTCGGATCATTGAACATTTCTTCAATATTCTGATCCGATTCATTGCCATTGCTCGGAAACGAGGGCAAGACCAGTACTGACGCGGCACTGGTATGAACTCGCCCTTTGCTCTCCGTCGCCGGCACACGCTGGACACGATGCACGCCTGCCTCGCAACGCAGAATACCGTATGCGCCTTCGTTTTCCACTTCGAGAATAGCTTCTTGTATGGCATTCGACGCACTGCCTGTCGAGTCCGTTTCTTCAAGCTTAAGGATGCTTCCGCGCAGCCCGCGGTTCGAACAGTACGCTTGGTACATGCGCAGTAAATCTGAGGCGAATATGGCGGCTTCAGAACCACCCGCGCCAGGACGGATTTCGAGAAGGCATGGGAGATGTTCGAAGGGATGAGGAGGGATTAGCGCGAGTTGGAGGCTGCGTGAAAGTTGAGAGAGTTCGTCGGTGGTCAAGGCAATGTCATCGGCGGCGAGTGAGCGCAGCTCCGCATCGCTTTGTTGATCAGTGAGGATGGTGTTAAGTTCGTCTAGTGACTACATTCCATAGGCCAAAGTTGACATATTAGCCTCGAATGGAGCAATACAAGGCGGCCCCGTGGGTGCATTGAACTAACTCACGTTGTTTGCTTTATCCCATGCGCTCAACGCCTGCACGACCCGTGTAAGTTCGCCAACTTTCTTGGCCGTGCCCGTGTCGAAGTCATTCGCAAGTTTATCTGTTAATTTCGTGTGCTCTGCTGCAAGGGATCGCGCGCGATCCAGGAGCGGTTTTGACAGAAATTCTTGCGTTGTGGCTAGATCTAAATGTCAATACTATTTTTATACGCAGAAGAGGTGCGGCTTCAATGGGGGATCAATGGAGGTTCAGTACCGGAGCTATAGAACCGTGCTGGTCGCCGAGTAATAGGGCGAAAAGCCCGCAGAAGGCAGCTGCGACATATCCAGCTGCTGCTTTTGCTGCTGAGCATCGTCCTGTTAAAAAGGGTCTCAATTGGCAGGGCTAGACAACGTGCAGTTATCATTGACCAAAGTTTTGAATCGCCATGTCGCAAACCAGCGGGTCGGTTCGGCGGAAAATCAGCCGAACTCCGATTGCCGCGACAGTCTCCCGTGAGAGAGGATGATGACATGCCGATCTAATTGTTTAGTGGGGTCGACCTACGATGAACTTAAGACGCCATTGGAGATAAGGAGATTGAATGCCAAAGTAGGATAAGGACCCTGAAGAGCGGGGTGTCAGGGGAGAGGGAAGCTCTAGTTATTATATACATTGCTTCTCGAGCTATCATGACACTTTCAACGTACTTCTTTAATACGACAAGAGCGTCCTATACCATTACAGGTACATACAATTGAGCATTTCAAGATTTCAACACTAAGATATATATTATTGTGCGGAACAGTCAATTGAGCGTTAACGTTCAATAACTTGCCCCCTTCATAACGTCCGAGAGCCATCATGCCTCTCAATGCAAGTGCTATATATCCCGCTTCGGACCCGGAATTTATATCTTATCCCAGTCGCCGAAGTGTAGTGCACAGCACCCATGGAATGGTGGCGTGCACTCAGCCTTTGGCCGCGCAGGCTGGGCTGAGAATACTACGAGAGGGAGGCAATGCTGCTGTAAGTATTTGTTCCTTCTTCATATACTATTTCCTGTTATGTTTCAATTTTGTTCCTAACTACTCCCACAAAGGACGCAGCCGTAGCAGTCGGTAATTTCAACCGCCTACTCCATGTATCCTGCAATAGCAACAACAACATTGACTTTTTAAAACACAGCTGCCGCGCTGAACATGACAGAGCCATCTTCTACCGGCATTGGAGGAGACATGTTTGCCCTTTTTTACGATAAAGAATCCCGCAAAGTCCGTGCACTCAATGGCTCTGGCCGATCTGCCTCAAATGTTACTCTCGAAGGAATCCGCAAAGAGCTCGGTATAGCTCCCAACGAGAGCGGTAAAATTCCCATGACGAGTGTGCATTCTGTTACAGCTCCTGGAGCTGCAGCTGGATGGGTAGACACGGTTGAGAAATTTGGTAGCGGCAAAGTGACCTTGTCCCAGATCCTCGCGCCGGCTATCGAACTTGGCGAAGAGGGTTTCCCTGTGTCTGAGCTCTCATCAACATTCGTAGGTGTTATTTGTCCTATGTGGATCAATTTGAAGAGCTGAAGCTAAAATTTCAAAGTGGCGCGCAGGAGAACGCATGCTTCGAAATGCATCACCAAATTTTGCCGAAATGCTTCGTCCAGACCCTAGCTCCCCTGATGGCTTCAGCGCTCCTAAGCCCGGGCAGTTGATGAAAAATGTCAATTTAGCACATACATTTCGACTGCTTGGCGAGAAAGGCAAATCGGGATTCTATGAAGGCTTCGTAGCAGAGTCCTTGATCAAAGTCGTCCAGGACCTTGGCGGACATTTAACTCTCGACGACCTTAAGAAACATATGGAACACGGGAGTGAGGAAGTTGAACCAATATCGCTCAAATTCAATGGACAAGATATTGGCACGGCCCAAAGCCAACACATCGATGGGGAGGACGAAACCTCGTCACACTCTCAGGGCGTAGAAATCTGGGAGCATCCCCCGAACGGGCAGGGAATAGTCGCATTAATGGCACTCGGGATTCTTGAAGAACTTGAACGCACTGGCAAGATTCGAAAATTTCAAGAACATGAGCATAACTGCGCAGAGTATGTTCTCGCTTTTTTATTCTCTCTCCTCGCTCAGAATCCTCCTCTTCTAGAGTCACTTGGCACTAATATCGCTCTTCCTTTGTGACAGATATCTTCACGCCGTTGTTGAATCTCTGCGAATCGCCTTCTCCGACGCTGCATGGTGGGTTACTGACCCAGACCCAGCCTTCTCCCCCGTCACGCCAGCTCAGCTCATTTCCCGATCCTATCTCTCCTCACGCGCCAAACTCTTCGATCCAAAACGTGCCTCGCCGCCATTGTCTCATGGCGAGCCCTCTCCCGCCCATCAGCACTGCGATACCGTCTACTTTGCCGTCACTGACTCACAAGGGAACGGGATCTCCTTTATTAACAGCAATTACGGGGGGTTCGGAACTGCTGTTATCCCGCGTGGATGTGGGTTCACTCTCCAAAATCGTGGAGCCAACTTTGTTTTGTCTCCGCCGACGCACCCAAACATATTCGCTCCGAACAAGAGACCTTATCACACGATTATCCCCGCCCTGGTGACAAACCCCACGGACAACTCGTTGCATACCGTCTATGGTGTCATGGGAGGCTTCATGCAGCCACAGGGCCACGTCCAGGTCTTGCTGAACATGTTGGCCTTCAAATACAACCCGCAAGCAGCTCTAGATGCACCCCGCATCTGCATCGGTGCAGGCACGCCCGAGCAGGGCAAGACCCTCGATCGTACAGTCTATCTCGAGGAAGGTATTTCCGAGGAAACAGCCAACGAATTAAAGGAATTAGGCCACGAGGTAGAAATTGTGAAAGGCTGGGAGCGCGGCCTGTTTGGCAGAGGACAAGTCATAAGGGCGCATTACGAAGACGGAAAAGTCGTGTATAGTGCTGGAAGTGATCCAAGAGGTGATGGGGCCGCGATACCACTATGAAGGACTTACCACAGGATTATTATATAGAGTAATTGTACGTAATGTTTCCAGTAGTGTGGTTGGTGGCCTAGGGCATTTATTATTACCCGTTTCTCCTCTTATCACTTTCATGTCCCTTTCTTATGTGGAAAATAAAAATCACTTTTATAAGCTTGACAGGAGTTACCGCCGATGATTATAGTGGATGCCGAGCGTCATTGGCTCCAGGGCCGAATTTCAGGACAGAAGCGAACTAAACCCAATTGGAAAAGTTATCAGCAGCAGAAACCCTGGGTTATCGCAGTCCCTGAAATTGATTCATCCACGTTCCGCGGGGCTTTGAGTAACATTGGTGACTCACGAAATCACCAGTCTACATATATACCTTTGCGAAGGAACGAGGCAATTCCTCTTCTCTACAGCCGGCTGCTATTAAAGAGGTTGCTTGCGGATTTAAATCTCATTCCGCAAATTCGAAAATTGCCTTATCAATGGCGCTCAAGCCCTCCTCCACGCTCGGGCGTTTGACTCGATCCGCCGCCCGGGGACAAATTCGACACTACTCTCCACCTCTTGAGGGCCAAGTTCCTCATGCGAAAGCAAAATATGTGCCAACAAGTGGCGCATACCCTCAGGGTTTCGTCGTATCCGGAACGCACGTTGGCGTGAAAGCATCCAACACCCGCTTCCCCGATCTCGCTATCATTGCGTCTGAGAAACCATGTTCGGGCGCAGCAGTCTTCACCAAGAACAAGTTTCAAGCCGCGCCAGTGACTGTTAGCAGAGAAGTGCTGCAGAAGCGTGGCGGCAGCGGAATCCGTGGTGTAGTCATCAATTCTGGCTGCGCCAATGCTGTCACCGGCAAGCAAGGAATTGAGGATGCTCGCAGTATGGCTGCCGAAGTAGACAGATGCTTCAGCGCGCAAGGCGAGCCGGACGATGGCCAGGGAAGCAGTACAATTGTTATGAGCACGGGTGTGATCGGCCAGCCGTAAGCCTAATTGCCCTTTCATCTCGCACAATTCTGCGTGAACGTTTCAAGCAACATCAATCAAACTAACAAATTGATATGTTTAGTCTGCCGATTGCCAAGATCCTGTCCAAAATCCCCACAGGCCATGCGAACCTTGATTCTTCCCACGATGCATGGTACTTGACCGCGCGTGCCATCATGACTACTGACACGTTCCCCAAACTCATGACCCGCGAATTTACCCTCCCGTCCACCCCCAACGTGACCTACCGCCTCGCTGGACTGACCAAGGGTGCTGGAATGATTCACCCAAACATGGCTACTCTACTGGGAATAATGTGCACTGACGCGCCCGTTGCTCCCGAAGCGCTCAAGTCGATCCTCACATACGCCGTGGACAGAAGCTTCAACGCTATTTCCATTGACGGTGACACGAGCACCAACGACACAGTTGCGCTTCTCGCCAACGGTGCCGCCGCGCCTCCTACCCCATTCAAGACCATCAAGGAATCAACGCCATACTCAGAAGACTACCTCCAGCTTCGAGACACAGTGACGTCTTTTGCTGCGGACTTGGCCAGTCTTGTAGTGCGCGATGGCGAAGGAGCTACCAAATTTGTGACCATCCGCGTCACGAACGCCGCATCATATGAGGATGCAAAGAAGGTCGCCAGCTCGATTGCTCGCTCGCCACTCGTCAAGACCGCGCTTTATGGAAAGGACGCAAATTGGGGCCGCATTTTGTGCGCCACTGGCTATGCGTCCGAGTGTGGCGTCGACTCCGTCGTCCCTACCGAAACCAGCGTGAGCTTCGTGCCCACCGATGGATCGCCTGAGCTGAAGCTCCTTGTCAAGGGAGAGCCTGAGGCCGTCGATGAGAACCGTGCCGCACAGATTCTCGAGGAGGAAGACCTCGAGATTCTGGTGCGCTTGAGCGAAAAGCCCGGCGAGGAAGCCGTGTATTATACCTGCGATTTCAGCCACGAGTATGTCACTATCAACGGTGATTACCGGACCTAGATATTTCAAGGTGGGATGATTGGTCCTGTTTATCATTCTGATTGTAGGATTATTAGACCATGATTATTTTTTTTTTGTTTTTCATACTGCTAGGTTATCTGTCACAGCGTCATTTCATAAATTCTTCGCCGTTCACTATAGACCATATTTTGGGTCCAAATCTTCTTTTATTGAGCGTTTTCTTCTTTAGCCAAAAGCGTTAGAGTGCGCGGAATGCCGGCTGTGTCCCGTTGGCTTCTCATACAAAATAATCTCATTCCCTCTATACTGAAATTGCATTTTGCAACGTTTTGTAAAAGCATACCGATTCCAATTGCCGGAGAATGTAACTCTTTTAAATGATAAAGACCTACGGCTATTGATTGATGATTGAACACCTGATTGAATTTCACGGAGTTAGCCTTAATAATCATTCAGATAAATCTCCGTGAGCTGCACATGATAAGTAATTTGCAATTGAAAAGAAAAAGGAATAAGTCATGTTGATTATTCTCTCATGCTAGGTCAAAGGGTGTCATTTTTGGGGGCTGAGGCTATCTAATCTATCGATAAAGCTAAGCTCCGGACATCCCACCGCTGGATTTCTGCCGACAAGACTCATCCTCTCGCTTCCTCTCTCCAGATTCCCCGCCATTTGTGCTCGTTATAGTGAGCTTATCGATCACCTGGATTCAATATGGGTCACTTAATTACGGTTGCGACTTGTGCCCTAAATCAATGGGCACTCGACTTTGAAGGAAATACGGAACGCATCATTCAGAGCATCCAGAAAGCCAAAGCAGCTGGCGCGACGTTACGTGTAGGACCGGAGCTTGAGATTACTGGATATGGCTGCCTCGACCATTTCCTTGAAGGAGACACGTTCCTGCACTCATGGGAGATGCTTGCCAAGATTATCGACCATGAAGACTGTCAGGATATTCTTCTCGATATCGGTATGCCTGTAAGGCATAAGAATGTCCGCTACAACTGCCGAGTCATTGTTTATAACCGCAAAATCCTTCTGATCCGCCCCAAGATGTGGCTGGCAAATGATGGAAACTACCGAGAAATGCGCTACTTTACTCCATGGCTTAAACCACAACAGGTTGAGGAGTATTATCTGGAAACAATTGTTGGAAAGATTACGGGACAGGAAAAGGTACCTTTCGGTGATGCGCTGATCAGCACAAAGGACACTTGCGTGGGAGCAGAAACATGCGAAGAGCTCTTCACCCCGGTTGCACCGCATGGACCGATGGGATTAGACGGAGTCGAAATATTTACCAACTCGAGCGGGAGTCACCACGAGCTACGCAAGCTGGACACAAGAATGGAGCTGATACTGGAAGCAACAAAGAAATGTGGTGGCATATATCTTTATGCCAATCAGCAGGGCTGTGATGGAGACCGGTTATACTACGATGGCTCTGCTTCCATTATTATCAATGGTCAGGTAGTTGCGCAGGGCACACAATTCTCCCTCACCGACGTGGAGGTGGTCACTGCCACGGTTGACCTCGAAGACGTGCGGAGGTTCCGGTGTACTCCGAGTCGGGGACTGCAGGCGCAACAAGCACCAAAATATACACGGCTTGAGGTCAACGTGCGACTGTCGAAGAGGGAAGAGGATGTCGATCCACTGATTGGCCCATCGGAGGAGATCAAAATCAGATATCACAAACCGGAAGAGGAGATTGCGCTTGGACCGGCTTGTTGGTTATGGGACTACCTGCGTCGGTCGGGCGCAGCTGGCTTCTTCATCCCTCTAAGCGGTGGCATCGACAGTTGTGCCACTGCAACTATCATTTACTCAATGTGTCGTCTTGTCGTGCAGGCAATCCAAGACGGGAATGAACAGGTCATCAAGGACGCCCGACGCATTGTCGGCGAACCCGATGACTCACAGTGGGAGCCTGCTGATGCCAAAGAGCTCTGTGGCCGGCTCTTCCACACCTGCTTCATGGGAACAACCAACTCCAGCAAAGAGACCCGTAAGCGCGCCAAGGAGCTCGCTCATGATATCGGCGCCTATCACGTCGACCTCAACATTGACTCAATGACCTCGGCCGTGCTGAGTGTCTTCTCGACATGGGCCAAATGGACCCCACGTTTCCGATCCCAAGGCGGAGGATGGGCAGAAAACCTCGCGCTACAAAACATCCAGGCCCGCTCACGCATGGTTCTAGCTTACCTCTTTGCCCAGCTTCTCCCCACTTTCCGCCAGCGCCGCAACGGTGGCGGCCTGCTTGTCCTGGGCTCTGCCAACGTGGACGAATCCCTACGAGGCTACCTGACCAAATACGACTGCTCTTCAGCCGATGTCAACCCCATCGGCGGAATCTCAAAGACCGATCTCAAGGGATTCATCGCCTATGCCCAGCATGAATTCAATCTCCCTATTCTAGAAGAATTCTTAACCGCAACCCCAACTGCCGAGCTCGAGCCCATCACCGAGACATACGTCCAAAGCGACGAAGCCGACATGGGCATGACGTATGCCGAGCTCAGCGTCTTTGGCCGGCTGCGCAAGGTGCACAAGCTGGGCCCCTGGGGCATGTACACCAGGCTTTTACATCTCTGGTCAGACCACTACAGCCCGCGCGAAATTTATGAAAAGACTCGCCGCTTCTTCCACTACTACGCCATCAATCGCCACAAGATGACCGTCCTCACCCCGAGCTACCACGCCGAGCAGTACAGTCCAGATGATAACCGTTATGACCTGCGCCCGTTCCTCTACCCGACCTTTTCATGGGCTTATAAGAAGATGGAGGCCAGCGCTGTAGCGCTCGAGAAACGCATAAGTAGTGCTCGCGGAGGCGGCGCGTCGTCTGCAGAGCAGTAGGTTATAGAGCACTGAATATTAGCAACATTTTGTATATACCCTTCACATAAACGATAATCTGGTAGAATATCATTATCTCATAGTCGTCTTTTACTTTCCAAAACGTCTAATCAAGCGAATTATTTACTTATCCAATTTATATTGAGTGTTTATATTTGTATTATTTTTCTTTGTTATTAGGACCATGAAACACTTCTCTCAATATCTTAAAAGAGCAGAATTATATCTATGGAATTATCCTTAGAATGCTGGTGATCTGCCTAAACTACGCACGTTTATATTAAATTTGTACATAGATGGGTTTTAGTTAATAAGATACCACCTATGCCTAGTCTGGAGTTTGGTTTTTAACTCTTTATCTTTAGGATAAAGACCAACACAGGCTCCCAGACCAAATACCACTACCACCTTGGTGGACACTGCAGACAAAGATCAGAGCAACGGACACCCTATAAAGTAGAATGCATTTCCAGGCTGTTTGTAAGGTAGAGTAGATGTATCAAAAATCCAAATGTCTACATTCCCTTCGCGTCTGAACTGGTTATCAATGTATTTCTAAAATAGATAATATCAATAATGATTATAAACTGGTAGAGGCATGTTTAAAAGACCGACCCAAGGTGGTCTGGACCTATTGTTAAAATTCTATACTTGGTTCGGGTCGACTGTATAAAAGACCAAGGATTTTCTGTGTGCTGGTCCCAGCGGATACCCTAGTCGTAAATATACAGGGAATATAGATATCTAGATACGTCTACTCTACCTTGCAAACGGCCTGGAAGTGCATTCTTAGGGTGTCAGTTGGTCTGGTCTGGCTCGGTTTTGCCTAGAATTTCTACACCAAGGTGGTCTTTGGTCTGGGCTTCTAGGTTGGTCTTTTAAGGTAAAAGCAAAACTCTAGACCAGGCATACACAGAAAGTATGGCGTAGCTTGCTCGAGGTTCGAGTCGGCTTAGATGGACAATCATGATTCATAGGCTCATAGCTGACGAGGTGGATATAAAGCATGAAAAATAATTGCTAACACTTAATTCTAATACCGAAAGTTCTAAGTCACTAGAAGCTATTGCTTCATTGATAAGAGTGTAAGACAAAGATGATAGACTTAGTCAAGCAGAAGATAAAAGTCAAGATATGGATGATCCAGCGCGTAAGAACTCTGCAATAAAACACCAAATATACGAAACAAAAGGCCGGAAAACTCGAAATCATTTTAAATCGTTGTATGTTTTTGGGGATTTCTCGTCAACCACGCAGGTCATTGCAATGAGACTGTACGTGGACGACCGCTCCAATCAAGCGTTCGAGCAGCACTTTCTTCTAGGTCTCCAATGATCATCAATTTATCCAACGAAAAGATCGCCCATAATCGCCGCCCCTCTCCCCGGTGAGCAATAGTCAGGAGTAGTCAAAATTTGCAAGGCAGCCTTCTCGTCATGTTGTCTTTGACTTCTCAAAGTGCATGACAAAATGTCTGGCTGTGAGTAAACGAATTACTGACCCCGCTTTTTAATCTCCTCAAGATACAATGATCATATATGGCCCGGATATATCTTCCCCCGGGTATCCAAGCTGCTTTATAGCACAAGAAAGGCAGCATTGATAGAGTATCATAGTTTTATATTCGTAGTCGCAGGCAAAAAGTTGTGCTCTAGAGTCTCCCTTAGTCTGCACAATTGTCAGTTGCTTGGGTTTATATTTTTTTCTGCTCTTTGGAGGAATAATTGTACTGGATGCAATATAACCAGATAGTTGGGAGACATCCAGCGGCGTAGAAGAACTATGCCCACATGGCAGAGTCCTGCGTGCTGATAGATATCCATTGATGCATTTATGGAGATCAAGCCTAAATACCTGGCCAGAAACACGAGCATCAATATGGAGGGAAAGGTAATTGGCGCGATCTCGAACCGTGATAAGAACTTTCTCAGGCGTACCAAAATTTGACGGGATAATCCATTGGCCACCGCCGATTGATGCTGATGTGTTAAAAAGAGTAGTATCGTGATCTTTGCTACAGAGAATGGCATAATAGTGGTCATTGTAAATAATTTGGCCATCAGCAAGAATCCAAAGACGGTACATGGTCGACGCACAAAGTTCTAATGACTGAAGAGCTGAGTGAAAGAAGAGACTGCCATTCTTTCCGCAGGCTAGGGAATCTTGATTGTGCCCTGAAAACGTATAAAAGAGTGCGCCGTAAAGATCGCTACCTGACAGGCGAGTACTGGCAAAGTCGATGAGAAAATTTGTTGCCATTACACGGCTAGATTGATTAGTTTTATATGGATCGCCTACAATGGAACTCGATCGCCAAAATGAATCTGTATCGACAGTTGCATGTTCTTCGGTTTCAACAAATAAGCTCAAGAATCCGGCATTAATACAACACCTGACGGCGGACCAAAAATGATGCATTGGACAGGGATACCAGCGTTTATCGTCGCGGGATTGGTCCCAAACTATCTTGGGCTCACACAACTGTTTACATTTGCACTGCAAATGGTGAGAAGTTGTCTCCCGACTTGCAATGCCGATGAGAGCTGACAATGCATCGTGGGGATTGTTATAATGAGCAGTTGACAACGAGATGCCGAGAACAGCGTTGCATCGTTTTATAATCGCGTTCGTCGAATAGTGCCCAAAAAGTTCCTGAAGCGGAAAAGAGAGAAATGGGTATTGATTGGAATTGCGTAGTCCATTGCTGCTTGCCTTTGGATTTGCCAATCTTGTGAGAACAAGGAGCACGTGCCCAACCGCCTCCAAAAGCGTTGTCGAACATGGAACTCCAATCCTTGCAAATTCAAGCTGAAGAGCCCCTTTTAGCCACCCGTCCCACTGAAATGCATAATTTCCCGCTGCTTTCGGTCTGATTTGAGAATGATATACGAAAGGCAGCTTCAAATTATTAGAATTATCTTGGGTCCTCAAAATAGTCTCCACTGAAGTTTTGCTGGGAGACAAAGAATGCCTGCCGCCAAGGATCTCGAGGACGATCGAATTACGACGTCCTTCAAAGATGACCATTTTTTCAACCGTAATTAGACTGTCGTCTGGAAACAACATCATGATTATAGACATGATATTGGCCATGCCATGAGTGCCCGTGATACGAACCACCTTCCCCTCGTAGCGAAGTGCCATGGAAATGGATTGTAGGACCTCAACCATCGCATTTGATGTGAGAATGCCGACTAGATTTTTTGGAAAAGGGCTTGAGAGCAGTTCATATATCTTAGATACTTTTTTTATCTGCTCTCCAATTAGATTTCCGAATCCTAAGCAACTCATCTTGTTGTGTAAAAGCTTGCCGGCAACAGCTAGCTGTGCTGCACTTGCTAGAACTTTCTCTGCTGGCAAAAGGGCGCTACTCAAGTCATATAATATTATGCCTGCTGTAGATTCGTCGTAGAATGTGAAAAGAATTGTGCATAAAAGTGCTGCTGTTTGGCCGCCAGCACTTTTTGCCATGAGGGAGGCCGCATCGTTTTTGCGCCAGCCAATGGCTATAGATAATCTTTCAAGGCGAGTTGAAGAGCAGCGCTGAAGATAATCTGAAGTCTTTGCCGCATATGGACCGCTAACCAGAAAGAAGGAGCCCAGTGCTTCCACCTGTATCATGGCAATCGGCGAAACATCATCGGCGGACAGGATTGCGAGCATATTCGTGGCAGCAGAAAGACTTGCAAGGCCGAGATTTCCGATATCAACCTGCATATCAATGCTAATCATTGTGAGACTGATGTTCAACAAGAAGGATAATGGATTTGGTTAAGTGTGAGTCATATACATGCTCAAACCAACATGTCTGTTGTTTAAGGAGGAACTCAATAACACTCGAAGCACAATGAGGGCATACCTGTGTGAATTGCTGCTGCCTGCCATATTAACTACCTGTGAAGGCAGAAAGTTGCCCCATCCAGGTTATTCTCTATCTTTCCGTGTTGTAAGAAACTGAAGTTTTGAGCTTTCAGCAGAAGATAAAACATCTTCTCCAGGCAGAAGGCGGTGTCGCTGAGCTTCCCTGCGCCTCCAGGTCCTCTTGTAATATATACAAATCATGCGTGTATCTATACTTTGGTAGACATCCATGATACTGTAAGATGTTTAGAAATAGTTGTATTTTTCGCGTTTGAACTGGTCACATTGCAATGCCACGTCAGGCCCAGATGAGGCTGAGCAACCACAAGGCTGAAACACAAATGGTACGTAGACTGATGCTTAGTAGCTCTGTATAAGAGATAGTTAACCATAATGTTTCAACATTAATGATGCATATTAGCTAGGTAACAATGATAGACGATTAAAAACCTCGAATTAAGATGCTGAAATGGTTTTATTCCGCTTCAGTATTTATGAGTATATCAATTAAAAAACTGTTGATTATATCTGTGATACCTACAGTAAACTATTATTAGAGCTTTACAAGAAATAAGGGAAGAAATCTTATTGAATTTGAATCAGATGAATAAGAAAGGAGCGATAGTCAACACCACACCAGTTAGCCGTTGACTACCGTCAAGATCTACGGCATTCTTTTATATTTACCAGCGACTAGCTTCATGTTTATAGATTTCTGCACATGTAATCATTCCACCCCGCCGTAGCTGCTATTCGGCGAACCCTCGGGAATACCCTAGCTCCGTACCTCCGATCGTCTCTAGTCAGCAGAGAGCTATGATCTCAAAAACATGCCATACCATTTCCTCACTTCTTTGCACATTTCGCGACAACTCCAATTGTCAATAATCAGAGCTTGAAGCTGATTCAAAATGAACACTGTACGTCAATTGCCTCACTAAAATTGCTTCTAATTCCTCTGACTGGTCATCTTTTTGCTCCGCACCACAGGTCAAATCATTCTGGTATGACATCATTTAACCATAACTCCTCTCGTTTCCCCCTTCTTCCTATCGTCTTTGTGTAAGAGACAGAGTCAATTCTGACAGACGCCTTGCGCGGTGCTTGATAGGCTAGGATGGGGCTCGCTTTGCGTTGGTATGTGCACATTCTTCTCATCCGATGCTTCTGATCGATGGCAATGGGCGACAAAACGATCACCCAACAATACAATCGCAATGCTTGACAAATCGGCGAATAATGATAAAAGCCAACACCTGCTGACTATTCGCTTTTTCCTTCAGCTGGCGGAGTCGCCTACGTTTTCGCCAAGCGCTCAATCAATGAAGACCGCGCTGCCCGTCACGACGCGTACTTGAAGCGCCAGAGACTGATTAGCGATTTGGAAAAGGATACAACATCCCCATCACCGTCGACTGCCCGGAGCTACGATACAGCAGGTAGCCCAAGCCAAGAAGCCAGTAGCGATCCTGCGCCGACGAGACATGAGGCTGAGAATGAAGGCCAGCGGGTACTAGAGAAGAGCAAATACGAGACAACAGAGCCATTTCGGTCGAGGAAAGGAGATAGATTTTCTTAGCGGCTCATGGACTCAAGGCCTTGGGACGTGAGAACAAAGGACTATTGGCGATACACAGGACAGGGTGTATATAATGCTTTATTGAAAGGATGCTAGGGATTCAAAAATTGAAGAAGTGGCATTCGCCTGCAAAGCTTTTCTTTCGCCCGGCCTTTTTTGTGGCGCCGAACTTTCTACGGCGATTACAGTGCAGCTGTTTCATCTCCAACGATTTGTCAATTGCGTCAAAACTGCCTTTAGTAGTCGAAAAACGCAAAAAATATTGTGTATAGGAATTAATCGGCTGTATTGAATATATCATGCCTGAAAAGATCTTTGTGGTCGCATAATTCCACCAAATTAAATTTACTGCTCTTATGCAGCCCACCCAATGCCGCTGAAAATACAATAACTTCGCCAGGAAAAGTGTCCGCTTGAAACGCTAAGACACCATACTCATGTATCGTCGATATCGTTCAAATGATTCAATGCAAATAGCATAACTCCACAAATGCAGTTGTAGTATTCGTATAGGTTTCACCGATGACGGCAGTGGAGAATAGGATGCCGGCTAAACAATATTAGCATCCAAAATATATATTATTTCCATGCCGTGACAGTATTGCGTCACTGAGCTTACCTTGGTCGAGTGTTTTCGCCAGACTTTGCAATCTTATGACTCTCCATCGCGGGAGGCACAAACGGAACAATAGTCGCGGCTATCAGATATCCCATTGCCAGTGCGGAAGCTTTGTTGCTCGCTGGTGCAGCGTGGTGGGAGAATTGGCGAAGCGTTGCACCGACTTGGTGCTGGAATGCCATTTTGTTGTCTTTGTTTTATATTTTTCTTGTGCCGGACGCTGGACGTTGTTCTGGCCTGTGCTCAGCTGCTGCTGGGTATCTTGTCTCTCGTGCACGGTAATATAAAAGCAAGGCACTGAGGAAGTTGAAGATGGTAGTATGTATCTGTAGTAGAATTTACACAATCTAATGGGATGGAGGATCCGAGGGATGCACTCCGTATTTAAAACAAAAGTTCCTACGATGGCGTTATTTCTGGATCTTCGGGTTTATCATCGACAGGTTGATCAGCCCTTCCCCCGCTCTCCCATGTTTTAGATTTCCACAGGTGTCCAAAGCAAAGAAAACGAGTCACACCCGCAGTTGGGCGGTCCATGGCGTGTTAGACACTTACGGAGGATAACTATGGGGACCCTTTGGTCCGTTGGAGCTCGGAGGTCAGATCATCCTCACGCGGTTTCGGCATGGTTGACGCCAGCTAGCGGGGACGACGGGGGTCTGATTGGGCTCGCTTGTCCCACAATTGTTCCCGGCCGCAAAGGACTCCTCGCGCTTGCGGGTCTAGAAGGGGAGGGATCGGATGTAATCAGGGGAGCTCCAACGGATTGCAACATGTAGTCCCTGATCGCACCATGTCAGGGATACTACGTAGTCGGGAGATTGTAAATACCTTTGTTCTGATTCGTTCCCGCGCTGGTGGTCGCATGATCCTTTCGATATTGTCAGAGTACCCGTTGCATCGCGATGCATCATCCCCAGTCAAGGAGAGTCAGTTGAGGAAGTCCCTTTACCTTAGGGAGCGAGGAGTAGGGGGTAGATGTGGACCCTGGTGGACAATGTGCACTGAGCAAGGAGCACCTTTGCGGGCTATACCACTGTAGTATCGTACGAAAATACTGAACCGGAAATGCCGACACCCTGTCTGCGTAGTATACTGACACTGATACTTGAAAAAGCACATGTGATCCGGAATATAAGTCTGAAGATACCGTAGTTGGGGGTCTTTTCGTAGCGTTGTCGGCAGAAAAGCCAGTCTAGTTTGGCTGTTTAGTGACTCACCGCCTTTAAAGTGCCGAGCTGTACCTGTGTAGTGCAAGTAGGACTGTACTATTATCTGTCGCTCTTCCGACTGGTTACTCCCCACTGCCGGCTTGTTTCCCTGATCTGTAGCATCGAGGATCTCAAATTTTGGCCGGATGATAAGGTCTTTAATAGAACTATAATAAATCAAAGGAAGCAACCGAGTAATATGGATTTCCGAGTATCAGTCTTATCTACCTTATATCTCATTGGCTATTTGTGCGTTTTATTTTTAGATGTCGGATGTTGTAGCCTATCTCTCAGTCAATCGGTACAAATGGTGGTGTATCTGATCCGGGAACGAGAATAGTTGCACTGTAAGTCTCATAGTGCCGGTCGATCTATACCTACCTTATATCATTTCAGAGCGAGTAAGGCTCAGTGGGCTCCCTTTTGTTTATCAAAGCCATACATAGATAGGGATTCATATTTAGGAAATTTGGATTAATTTAGTGGAAAGGCGGAAACCAGGCCAATAAATACAACGCCTCGACAGCTTACAGCTGACATGCATTAATGCAGCACATTTGAACAAAATATTTGAAAAAGAAGAAAAGGAAGAAAAAAGCATGATTGACAGAAGTCGGCGTTTGATACATTAAATATTTTGAGACTAGATATCGGTCAGGAAAAAACCAGAATGGGCAAAGTATTAACAAAATGCCCTGGTATTAAAGGCTATCAACTCTCCCGACCCAGTCTTGCCAGCTCCCCTGTAACAAAGTCCTCAGCATTGACCAGTTCTGTACTACCATACACAACCTTTCGCTTGGAGGCGCTGCCGGCAGCACCACCACCACCGCTCGAGCCGCCAGTGCGTTTGGCCCAGTCTTGAAGATTTCCATATTCTTCCATGCTGCCGCCACCGACGGTGAAAACAATTGCTTCGTTGAATCCTTGGCGGCGCTGGCCGAAACTGGCGCCCGTGCCGGGGCCGGCGCTGCTGAGTCCACCTGGCATGCCAGACTGTTGCCCACGTACTTGGGACAGTGGAGGCATGGTGCCTCGAGCATTTGCCGAACGAGGGTCAAAGTAGAGGTAGTTCTCAGTCTTGGCAATGGCAGACGAGGAGGCAGAAGCAGGATCCATTACTGATTCGACAATCTTGGTAATCGTAAGATCCTTGTTGGCGGGCAAAAAGTTTTTGACGCCGGAGATGAGATTCTCAAAGTTAGCGCCTAGCGCTCCATCCTTGAGACGGTCGGTGAGACGATTGCTGATGGAGCTAAAGCCTCGGAAGAGCTCGCCGCCCGCTGATTGTTGGGCTGGCTGTGAGGGTGCAGATGCCATCATTGTCATACGGGTGATTTCGCGAACGCTGGAGGATTGTTAGAGTTGATTGACTTTGGATAAAATAAGAAATATTTCAGGAGGACTCACTTCTTGACGTATGTGAGAGCTGCAGTGTCAACATTCGCCTTTTGCAAGGCGTCTTCGAAGCGTTCCATGTCCGCCCGAGTCAGCTCTTGTTCGGTACTGAGGAACCAAATGATGAACAGTCTCAGCTTGTCAAGAGGTTCTTTGCCCTTGGCTTCATCATTGATAATGTCAAGTATCTGGGCCTTTGTTTGCTTCGTGACGTTCTCCTCAATCTGATAGTAGTTGTCTAGCTGTCGATCCTTGATTCCTTTCAAGAGTGCCGTGGCGATGTTCATATGCATGTCCAAAACCGCCTTCCGCTCCCTTAATTCAGGCAACAGTGTAATGGCAGCCTTGAGATGCTGTGCGGAAGCTCCTGCATCATTTTGTAAGTCCTCAAGTGATGAAGCACCAGTCTTTTTCGTAATCTCGTTTGCGTCGTCCTTGTAGCGCGTGAGTTCTGTGTCAATCTCTTCGGCAACCTGAGGAAACGGCATGCCAGCATTCTTCGCCCAGAAGAAATCGTTGGTATTGAGGTCATACGAGCGCTTTGTTGTACCCTTGGAGGGATTATCTTCGTCAATAAGTGTTTCCACCGTTATCCGATTAAGATGCATTTTAAGAACATCGTGAATTAGAGATTGGTAGGTCCATGAATGCGACAACATAGGAATGAGATCGATACTGCGGTCGAGAATGACAAGGACGGGGCGAGATGAAATGGCACTGCTAGCCGGAGCAGGGCGCGGGCCTGTGTTTGAGAATAGATTGTCCTTGGAGTTGAGAATGTGGTCACGGAGCTTGCGGTCCAATCTCCCAGAGACCATTTCCGCTGGGCCTCCTTTTGGGCAACGGATAATGGGGATGGTTCCTGAAGACTCCGTTAGCAAATGGTCTCGAATGCGCCAGTGGCAACTTACCCATTGTCACGACCACACTAAAAAGACCACTGACGATGCGGTCTATGACCACATCAAGCTCTTCATCTTTGGTCTGCGCAGTGTTGAGAGCCCAATATGTCTCCTTGCCCATGCCCAAGCTGAATAAGTTCGGCTCGCTAACGATGAAATTAAGATACTGGTCAAAAACCTGTGCTATACTATCCGCAGTTCCTGCCGCAGCTGTCTGGGCAGCGAAATCTTCTAGTAGAGGTCGCGGTATTGAGGATAGGAAATTAACGTAGGCTCGAGAATAGAGGCCGCGGGAGAGATCAGAGGTAATGAGCTGTATGTTATCCACTGTTGGTTCGAGCAGATACACGACCGGGACATCGGGAATAGGGTGTCGAGGAGAATTTATGTTCCTGCAGATAATCTCAGCTGGAGCTTCTCGAGCACGGCTATCTCTAAACCCCGCTTTTTATAGACATACAGATGAATGGTAACGCCGCTTGCACGCAAGTCGCTGACCCGTAAGACACTGCTGATGACATCTCGACCCAGATTGTCGAACACCAAAGCCTTCCAGATGGGTTCGCCTTCCGAATTCAATATCGACGAAGGCTGCGGTACTAAGCCATTGGCAATGTGCGATTCGTGCGGTCGGTCCGTGGTAGGTGCGTGATTGAGATTGAGGATCTTCGCAATAGAAGCTGTCAATTTGAAAATCAGCCTGGGAAATTCAGAGCCCCATTTTCATGCTTTGTAAATATACCAACTTGGCGGTCTCGCAACGACTGGTATTGCGAAGCCATGCCGAATGGTGTTCGCTGCGGTACCCGCAGGGATTAGGCCAATATTATGACATGTACAATTGATCTGTGCGCCGTGCAGATTTTGTATAGTATCACAATATGAGAGCTCCTTCCTTGATGAAGGAATTCACTACATGCCCTAATTAAATCTGTTTAAAGTAGCTGTCGCGTTCGTGTCCTCTGGCTAGTCGTCGGCTTCGACAGCGGTGACGCTGCAGCTCCCCCAAGTACCGAAAAGGGATAGGCCTTCATTACTCAATGCTTAGTCATTAAATTTGGCGAGGAGCTTCCTGGCTATCCCCCGACTTCAACTCAATTTCATCCGGCGCATCTGCCCTTCCCATCATTCTCGTGAGAACATCATCCCATCGTCGCGTCCAAAAGGGCGAATCTGTCAAGTGGATCATCGAGGAGAACGTCGATCGTGTGTTTTCGCGTGATTAAGCTCCTGCCGGAGTTAATACTCTCTATTGTGTGAAATTGAAGGAGGAGACATATATTGCGATCGGTGGCGGATGGAGTGAGAAGAAGGGGAGCCGGCGTACACAGCCAACCAAGAAGCAAAAAGGTACTACAATATCGGTCGCTGGAAGGTCAGCAGGCGTACACTATCTGTGACCCTTTGACTGTTTAGAAAGGCGTGACATGCAGTTGTGGCATTCGAGATCTACGGGCTCTTTGATGATACACCTACACGTGTTGGAGCCCCCTCTCGATCGCTCATACACAACCCTTTCTATTCCCTCAGTTTCTCTTTTTCACGTTTGCATCTTCCTTTTCGCCCTAGACTGACCCGGAAAGGGGCTATTTTGCTCCCCGGCGCTTCAAAAAGGCCGCAAATTCAACTATAATCGGCTATAGCGAGAGGAACCAAATCCACCAAAATTGGCGATTTAAGTCTTGGCGCCAGCAACCAGATGTTGCACCTGTGGTTCCTTTAGCTTGCCGTGTGTTGTACGTTTTCTGGGAGATAATCGTGTCGCTGCATTAATTGTTTCTCTGTCTTGCCGTACAAAGTACAGGCACGAAGTTTCTGCCTCGAGATAGACGGTTTTTTCAAGTATCAGTACCACTAACTCATTTCTTTTGCCTGTGCCTACCAGATTGGCATAAAACGACCGCCGTATCTTGTCGGCCACAAACTCCCCCGAGTCAGCCAACCAGCTTGCGACCTCTACAATGAATAATGATAATAATGCTCAAGATCACTTGTTGCGGCAAGACGATCCGCAACAGCAGCAAGCAAATAATAATTCAAATTATTTCTTCTCAAATGTTCCTCTGGGCCCGTACGGTCATTTTCTGCCTCAGGAACAGGAACCTTCTTTTGAGGTTGGCTGGCTAGACCAGTATCAAGCCCCTGTCACGCAACCCACCACTGGTTTTGATCATGTCAACCCTAGCTGGCAGGACACACCATTGCAGCAAATAAATCCAACCTCAAATCCTAATTTTCAATTACAACCTGGGAACTATGGAAGAAGCTCATTTTCCCATAGCCCCGCTTCTTTTAGTCCTTCACCCTATCAAAATCAGTTGGGTCATCCCTTCGTGGCTCCTCCATATGATGGCGCTGCTACTTTTGGAGATATTCACTCCCCGGTCCGACAACCAGTTGCTGCAGCGGAGCCTCTGTCATTTTCCGCGTCAAGTAATCACGGGCCTACCATCTCCCCTCATGCGTTACAGCAAAGCCCTAATCAATATGCGGACCCGTCCGTCCTCCATCCAGGATTCCAGGTGCGTTGGATCAGGATTTCGTTATACGAATTTTCTTGAATAGGGCTGGATCACAATACTGACGCTTTGATGTAGGTGCCAGCTCAGAGGCCGACTAATGAATATGTCTCAGCAAATGCCTCCAACTTTCGTCCCATCTCTCCCGCTAAAGCCGTCAGACCTGTGGCCGCTGCTTCCCCAGTCCCTGTGCAGCAGGCTTCTCAAGCAGAAGCTGGCAAGAGTACTCCAAGGTTGGAGGGCAGTCCTCCAAAGCAAGTGTACAAACTTCCACCATTCAAGCCTTACGACAATGGAAAGGCGGAGTTTGTAATTGCCGACTTAGCTCAAATCACCGCTACTACAAATTCTCATGCTTTGAATAAATTTCTCGCTTTGGGAAAGGAACCCATCAATCTAGATACCTCCAAGAGTATGTATCATAATAGCAAATACATGAATCACAACATCAATAAACAATCTGACGATCTCAACTCAGCAACCCTGCCCAGATGGCAGCGTCGTCTATCCAGAAATGAAATTAAGCGTCGAACTGGTACGTATTGAACCTGGTCCTGGCTCTATGCCCACATTGTATTGAGCATGGCAACCCATGCTAATTTAACGCCCTAGGTCTTGCGCCAAGTCAAGCGAAACAGGCTCATACGAAGAAAACCAAAGCAGCAAAGGAGGTTGCAGCGCGTACTAACAAAGCAGATGCTCCATCTCAATTTACCACGGAAGCCAAGGACGAATCCTCGGAGTCATCAAGCGAATCAGACGAAGATGAGTCCGAATACTCGTCCTCCGAGGAAGAGGAACCCGAAGACCCACTTCCCAAAATGCGTCCTGTAGATGCAAGAGAAGGAATGAAATGGGATGTTGGGAAAGCTGTATTTCTGACTCGGTCGCGTCCGGCATCAGGAAATGAAATCCGTGAGGCCCTCAAGAAGATTTGGGACATCATGCTCATTGTACGGGATAAATGGAAGGCCGCTTTATTCGCCGTAAAGCAAGCCGAAGAAAAGAAGAAGCCAGAACTTCCAAAACTAAAAGAGCAACTCAAGTCACAACGAAATCTTGTTGAAGCGGCAATTCAAGCCACATCTCAATACGGACATCCAGATGTTATCAAAGTGTAAGCTTCTGCTCCTCTCTCCATTGTTTATCGCTTTCCATCTTTCCCAGTTTCCCTCAACATCCGAGAACTAAGGATTGTGGGATCTCTTCAAAAATATTTCGAACGGGAGAAATCGATGATAGAGTTTCTAGCTGACGATTCGATAGGCTTGGGCAAAATAAACCCTTGTTGTTGTTCCTCTATCAAATGCTAGGTGACCGCGTCAGGGAGGCTGATTACGACGCTACTATATGCGTAGCCATCCTCGAGGTAATGTGATAGTCTGAAATGAAAAACGCGGTTCATACAGGCTAATTATTCCAAAAGTTACTCACTCATTGCGGAATAAATGAAATTACGCTCGCTGAGACAAAACTTGACAAAGTCATGCTGCGGTTTTCGAAGAAAGGAAATGATACGGCGAAAAAGTATACGCAGATCATCTTGGATAATGCTGCAGCCGAAACTAAACGAAAGGCGGAAACCGTCAAGCCCAACACTGCATCTGTACCGAAAGAGAAAGATGGTAAAGGTCAAACGTTACCAGTCATCAGACCTGCCGAAGCTGTGGTTGGGGTTAAGCGATCCAGAGAAGGGGAAGGAAAGGTTGAACCGCCACAAAAAAGGGCAGCGACAACTCTCACTCCGGCTGCATCCACGACCACAGCTGCTACTAAGAATGGAACTGCATCTGCAAAGCGGGCCATCACCCCTAATGCGGAAGCAAAACCGCAAATTACTGCCACTACTTCAATAACTGCGAAGCCAAAACCGAGCCAAGCCGCAGCCAGACCGTCAGGGTTCTTTTCAAGTCTGGCATCAGCTTCGAAGAAGCCTGGCACGTCTAATGCAGCCCTTGCGGCAGCGCAAAAGATGCAGCAGAAAGATAGCCAGATTGTATCCGAGAAAAAGCCAGCAGCTCCAGCACCTCCTCCGAAACCAGCGTTTTCTTTCGCTGAGACCATGGCTAATTTGACGAAGCCCAAAGAACCTGAACCTTCAGCTAAGCCCGTAGATAAGGGTCCTCCGGAAACTGAAGAACAGAGGCGTAAACGTATCCGCAAGGAGGAGCGTCGGAAGCTTCGAGTATCCTTTAAGCCGGAAGGCACTCTTGTAGAAGTTCGCTTATTCACTCATGACCCCGAAGAAGAAATCGGCCACGAAGATAGTATGATGCGAGACGTAGGCGATGTCGGCGGAGAAGGGAGAATGTTCAAGCAGCACAAAGACATGGATGTCATGGACGAAGATGATGAACCTGTTATTGAACAACAGTTCCGAGCTCATGAGCCCATTTTGAGTATGCTCTACCCTTTGTCATTAGTGTCGTTGGTATCCCCGATAATTGATGGAAGCTTATTTTGCAATTTAGTGGTCGACTTTGATGTTATTGATCCTGAGGAGCGGCAGCGAAATTATTGTTCCCGCAGTGGACTCAGGACGATAGAGAGTCAGGAGCGTAACGTGCAGGAGCAACGTGAAACAACTTCTTTGTCTGTCATTTATACCTCACCTGAAGACATTCCGCCATCACCTCGCGAGCCATCAGAACCGTTTGTTGGTACAAATAAAGAGCCAACTGAGTTTGGCGCGCCTTCAGATTTAGTCAAGGTTAGTCATGTCTCGTCCTTTACGCATTCACTACCTAATCTTACTGTCAATCATAGGAGAGAGAAGCTTTGGTTCTGACCAGAAAGTTTTCTGCTTCCAAAAAACAGCAACAGCAGCAGAAGGAACAACAACAACAACAACAACAACAACAACAACAACAACAACAACAACAACAACAACAACGTGTAACATCTCAATCTCAACCCAGTCAAGCGCCCTCTGTCCCTGCGGATAACGGTGGCATTTCTGCAATCTTGCAAGCACTAAGTGGCGTCCAAGCACAACCGCAAGCACAACCTCAACCTCAGCTGCAACAGCAACCCTTTCAGAGACCCGCGAGCGAACTTGAGAAGGTTTTCGCCATGTTTTCCAATCCTGGCCTGCAACAGCAGCAACAGACTTCGACCCCTCCGCCGCTGCCTCCACAGCCGACTGTCCCGCAACCGGCTGTCTCCCAAGGCTTCGATCTAGGAGCGTTGCTTGCCTCAATTCCTCAGCAACAGCAGCAGCAGCAGCAGCAACAAGCTCAAACTCCGCAGGTGCCCCAGATGCCTCAGCTTCAAGCCATTCTCGCCTCGCTTGGACAGCAACCTCAACAAGCCCCACAACAGCCATTCCCTGGTTTTGGTTTGCCCAACTTCAATCAAGCTGGCCAGCAGCAACAACAACAGCAGAATCAATTTCCCTGGCCAGGCTTCCCTGCAATGGGTGGTAATATGGGAACGAACATGGATAGTGGCAGTGGCGGGCGATCCACTCAAGATGATCGGAGTCATAGTCATGCTGGTGGTAATGATTGGAGAGGCCCAACTATGAATGGAAAGATTACAAAGTCCGGAAAACCCATCAAGATGGTACGTGTCTGTTCCCTGATGACGAAATCTGATCCGACTGTTCAGTGCAGTGCTAATATCTGCTGTAGAGCAAGTACAAACAACTACCTTGCAAATTCTGGAAAGAAGGCAAATGCAAAAAGGGCGACGATTGCTCGTTCCTGCACGACGAGAAATATTAATCGCTAGACGATGTTCTCTATATTTCTCCGATTTGAAAGCAACAACGGTTGTCCTCTTCCTACATTTACACAATTTTCTCGGCCATTTTCATCCCTCTTGTTACATATTCCTCGCCTCTCTTATCGATGATACCGTGGGCGAGCCGCTTCTTCTCATCACGACTTGTTCAACTTCCACCATTCTACCTCGTTCAGCTCTCGCAATTTTTCTTTGCTTTTAACTACAGCGAGAATCTGTATTCATATGCTGCATCAATACGGAGCGGGAAAAAACTTATTCTTACATAGTCGTCTCATCTATTTGTTCTGTTACAACGGCATTTGCACAGCGGCGTCATGAGATACGGGAGTTTCTTTGTATCTGGACTCTTATTTTTTCCACCTCTTCTTTGCTCGTTATTGATCTCTCCTCTGGCTATTTATTGGACCACTAAATCTTGATCAGTTTATTTGCTTTGGACTTTCCGCCTTTTCCTGTGCTATTTCTCACATTTGATCTACCAAGCTCGGTTTTCTCACATATCTTTTTCTATTTCCTCCATCATGTGACAGTATCTCCCTTTTTTCTTTTCAAACTTACATTTGCGAACATTTTCGTCACTCTAGCAGAGCGGATGGAAAATATAAGCGGCAAGCCTTATCTCTTATGTTCAGCAGTCGCGTTATTCCCTTTGGAGCTTGTGGATTTCGCAGAGAAGGAGCACGTGTATTACTCCATAGCACTTTTTATATTATAGTAGTAGCGGCATAGATATTGTTAGTTGCCGCAAAGGCATGTCTCATCAGAACGAATTACAAATTGCTCTCAATAAGGATCCGTGTGATTGTGGCTTTGTTTGTCAATATAAGACGAAAAGAGCCGTCTCGACAACAGATGTATGGAAGAAAAGAGGACAGATGCGTAAAGTTACTTCATTTTGTAATTTGATATTTGTCTCTAACCATACAGTGGATTTTGGGTGACATGTAACAGTTTGCTTGTTGCTTGGTATTTTGCGTATTCTGCGTTACTGTGAATTTTGAGCCGAATTTGAGCCGATGATGATGATGTCATGAGAATGCCAAAAGATTCCTTTCTGACGATGAAATTTTTTTTTGATAGATGAAAGATGCGAGAGCTCGTGCTGTGAAAAGGGACGACCAATAACAGGAGCTGAGAGATTCCCTTCCAAATTATTCCATTATTTCGTACTTATTCATTACCCGCTGCTGATCATAATACTATTAAGAAGGAAAATAACAAGTTAGCCAAGTGTCCCAACTAATGCTCGGAAAGGAATGTAAATATAAGAAAACGAGGCACCGACGCCATAAGAGTAAAACCTTGAAAATGCGGTCCAGAATAAATGACACAAAATCTCAATTCAACTCAAAAAACGCGGCGTAGAGGACGACCAAAACAAAATCCGGGGTATCATCGGGTCGCTAGCACGTACGGTAGACTATCAAATATTACTTCGTTCTTCTCGTAATGGCTGATGAAGCCTCCTTGGAGTATCCGCCGGAGAGCCTGGAGTCGATGTAGTTTCCACCACTGATCAATCTTCATGATGCCTGTACGGTGAATGCGCACTGCCATTCGGTTTCCGTACCGCTTGCCGGTTTCTTGTGAGACTGCGTTCTGATAGCGAGGTCCGCGCGTCGGGTTCTCGACGGAATTGAGAATGTCTGCAAAATTTGTATGTAGCGATTTCTTGTCCTTTTTGGACAATCGATGCGAGGAGAGTGTCGCTAAGGCGGAGAGTTTATGCTTGAGTTGATCTTCTCGTCTGTACACCGTGTAGCGCTTGACCATCTTTGGAGCGCCGGGGAGACGCTCGTCTTCCGGGTCGGATTCAGCGCCATCGTCGTCGCTTTCCGCTTCTTCGTCTTCTTCGAGTTCCGTGTAACTCTTCTCGTAGAGCAGCGCAATATTTTCGCCTGCGGCGATTTGAACTCTGGGGTAAGAGCTATCGAGTTGCTCGACGAATGCTTCCATTGCAGGTTCGCTGAGATCTTCCATGTCTTCGAGCTGCGTTGCGAGGAACCCCCATTCTTCCAGCGCCGCTGTGACAACCGCTTCGCTGTCGCCTGCGCCTATCGAATGTCCGTCGGATTCGATAATTTCGAGATAGTATTCCACGGTGTTTTGGGTTTCGTCAAGTGAAGCGCCGCCGTAGAATGTAACTGTCGCGAGGGTATGGATGGCTGCCACCTTGGAGGCTTCAGATTCAGAGTCATTGATTGTGCGCTTAATGGGCTGGAAGACGGCGTCGTAGACTGTGTTTGTGGGGTTGGTAACCACCGTCATGGCAAGAGCTGAATGGTGGGTTGGCGAATAGTCCAAAAAGACGCAAAAAGATGAGGGGAATGTGCGCACCTTTCAGAGCTAGAACAGTTTCTTTCTCGCTGCTCTCGGATTTTATACTTTTCAAAAATGCTCCGACTAAATCGCTCGTTTTGAAGTGGATTTCTTCCCGTGCATATTGCGCAGTGAGGATGCGAATGTAGGCTGTTAAACTCTCTTCTCGACCTTGCACACTGCTTCGCTTTCGGTCGATCAGCTGCTCTATTCTATCGCCCAACTCGGTTTTCCAGACGTCGGTAGGCATTTCGAGCTCGTCAGGGCTAAGAACATCATCAAAAGAATTGACACTATTGCATTGTTAGCGATAATGTCACTTCAGTACAAGAAAGAGTGCTCTGGGGTTTTGACGTGCCTCCAGGACGTTTCGCTGAGGTTATCCTCATCATCCGAGGGATGTCTGCTCGCATTTCGCGACGCCGATCGCGAGTTTGAAGCAGACTGCGCTCGAGACGTAGCAGCAGATGACTGGCGCGATCGAGCTTTTCTGGAAACAGTTTTGCCGCTCTCGAGGGCCTGTCTCCGAAGGTCGTGCATCGCTGTGATGCGTGATGTCACCAATGTGGGGTGGAGGTAATGTTTAAGCGCCGAGGTTAAGACTCTAATGTAAAAGGTAAGATAAGTGTAGCGCGGATCCTTGAGTATCACAATAACATAGGGCCTGGTGGGTATAATGGTATTGAATATTGGCTTGGAGAGGAGAATGGGAGAGTCGAATGCATTTCAGATGAAGAACGCAAAAAAAGTTGGATTTGACAGGACCAATGATATCAGATGCGTTGGCCAGCTGAACAGTGGAGGTGAAGGGTAGGTAGAGAGACTAAGCCCCTCCTATGACATGTTCTCGTCACCCGTACGCTCTGTTCCCCACCAAAAGACAACACGCTTGCCCTTTTTGAGATCCCCTGTGATGCCCTACAGAGCCACATGCGGTGTGGCTTGTATATGATGACCCATCCGAATAACCTTGCAGTCACCCGAAAATTTGAATACCTTTACATATTCGGAAAGATTTTGAATTGTAAGCTCTTGAATGACTCAGGACACCTGGTTTTGGTTTCCCATTTCGACCAGCTTCAAAAGAAAACCAAGAAAAAAAAAATATTGAAAATTAAAACCTATGTTTGCCTGATTGAAAAACAATGTCATGACTTTATTCGAACCCCAAAATCCCATTCGCGCGGTGTAGCATCTTCTTCTGTCCCACTGCAAGACCTGGTTCGGCAACATCAAATTCCTTGAAACCGAAAGCGCGCAAGCCGGCGGCATCGGCATACTTCTTTAGCTCGTCGACACTTGGTCGTCCAGTATGCTCGCTCTCACCCTTACCTCCAGGAAAGTCCGGAGCTGGAGTTCCACGAAGGAAATTGTCTCTTTGTCGGGAAAGGTACTCGGCGTTGGATTCGGTAAGAGGACAGGCAGGAATATACATGACGCTAGAATCCAATTTGCCATTGTGAACTTTATCGACAGCGTGAATAGCTGCAGTTAAGGAGTCAGCAAATGGGTAGTCTCTAACAGAAGGCAAACAAGACAACATACTATCGCAATGCCAAACAACATAGTCGCCCGGCTCTACTTTTGGAACATGCACCATCGACTTCGCCAACTCGAGGTGAGGATGCAAAGCTGCATTAAGTTCCTGAGAATGGCCGGGATGTGCGCCCTGAAATAGGCTTGATGGTTGGCTCTCAAAAGTCCAGTTCTCAGGGCTGAGAAATGAGTCCGTGGAGCTAACAGCACTTTCTGACTGGGTGGGTGGACTGCGAGGTGCGAAGAAAGGTCGCAGAAGAACGTAACTGATTGACAGCGAAAACAACGGGTTGACGAGAAGGGTCCCTTCATTTGGTGCGGTTGTCGACATACTAAGCCAGCCCTGGAACATCCTGAACATGCTACAAGCACCAGCGCCTTCGTATAAATCGGATACAGCAGCTAGTCTGCAGCTGGACTCCCATGGGTCGTATTCTTCCCAGCGCCCTTGCAAGATTTTTTCGTATACCTTCCCTCTGCCGTACCCGTTTGGTTCCCACCGCTCGACGCTGCCGCCATCAATATGCGGACCTAAGGCAAACCCGGCATCGCCAGGATGTCGGATACGGAGCCGGTCGGCGTAACTGAGCGGGTGAACAGATGAAATCATAGCCTCAGGATCATTTGAATGCCAGAAACTCAACAAATATCTTTGAGCTTCAATTAGATTTGGTTGCGCGCGTGCGCGGACCTGGGACGGAGACCAGTAGAGCTCAAACACCTGTGGATCATTTTGAGGAAAAGCTGCCACATGTTGAGCTTAAATCGTTACTGCAATTGGGTAAAATAATTCAGGGTCTAACCTTTCGTCCAGGGATTTAATTTCACATAATCTTCGACCTCTTCTTTATAGCGACGTGCCTCATCCCTCGGAATGACACCCCTGATGACCGCTACCCCTCGTTTTCTCAATGCAGTTTCAAATGATTGCGGGGCATTTTTTATATTCCTGTAATCAATTTCGGGAATGACATTTGAACCAAGTTCTGCAATTTCTTTGATCTCTCTCCTCAAGGCTTTTAGCAGCCTGTCCCAACTTTGCTTCAACTGATCCGCATTTCCGCCAAGAAGATGGGACTTGAGATCTGCAAACCTGTGAGGGAGTGGTTGCACTTCTCCACTGGAAAGAGAAACAAAAACCGAAGAAATGTCTCCCTCCTTCTTCGGCAGGTGAACAGGTTTAGGGGTTTGCTCCGCTTGCGTGGCAATGCAGCGCAATGTAGGAGTATTTAGACCTCCGCGTGGAGGCCGTACGTTTCTCAAAGAAATGGAACACTTGGAAAGTGTCTTCTGCATCATATCAATAAAAGGGAAAAAAAGGAAGAAGATGAAGATGAAGTGAAGAAAAGACCAACATACCCGAACATTGCTGGCCCTTTTATGTTTACCTCCTCTTAAAGCGACCAAGTCGGTCATGATACTTTTTCGATCAGCATTAAACCCTATTTGCGTAGCCTCCGATCGATTTTGCGGGGTGAGTTTGCGGGGCGGTCCGGATTGGTTCATAGATAATTTTCCATCTGGGGTAAGCCTCCGCCCAGGATTTCCCATTCTGGAAGGTCCCGACGACAGAAAAATGGCTATTTGCGGAAATCGCCGTGCAGAGGCGCGTGAAATTCTTCAGGCAAACAAAAGGTTGAGGGGCAACTAAACAATAAACGGAGCCGGTATTTAGAAACAAAACCTCTGGTTCAATCAGCTCCATTTCGATCGCTCTTGAATCATGATTGAGTACGTTCATCGTAGTAGTAGAGGTTGATATAATGACCCTCGTCTCCCAACGCACCATTCATTCAATTTGAAGAATAAGATGCCTGTGTCGGACAGAGTTGTATAGACTACCCACCCCGGTGTCTCCAAATAGACTATGACTCGGCCAGTGAAAGGACCCTTTGACGCCTCGGTTTTCTCTCATTAATTTTTGGGCTGGTCAAATAAACCCCTGGTCAAGGTTTGTACGATCGTCAAAAATGTCGTTGTATCCACTTAAATGATCTGCAAAGTTGTCGTTGAGGTTGCTAGGGAGGTTGAGATCCAGAATGCCTCCAAAAAGAGCATCAATGTCTTCAATCTGACCAGAGAAGATCCCATTAAGTGACGTTTCCTCTTGGCTTGATAGCACGGGCGCCGATTCTGCCACGGTTGAGGTCCTGGATTTCTCCGCTGAGGCCTCGCTAGCAACGGAAGCCATATCCCTTTGAAAGATGTAAATAAATTTTCAAAACTTCGTGGACATCTGTTGGGAGTACGTACCGAGAATTGAAGGAGCCTGTACTCTCTGGCTGCATTGCCAAATAGCCATCATCGAAAGATGCTTCTCGCAAAGATGCAAGGGCCTGAGCGCCTATTTTGGCCACAGCATTAGCTGTGCGCCATACTCTTCCCAACCTAGTCAGAATTTGACAGCATCTTCTCATGGCCACTATCGCTCTCTCTCGATGAAGAGTATACCTCGCCTGACGCAGTTGCCTATAGGCGACTGAAAGTGCGAGTGAAAACGCGTACGGTACAAAAGGGAGCGGCACCAAGTCTTCGCAGCTATGAAATTCTAGTAGGGAGACGAGCTGTAGTAACGATAGACGCTGACGAGTAGACGAAGGTTTAGATAGAAGTCCCTCGTCCGACATTCTGGACCTATGAGACAGAATAGCGATGGCATGATAGAATATCTCTAGAGAAACTGCCAATAGAGTTAGTATGGTAACGAATGCCTATGTGCTATGATAAATACCTAGAAGGCCGCGACCCAAACGCCACCCATGAGCCGCATCTACAATCTCCTCGAATGAGGGAAAGTCCGCTTCCCAGCCAGTTTCTGCAGGATCGGCCGATGGCCTGTAAAAGCCAATGATTCGATCTAGAAGTCCTACCATCTGCAGCCATATTTGGAACGCACCTCCACAAGATGTTGGTTCTGGTTTCATTTCGAGTCCTATGTCGCGTTCGTGAAGCATTACTGGTCGACCATTAACACCCGCGTTAAGTCTGTCAAGGCCCCAAAGAGACCAGAAGAGATGCTTCAGATGTTCTTGCTGATGCTCCGGCTGAGTTCGGCCCAGGTGTATACCGATGGTATGAGCATATTGGATGGCCTTGGCGAGTTGCATTGACGACTCCTCGAGCCCGTTCGGGCCCTCGCTGTACAATGAACACAATGCACATACTTGGATGAGAAGAACTTTATCAAGTTTCGCTCCATCTTCCATATGCCTAGACAAGCTATTGTAGAGCCTTTGTGCAAAAGTACGGTAGCTGAGAGCAACCGATTCACCTCTGATGCGAAGATATGGCCGGGAACGTTCCGCCTTTCCCGACACAAGACACATAGCTTGGACAAGACTGATTGGAGCCTTTCCCGCCGAGTAGATTTTACGAAATTCCACTTCGTCAACAATTGGAAGTATTGGATGGACACTGGAAAAGTATATGTCCAACAGTGCATTTTGGTCTTCCTTTTGTGGTGTGACATCTTCGTATGTCTCTCCTTGCGCACGTAAATCTGTAGCTCGCAAGGCCTTTCCAAGGCCGACCTGAGGAGTCGGTTCCTCAGCTTCTCCGGAATTATCATCTTCATCCGCACTGTCAACCCAAATACCCACTCTATCTCGATCATGATCGAGTGCGGGCTGCCCAGAACCAACTTGGGCCAAAAACGCTTCCGGATTGAGGTCACCGACGAATCGTCGGGTCCTTGCGGGTGGGCCCTCAGTCAAACCTATCGCCCTGTTTCCAGACCGCTTTGATTTTGAAATGCTGGACTCAGCATCTGTCGTGTGCAGAGTGGGTAAGTCACGTGGCCCATCATGCTGTGGTTGAGTGTCATTGGAACGCGATATTTGTCTCTCTTGATTCTCTGATAGATCAGAAATTGGCTGCCAGGGCGCTGTTCTATGTCGGCAACGTTTCTATTAAGTTTTCTTCAGCACAACCTCATTATTTATTTTCCAGAAGGTGTTCTTTTCTAACCTTTCTTTTCTTGCACGCTTCACAAGCCGATTCTACCTTTGGGCGTTTTACACCTCTCGCATGAGGTTGAGCGACAAAAGTGTACTCCATCGCCACATCGTTGTAGGTGGACCCAACCAGCCTCCTTTTTAACTTGGTTCACAAGGATTATCTGCTTTGATGCTTAGATCCACTGTGCATCTCCACCGTTGTTGACTTAAGACTCTTTGACGTTGACCGCCAATAGCTCCGACTCACGTGATCTCTGTCAGTAACTGGAGATCTTTGGTAGTACTTTATGAATCTCCAACAACTGTGGAGAACCACAGCGCTCTTGGGTTCGGGAAAGGAGTATCCGTGAATAGTAATCTCCTTACTTCCATGGCATTGTAAGATATCTCATATTCCATATGCGACAAACGACAAGGAAAACGCTGGGTGGACTTGAGCAAGTCCACAGAAGCAACCAACCCCCTTGTCGTTTGTTGGCCATTAGCTTCGTGGACAGCCCCAAGCTAGAAACGTCTCTTCCGCAGCGGTGCCAGTGGGTAAGGCGGAGCCCAAAGGGTCCACCCGAGACCAAGCAAACTCGTCGCTAGATTGCCGCCAGCTTCCACTGAAAACCACGTCAGTTTACCCCCCTGGCTCGTATGAGTACCATTGACGAGGCGATCAAAGGCAAACACATGGTAGGGAGGGCAGATTCCTGCCTGACGCAGCCACATGCATCCCTGCTGCCACATGCAGAAAACCGAATCTGCAATTATGGCCAATATCTAAAATGAGATGGTGCTGTCTGGGCTTGCGATTCGCTCAATGTGGTCCGCCTCATTGTCTAATCCGCGGCCGCATTGCAGAACCTACCTTAGGTGGCCTTCCCCCGAGAGGTACGCTAAGGTGAAGCTATGCTGAACGAAAGTGCGAAATGCTAAAGGTAATGAGACAATAACACATCAGTACGAACACTGTACGTCTCTTCTGGAAAGATTTGCGGCAATGCGATGAACCTTAAAACTTATCCGATTTGCACACGACAGTCGGATAGCGGCGCGGTTTTTACTGGCGGCGGGTCTTTCTCCACTTCGTCTCTCGATGGTTGTCGCTTCCTCTGGCAGTTGCAATTATCCATGCAGCACCAACGCACGCTTAACTGCGGGTTCGCCCGCCCCGGTTCTAGGGTACCCAATGTCCGTCATGGTTGAATACAGAGTAGACACATATTGACGTGGCTCCAATAGCATCCCTTGACGAAGCTGTCGCGATGATCTGTACCCTGATGTTTGCTTGGTGTGGAATGCCTTTGAAAGTTTTCTCTCGATCTTGGGTGGTGTATTGATATTGTCGTTCTTTCGCTGTTCTTTTATCATGGTCGCCTTGCTTACCAGGTTTACTGATTCTTTCTTGCGCCTCACTGATTACTTCGATCAATTGCATTCACCCGCGTGTTGTTGTTCCTTTCATTTGTCGCCCAGAAAGCTGAGCTTACTAGCACACCATGGCAAGGGGAAGCGGAAAAAGGAAGAAGAAGAATCGCTTTGATTGGATGCAAAATGAATCTCCCTCACACCCTAATGATACTTCGGTATAATTACTTCTCGTTGCGTTCACTTAGAAGCGTATCTCACAACAATATAGCAGATAGAGCTCGCAACTGAAGGGACTGAACGAGCAGAACAATCTATATCCGATGCAGATCCGTGGACAAATCATTCAAGCGATATGGCAGATGAAAATGAAAATAATGCGCCAGAAACGCAACCGATCAATGATGAGGGTACGGCCTTTCTATCTCATCATGTACCCTGGTTTTCAGATCTAACAAGCCGTATTAGGTGACAGTAGCACCCCACCAACAACTCTGGGAGTCGAAGCGGACCCAATCTCGAAGCAAGAAGGAGATGTAGAAAATCCGAACCCAGAATCAAAGAGCCCACCGGAGAATGGAGAAACCGTGTCCAAGTCGGAAGGAAATCAGCACATCATTAATGACACTTCGTCTCCCGACAGTCCAGAAGAAGAGGGAAAAGACCAAAATGTGGATGAAGATGGAAAGCATGATGATTCAAAAGATGATACAGATTTTGAAGAGAATCCGTTACCACACGATGAGCAGCTGGACGAAGGTGCGAGCGATTCAGAACAACCGAGATATTGTATAGACCCAGCTGATTTATTCGATCCCATTGACCCAGACACTGGCGAGACGGAAGACAGAAGTGATAAAGCAGGAGAAGATGACTCTGCGGGCGGCGAAAATAGCCAAGTCGAACAATCCATCCCGGAAACTGACCACGCCGTCGATAGTTCGAGCCCCAAAATGGAGGAACTGGAAAATATGGCTGCAGCAGAGCATCACCTTGAGAGTGCTGCAGTCCTTACAAACACTGAAGTCACGGCGGATGCTACGAATCCCGGTAGCGATAACAACTCTGATGCTTGCGCGAATGAAGAGCAACCTGCTACTATGGGAGCAGATTTGTCAGACATTATTCCAGGTATCGGAGATTCCGATGGTATGGTTGAGAAGTCTGAAGGACAGAATGAGCAGTCCACGCTTGAAAAAATAAAGGACGAACCAGAAGAAGGTGCCACTAAAGCTCCTGACGACTTGGTCGAGGATTCAGGCTCCGCTTTTCAAGCTCCCAACGGAGAGATTCAAGGTGTACACGCAGTGGTGGAAGATGTTTCACAGTCAAACACTGAATCCGACACAAAGGAAAGGCATCCAGAAGCTCCGGCGCCTGAAGGAGACGGCACGGAAGAGCCAGTGGAGAAGGGCGACGAGGCTCGGAATACTGGTATTGAAGAAGATGGCGAGAAAGAGCAGGGATCGAATGCGCTGCAGGCAGAGTATGCCCCGCTTAGCACAGGGGCTGAAGGTGACGTGCAAAGTAACCTTCAGGAGGAGAGTAACGCAGACGGAGCAGACTCGGAGGAGGTAGAGAAAGCTCCTGGAGGCGAGGCCGACGCGGTTGGGCAAGAAAAGAACAGGTCAGATAAAGACGTAGAGGAAGGCGCAGAGGATGAAACACCTGAGACAGGGGGTGAATGTGAAAAACCAGCCGAAGAGTCACCAGCGGTCGATTCAGAGCCGCAAATGGATAGCGATCCCGAGGACGAACTGGCGGTCCAGGTTGCGACCGCATCTGGTATGTCTGATACCCTCGAAGCGCCAGCTCAAGTCGACAATACGGATGAACCTGCGGAAGAGACTTTGACTGAGGAGACGCCAGCTGAAAAGGAACCTAAGGGAGCTTCTTCCGGGTCGAGCCCAGAGAAATCGGCTGACGTTAATGCCATGGAGTCTGAACAAGCCGGCGGTGTGGCCGAGAAAGCGGTTGATGAAACAGTCGCTCAAGCCACCGAGGCACGAGAAGAAGGCGAAAACAAGGCAAATGAGAACAATGAATGCCCAGAAAGTGACGGCAAAAGTTCCAGCCATGTCGAAGGTTCGACGGTGGAGTCTCCGAAGGAAGTGGTTGAGGTACACGAGGTTACGTCCGCAGGCGCAGAATCCACCGATTCTATCGAGGAACCTTCTGCAGTGGAGTCTGAACAAGTAGAAGGTGATGCAGGAGGTGACGACGCAGCTGATGGAAACAAATCGGGTGATGCAACATCAGAGGCTACTGGAGAATCTTCTGCTTCTCAGAACGCGTCCACGGCAGAAGATTTCACTCCGCCAGCCGAAGAAGGTATGCCAGAAGCTGCGACTGCACCAGAAGTACCACCTGTGTTGGAAGCTTCTGTGCCAGAAAACATTCCTGTATCGGCGGAGAATACTGATCCGAATGCGACATCTGCGCCAGACGAAGTTCCAATCATCGTAGAATCTCCGGCAGAGAAAGAAGTCCCTCAGCCCGAAAAAGACTCGGCTTCAGAAGAAAAGGCGGAGCCTGAGGCTACCGCGCCTGAAGAAGTTACCACGGCGGTAGCAGAAAGCGCTGTGCCCTCCGACGCCCCTGTAGCAGGCGAGGTTTCTGCGACAGAGGACTCTGCTACGACTAAAGAATCGGCTGAGCCGCAGGAGGCCGCCACGCCAGAAGAGACGGCTGAGCGAGAAGAAACTATAGACGCTTCGAACGAAGAAGCTGAAGGGGCGGAAGAGACAAATTCAATAGAACAGCCTGCCAACACAGACGAGCACGTGCCAGATGATAGGGCTCCACCCGAGGATGCCACACATTCTGGGGAGCTTGCTGAGGCGGAGGCTTCCCCTGCCGTTGAAGAGGTGGAGTCACAAGACGACACGCCCGTAGAGGAAACTACTACGGAGAATGCTGAGCCAGAAACCACAGCAGCAGAGGAAGCAACTGCAAAGGAGGAAGACGAAGCAGCAGGGGAAACCGATCTGCCAGAAGAGGGAGCTGCACAAGAAGATCCTTCCACACCACAAGATTCTACTCTGCCTGATGATATTGTTGCCCAAGAAGAAGCTGCACCGGGCGAAGAAGCTACTACCGATGACCATTCAAGAGAGATTGTTCAGGACATGTTACAAACAATGAATGAACCCACTCCCGAAGCCGAAGAAGCGCCTGCCAACAGCGCTGATGCTACGATTGAAGATGTTCCTGCACCGGTTGGAGATCAAGCAGGGTCTGAAGATCAGCCTTCAACACAAGCAGATGACATTCACGCGGCTGAAGCCGCAGCTGCGGCCACAGCAATTGCCGCCGGAGCCGTGTCTGCCGCAACAGAAAACAGGTCGGAAAGGAGAGATTCAATACGGCACTCGAGGGAGTGGGTGCGTCCGGCACGCCGACGGGAAAGTGACAGCAGCGCGTTTTCTTTCAAGTTAGGTGGCGGTAAAGCAGCTATCGCGAAAGAACTGCTAAAAGAAAAGGAACGACAACAAAGGCGTCGTGATAGTGAGGCAAGTAGACATAGCAAAGAAGAACGGAAGGATCTTCGTCAAGAAGTTCGCGCTGCAGAGACTGAAGAGGATAGAAGAAGACGGCGCGAAGCCAAAAAAGCGGCTAAGGATGCTGAAGTCGCTGAAGCTGCAGGCTCCGTCGACGGCAGCCACTCTTCTGGGCGTTCCGGTCGTCGACGTCATCAGCATGGCGACCGTGAGCGGGAACATAAGCGCGAAAAGGAGCGCGAGCGGGATCGCGACGCCGAATCCTCGCCCAAAACTCGACCTCTGCTTGCCTCTGCTTTCACTGGTGAATCGACTAACAGTGGTCCTTGGCTAAAGATCAACCAGCCGGATCTGGAGCGGAGGCCATCTCTCTCATCGCGGCACGCTTCTTCTAACTATAGCGCAAATCTAAAGGAGCGTGAGCGTGAGAAAGAAGCGGAACGGGAACATCACCACCGGCATCGTCATCATCATCGGGCTCATCGGGCTCATCGGGATCCTGAGGAAAAGGAAGCAAGGCGGCTGGAGAAGGGAGAAAAGGAGGTCCGACGCACGGAACGAGATGAGCGCCGCGGTACACGTCAAAACAGTCTTAACAGCAACGCGATTCACACCGGTGCCGAGGAGAATAGAAAAGATGAGGACGCCCGGCGACAACAACGACATGAAAGACGTCGTGAGAGCAAGACATATCGCAGTGCGGCTGCAGATGCTTTACCTTCTACCAGTTCTGGGCGCTCAAGAGGTGAGCAGGAGGGCGGCCATGGTGACAGCGGCGAGAAACATCGGCATCACCGTCGCCGTCGGGACTCGACACAGGCCGTCCCATTAGCCCCTGTCTCTAGCAAGGACCTTTATGAGCGAGAGGATGCTCCGGGAAGACTGAAGATGTTTGTCTCTGGAATGAAGAAACTTGTGGCTCATTAGTCCATAGTTGGGGCAGACGGCTGATGAGAATGCCCTGGCAGTTGACTGGGACGGTTTCCATCGTTATCATATCTAATCATCTTTTGGTTTGTCTTTTCTCTCTCTTTTTTGCCCGCCGGCTTTTGATTCATCAATGTACTATCTTTATATATTGCTGTATTTAATATTGGGTTTGCATTGTTATTAGCGGGAATGGATGGATACAGGGACGGATAAATGGGACATGATAAAGGGGATATGTATGTATTTATCTATGAGGAAGCTTGGTGTCGATTTTGTTTAGTGAGGCGTTTTAATAATATTTTGATAACTTTATGAAGACTGTTTCCGGGAGCTAAATACAAATTTCGAACATTCTTTTCTGCCAAAGCCCGCATTTGTCGCATGGACGTCATCCTCTTCTTAGATCAATGCCATGCAGTAGAAAAGGATCCAGGTACCAAGGCTCAGTAATCACAACTGCCAGTGAAATAAGCACCAGTGGACGTGCTGAGTATGATAGAGAGTAAGCGCGAGGAAATACTCAGCTGGAATGACTTATCATTTTGACTTGATAGGAGCATTCCAACTTTCCTCGAGACCCTGCAAGAGAGATAGACTAGATAAATCTACGCCAGACCATGTTTATCGAGCAACGTGGATGTTTATCAAGTCATTTGTCTTGTAAAGCATCTCACCTAAGCGCATCCCAAGGCGGACAAAGCGCCCGTCCCACAAGTAACATTATTTTTGTCTAATTCCATGGTTTGTATCTTTAGGTATTTTATTGACTTCATGAATCAATGAGGTGGGAAAAGGTCAGCGAGGACAGTGAACAAAGGCTCGAAAGTATCCGAGGTTCATCGGAGGTTCGGAAGCTCGGAAGGGGCTGAGCCGGGGGAGGGTACCCCTCGGTACTTTGTAGGTACTCCGTTACAGCAAGTGGACAAAGAAGGATCCAGGGACGTGACTTCACTCCTTCTGGGAATAAGGACCACCTCTCATCCTCCTCTAGCTTTCAAAATCTTACATTTTGCAGTCCCCTTTTGAGGAAGTCAGACTGCCTTGTTGATTAGTTATATCAGTCTTTTGGGCCGTTTTGTCAGGGTGATCTTTGTCCTTTTATACTCCGAACTCCGCCAAAACTGCCACCTTTGTACAAAGGTCCACTTTCCAGCCACTCGCATGTGAGCTATTTCGGGGGTTCAGCATCGCTGACGTTGCCCCTTGACCCTGATATCCTTACCACCTGGGCTGTGCGGCATTCGCCCTACATACGCCGCGGCGTGGGCGATCTCAACCCCCCCGTCGCGTCCTGGACATTCAGGCACCAGTTTCACGCTACAGGTTGAAATTCTACAATTCATCGTGCTGGTCAAATCACTATTTGAAATACGTCGTTTCTCCAAAGATCAATTCCGACACCTACCCTGTGACAACACGCATGTAGCACCGAATGCTGCTGCGTTGGAATAGTTGTACGAAGCTCTTTTAAGTGCAACAAAAAAAAATCGAGATATATCCCACAATGGCGGGCATGGAGCAGTTGGAAATCAACAGCAAGGTATGCTCGTGGCTATATTCCTCCAGAAAATCGGCACAACACTCTTCTCCTTTTACAAGGCATATAATACAAGCGTTAAATTGCAAGTTTGGAAAAACTCATTTGTTTCTTGCTAGTCCTACATTGTCCGATGGGTAAATGTCCAGGCCGGCCACACCATCTCCTGGAGCATCCAGCCGCATAAGAAATCAATCTACTTTGCTCTCTTCAAGCATCCGGGTGCCGGGGCTGCACCCAATCTGCCAGCTTCGGGAATCGAGCAGCGACCGACGACTTCAGCGGGGCCTTCTGCGGGCGAGCGTACACGTCAGGGCTCAACATCACGCAGCGATGGCTCTACCGTAGTCGAAAAGCTTCAGGCAATTGGCCTGAAATTAATACTGTGGGTGGGGAAATGTGACGCGGACAAGGTCTCCATGGGCAAATATCCTGTTCCTGCCAACGAAGGTGGGATGTATGGACTCGTATTTGATAATACCTTCTCGAAGCAAGCATCGAAAACCGCTACCTTTGTCCTTCTAACGTACCCGACCAATGCTCCGCCGCAGTCGAACCATTTAGCCCATCATTTCAATTCAATGGCGGCTGCCACCCACACGCCTCCGGCGGGAAAGCATAGTCCGCGCTTAGGGTCGTCCCTGGGCTCGTCTGACTCTTTACCTCGGGGTGAAGTGCTCAGTCAAGTGCCCTCACAACCTAGTGGGTCCGGCACCATATCTGGTGGAACACCCACTAATAATAACGCGGCGATGTCTGCCGATGGTAATTTCCATACCGGCTTCTTGCAAAAGCGAAGGAGGAAACGGCATCAAGGATTTGCGAAACGATTCTTTTCGCTGGATTTTACGTCATGTACGCTTTCGTATTACCACAATCGGCAGTCGTCTGCCCTGCGAGGAGCGATCCCGCTGTCTTTGGCAGCTATTGCAACCAACGAGGAGACACGTGAGATATCAGTGGACTCGGGCGTGGAGCTTTGGCATCTCAAGGCAAGTAATCAGAAGGACTTTGAGGAATGGAGAAACGCGCTTGAGAGAGCGTCCACATCGGCTGTCAATGAGGAACCTGAGCAAGAGGTTGGATATAAATCGAATCGGCTTTCGGCAGGCGAATTCAATCAAGCCGATCGACGGGATTGGGAACAGGCAGAGACACTATTGAGCAAAGTTGCAGGCGTCCGGGACGCCATACGAGGACTGGCCAGAGATACCGATCCCAAGTATCTTCCCAGCTCCAGTCCCGGAGTTAGCTCTCCGATCATGACGCCAACGACGTTGCTGGAACCGAGCTCCGCTGAGACTCCCAGAGAAGAAGAGAGACGACCATTTTGGAAGCGCAAGCCCAGCACGGCTAGTAACGGCACTGAAACTCGTCGTAGTATTGCTATGCACCTGGCCATCCCGCAGGGCTCAGGAACGCCACGCTCCTCCAATGGAAGCATGCCGCCGCCCGTCGGATTATTTTCTCACTCGGACCAGGGGATACATGAGCGATGCTTGTCCATCCTGAGAGACCTCGATCATGTCGTTTCTGAAACTGCCACCCTCATCTCGGTCAGCAAAAAGAGGCGACCGGCACTCAGTCCAGCGATTTCTCGGCATAGCATTGACTCGACTGCTTCAGATGAGTTTTTTGATGCCGAAGCAGGCGACGTGGGGGATTCAAATCTCCTGACAATTCGGCCAAGCAGTGTTGATTTGGAAAGAGATCGTCGCGGAGGTGAAGAAGAGGAGGATGATTTTATTGAAGGGGAGGAAGAAGAAGACTCTGCTTCGAGCACCGACCTCGACCGGGACGAAAGCGTGGACCGGTCGAGCATGGGACCAGTCAACAGTGTACTTTTCCCATCTCGGCCAAAGTCACTAACACCTCTGCCGCTTGAACGAGTCATGCGGCGACGAAACGTTCCTGCGCCGACTGTTCCTCCTCCAAGTCTCATGGGCATCATGCGTAAGAATGTCGGCAAGGATCTGTCGAATATTGCCATGCCCGTTTCGGCCAACGAGCCATTATCTCTGCTTCAACGCACTGCCGAGCAAATGGAGTACTCTGAATTACTCGACTCTGCCGTCGACGCAGAACCTTCTAATGGCGCGCGGCTGCTGTACGTGACGGCATTTGCCATTTCCACCATTTCGAGCGCTCGTGCGCGGGAAAGAGCTATTCGAAAACCATTTAACCCAATGCTTGGCGAGACGTTTGAGCTTGTCCGCGAAGACAAGGGATACCGCTTTCTCGCAGAAAAAGTCTCACATCGTCCTGTGCGCATTGCATGCCAAGCTGAAGCAAAGGAATGGACCTTTACAAGCTCGCCCATGCCGACACAAAAATTCTGGGGCAAGTCGATTGAGTTTAGCACCGACGGCCGAAGCCGCGTTGTTCTGCATTCGAGCGGCGCCTGTTTCAGCTGGGCTTCTGCCACCGTTTTCCTCCGCAACATTATTGCCGGCGAACGCTACACGGAACCCGTCGAGACAATGACCGTTGTCGATGAATCCTCGGGCCAAAAGGCCCTCGTCACATTCAAAGCCAATAGAGGCATGTTTTCGGGTCGCAGTGAAGACGTCATTGTCCAAGCCTTTGATGCACAGGGTGACCGTCTACCGCTCGGCCTGACGGGTAAATGGACTTCACAGTTGGCACTGACGGGCGATTCCCCCGGTGGCAGTGGCGGCGAAACCATCTGGACGGCCGGCGACCTTGTCGAGAATTCGCCGAGCCACTATGGCCTGACTACTTTTGCAGCCAGCTTGAATGAAATCACACCCATTGAGAAGGGACACGTCTGTCCCAATGACACACGATTACGTCCTGACCAGCGCGCCGTCGAGCAAGGAGATCTCGAGGCGGCAGAGGATCTGAAGAACCGGCTCGAAGTCGCCCAGCGCGTCAGAAGAAAGGAAATGGAGGACAGTGAGACAGTCTGGACGCCTCGCTGGTTCGTGCCCGTACCGGTAAATCAAAGCGGGGCCGGCACTAGTAGTAATAACAATGATGTTGGCGGCGGTCATGGTCATCATCACCGAAATGCCAATCACAACCATCATAATCGTCATGCCAGCAATCACGGACAGGACAGTCCTGACCCCGCTGACGAGCAGGTCTGGCGTTTGAAAACGGGTAAAGATGGGTACTGGGAGGAACGCGCACGCGGGTCGTGGGATGGCGTCACGAGAGTTTTGGAGTATTAGCTTTCACGTCCTTTCTCAATTGACTCCTTTTGTCCACACTCATATCTACTGTAGATTTCTGTCCGATGTATACAATTATATGAATTTATTTACTGTCCTTATGCTCATATGTTGTGCATTAAAAGTGATTTGTATTGTGATATGTATTTTCCTTTGGTTCACTATTTTATTGGATTGACATTTCATAGGTGAATACATATATTTAATCTTTTTGTTTACTTTTTTTTAATTCAATTGACTCTGGTCTTTCTTTTCTCGCGTCTTCAAGTGGAAAGCATGGTCATGATACCATTTCTTCCAAATGACCTCTGATTTCGAATCAAAGAGGCGAGGCTCAATATATATAAATAAGGAGAAACTTTGAAGCATCAAATACCCCCTTTCTTTACCTCCTCTTCTGCTTTGGCCCGGGCACTTCTGCATCTGCACTCTCTCCACTCTCTCCTTGCCCTGCAAGCCCTGCAGTTCCTTCATGCTCACCACCACCAACCTCGCCGCGCTCATCATCATCATCACGCACGCCCACGCCACGAATATACTCCGTATCCTTACTCGTCAGCGTCGTCGAGAGGACCGTGGGCAACGCAATGACAAGGGCGCCAATACACAGGCCCCAATCCATCGCGAGCTGCGTCATAGGCAGTTTCTTAAGCGCATTAATGCGCCACGCCATGGCGCCGCCGACGCTCTGGAATGTCTTGTACGCGCCGACCAGGATGGCCGCGACCGCGGGGCTGTTGGACTGCGCGCCCATCAGCCAGTAGCAGAACCCTTGCCAAAAGGCATCGTACGCGCCGTAGAAAATGTACAGGAACATGGGCCCGACGTAGATTTTGCGGGATTTGAAGTCAATGTCTTGCTTCAACCCGCGGGAGAGTCGCGCGTCGGACCATTTCTGGAATGCGTAGCCCCCGCCCCAGATGCACATGCCGGTGGAGAAGAGGAAAACCCAGGATATAATCGCCCGGTGTCGCCGGTTGAGTAGAATTAGGGAGGTGGAGGAGCCTGGTGTGTGTAAGAGGTTAGAGGTTAGAGTTTGTTAGGCAACGAACCGAACACCCCTAAAAAGGAGATGAGGGAAGAGGGGAGAAGGGAGGACGGACCGATTTTAATAGGACCCAAGGTAATGGGCCATACCCTCGACCAATCCAACAAGCCGCCCATGACGAGGCCTCCAAACATCTGAGCAATCCAATACAAGGCGCCATTGAGCGAGCGGGAGCGAATGTCGAAATTCATCCCGTTGACGTCGTTTTGCTGATACGAGTAAAACACATTGGCGCAGAAGAACAGCGGCAGCATGCAGAGCACCTGATACCGCGAGATGGTCTTGACCGCGAGCTTGGCCATGAAGCGGAGTGATTTCTCGGTAGGCTTGCATTCGAGAATCTGCGGGCTGCGCACGCGCGAGGGCGAGCAGATGAAGACGCCGAGGCCCCAGCCGACGGCCATGATGATCATCAGGGCAATATATGTCGCGTTGGACACGGTGCCAGACGTCGAGTGGTAGTTGAGCCCGAAACTGGCGAGCGAGCCGACCCCGCCGCCGAGGTTGAATATGATCCAGAACACGGCAATCGCGCGGCCTTTTTGCGATTCGGGCACGTAGGTGGTCATGATGGCGCCCTGGGAGACCCAGAGAAAGGCTGCGCCGATGCCGAGAATAGCCCCGGCGGCTATTACGAATGCGCCGTTGGAGTGGTCTGTAATAGGTCTCAGTAAGGACCGGAACGGAGGGGCTGGAGGGATAGGAATTGGAGATGAAGAGGGGTTTGGGCGTGAGTAGGGGGAAGAAGAATGGTGAAATGGTGAAATTAGTCGTACAATTAAATGCAAGTAAGCTCCCAGAATACAAAACATATGTCCATCCGCCAAGGAGTAAACAGACTCGAGGTCCAACTAGGTCAAAGATGGGACCGACAACGAACAGCGCCGTGCCAGCAGTCGCGGAGAGCAGCGCAACATTCGCATTAGCCGCGACTGTCGGATCGACTTGTCCGGATCCTCCTAGACCGCTGAGCGCATTGTACATCTATTATCTGTCAGTACGATTCTTTTTTTCCGGTACGCAATTTTGGCCTTGTGCTGAGGAAAATGGTAAACGTACGCCAGGACAACAAAAGCATATCAAGCTTATCAAGAGAATCTGAAACCACGGATGGCCGTAGATTGAAGCTACACGTCCGCGCCGTCCATGCGGTTTGTCATGAGCTTGTCCCTGCTCGACGTCTGGCGTGGTCGAGTGCACATCATCAGCAGCATGGCCGACAGTAGCTTCCGGCTTTTCGTCCGCCGCCCGTATCTCTTCGATTCCCATTGCGAATGCTCTTCTCCTGCTTCAAATCTAACAATTCACTGGGACCGAGCTGCAGAGCCTTCGAGCATTCCGGGGATGGGAGGACCTAGAGCAGGGGCATTCTTTATAGTCTGTCCCAATGTGACTTCTCCGCTCTCCTTTGCGGCCTGTCACTTCGACACCACACCAAGACACACAACACTTTGACATGGCTGTTACTGCTACCGCTACTGCTGCAGTTCTGTCAAAATCAACCATTGGGAGCCATAGCTAGGTAGTTTCCTGATAAGAGGTTAGCGCAACAGTCGTACTGTGGTAGGGTTGCCATACCGGTACACTATCTCGACTTTTTCGCGGATGAATTCCGCGACGTCTCAAGCCGTTGACGAATAGCGTACGCGGTAGGAGTAGTTTCAGACGCATTTTCCATGTTTCCTAATGGCCTCTTCGCCACTGACAGGACTCCGTATGGAGTGGATGTCGGGACGAACGACTGATAAGGGCATGGTCAAGTGCGGGGATAGTGTCCTCCGACGTAACATCGTTTTAGCTGTTCGGGTCCACTTATTGCGGCTGGCTGCGGGTAGATACGTATTGAAAGGTGCATCGGGGTTCTGAACCGCGAGAGGTGGGCAAGTGGTGTTGAGTGAAAGTGTTTTTGCAGAAAAGGAATTTCTATGTTTTCCATTGACCCGACGTTGCGGATATGCATTTTGAAGTCGTCCAGTCTGATGCAAATGGTCCCTGTAGATCCCACGCAAGGCCATCTCGGTTCATCCTTGTGGCGAACCCGAAGAGGAAGGGTAGACTTCGGCTACTCATCTGGGGTTCGTCAAATCGAATGTTTCGAACTATCTTGCAAGTTTCATTGAGCTGTTTAGAAATACACATTACTATGCAAATGATACACAATAATTTCCACAGAAAGCGCTTGTGTTGCAGACTGAGATGGAAAATGCATATACAGTATTAGTTTGATACCATCAAATACATACAACAATCGATGCTCAAGTAACGTGACCTAAATCTGCGTATTAACAGCTCCTTGCTCCATTGAGCGCTCAAGCCGTGTTAAACATTTGACATCAGCATACAGAGCTGTCTCTTCGTGTTCTAAATATCGCAAAAGAACTTTGACCGCACTCAGAGCTTCTTCGCGCGTTGGAATCGACAAAGGAGCCACACGGGACGGAGTGGGCGTAGGGGCCAGAGGTGGCATGGGATTCCGTGGCGGCGGAGGAGGAGCTGCTAGGATTGGTGTTGGTGGAACAGGCACGGTATCATGGTCGTCATCCTCGGGACCGCCATCCTGGTCATGGTCCCGAGGTTCTGAAGCTTCCAAGCTAGATTGGATTTTTGCAAGATGTGCTTCTATGATGCGGTCGATTGGATCCTCTTCTTCATCATGTGCAGCATCCTGTTCTGGATTTGAAAAGTCATATCGTTGTCGGTAGAGGCGAATATTGTGACGGCCTTTAAAACGAGCAAGCCAGCCGTTGCCAAATCTTGGCGGAGAAAGTTGACTGTACTGCGGAAGCTTTGGCCAAATTTCACGAGCCTTGTCAATAAGAACTTGGCCCGTGGTATGGCCTCCCCTCTGCTCAAAATTCCGCTGCCAGTCGACCAGAATCGCCTCAAGAAGAGGCCATTGTCCTGCGCGGTTCTTGAAGGTTGGTTTTGAAGATAACCGCGGCGGAGCAGGACTATCGAGGTAGCTATAGCGATTGCTTAGAGACTCGGAAACGGTGGACTGGCTGACGCGGTGGTGGAATTGCCGTTCGAACCAATCGATACAGGCAGCATGGCGTGGTCGTGGGTATTGAGTGCGATGCCATTCGCGCAGAGCACGGCGCTCGTGCTCCGCAATGGGACGCATTTAATTAATGCTATGTTGTCATCCGAGTTCATATGAATCTGGTGGGTTGCGATGATGTGTATGACGATATTTTAGTATCGAAACGAGGTACTCCGTAGTGAGGATGCATTTGTTGCATAGAGGGTGCCAGGTGGAGTTGATCGGTGTATCGAGACACTTTCCTCGCTAACATCGTCTTTACGAGTGTTACCCAATGGGGGTCTCCATAACAAAACCCCACACTGGCGATAAACCTGCAGGTCCAGGGGAGGCTTATCGGAACTATCGGGACCCTTGACAATAATGAAAGATAACGGGTAACATCCTTGAATTGTCATCATGTCGATCCATTGAAACTGAGTCAACGTCGTTATCAATCAACAAAGGTACGTTACATTGAGCAGGACTGAGTCCTTCTATCCGTAACCCGGTGGCCTATTTGTTGCAAGAGGGTCTTAAAAAGTAGCATGAGGTTAAACCGATGTTTTACCGGCCATCCAAAGGGTGCTGTAACCCTCCAAGTTTCCCCACATCGGACGGTCATTCTGCCGACCTATTCCCTCACCGCCCGCGGCCCCCGGTCCGCCGGATATAATGAGGCACTGCTACGGGTCATTTCTGCCGCCTACTCTCTCTTCTTGTCTGTTCAACTCTTTGTACATATTAAAGCATAGACCCTACCAGTAATTTTCTAATCGTGTCAGCGCGCTTTTGACCATGGATCTGGCAAATCTCTCTGCATTACAAACCGAAGGGCGCAACCCTCGCACTGCACACATCGATGAGCTCTCCACGTACGACATGTGTAAGGTCATAAATGAGGAGGATGCCGGTGTTGCAAAGGCTGTAGAAGAATGTTTGCCTATAATAGCGGAAGCAATTAATGCCATGGCGCCTCGAGTGCGACAAGGTGGGCGAGTCATATACGTCGGCGCAGGCACCAGCGGAAGGTAAACTACACCGGGCCCCTGCTAAACTACAACGTTTCACTGCTGACATGTCTCTTGAAGACTCGGCATATTAGATGCATCAGAAATCCCTCCGACATTTTCTGCACCACCAGCTCAATTCATCGGTCTCATTGCCGGCGGCGATGCTGCGATACGACATGCGCAAGAAGGAGCAGAAGATAGTCCCGTACATGGCAAGGCAGATATGAAAGCTCTCAACCTGAATCCAGATTTAGACACGTTGATTGGCATTGCAGCGTCAGGCAGGACCCCGTACGTATTAGGGTGCCTTGCATATGCAAAAGCAGCGGGGTGTCCAACGGTCGGCGTAGCATGCTGCTCGCCATCAGCCATGAGCATGTCCGGAAATGTAGACTACATGATATCACCATTGCCAGGGCCTGAGGTTGTCACAGGGAGCACGAGATTAAAGGCCGGCACGGCGACAAAAATGGTGTTGAACATGCTGAGCACAGGAATAATGATCAAGACTGGTAAGACATATGGTAATTTGGTAAGCACAGTACCCTACCTTTTCCCACTGTTGTTTTCTGCATGCCAACATACTGATTTGTTTTCCTGTTAGATGATTGATGTAAAACGCTCAAATTTCAAACTTGAGCAACGGTCTCGTAACTTACTCCGCGGTTTGAGCGACCGATGCGCCAATTTATCAGAGGAAGATCTCGAGAAGTTAATCACAGAGGCTGAAGGCAGTGTTAAAATTGCCTTTATCATGGCCGAAACTGGTATGGCAGGAGATACCTCCAAGCATCTTCTTCGAGACTCTGGAGGGATTGTAGCCTTTGCGCTGAAGAAGTGGAAATCCGAGCAACAAATACCTCTCGTCAATGGCCATCACAAAAATGGAAACAAAGCATCCTTATCAGGACTCATGCTATGCATCGACGGCGGCGCAAGCAAATGTGCCGCAGTAATATCAGATCACAGCGGCATCCTCAGCCGTGGTGAAGCCGGACCGTGTAATTTGTAAGTGTATCTTAGCGCGTCCTATATTACTACCCATCGCAATAGCTAACAATATATCATCCCAGCACTGATCTCGGCCTCAAAGGCGTCATCAAGCCAATCTCAACAGCTGTCCAGCGAGCCTTGACAAAAATGACTCAGACCAACAAAGACAGCTCTCGCGCGCCCCAACTTCCACCATTTACTTGTTTCACGTCAGCCTGGATCGGATTAGCTGGATGTGACCGACCAGAAGCCGCAGCCGTACTCATGCCCGTGCTTCGCGAAATGCTAGGTCTCGAGAACAATGAAGACGGCGCCCCCGCCCTCAGCATCACCAACGACGTGAAACTCCTTGCCGCAGGGATCAAGAGCCACCCAGAGACAAACACGGGCGTCACCCTCATCGCAGGCACAGGCAGCGTCGCCATGAGTTGGAACATCACGCCGAAAATGGAGATCCAGCAGCTCGGCCGAACAGGCGGATGGGGACACATTCTGGGCGACGAAGGAGCAGGGTTCCATATTGGTCGGCAGGGCATCAAGTCCACATTGACAGCCTGGGAGCAAGTCCAATTAGGTCTGCCGCATGCTGCACTCGGACCCATGCACCGCGCTCTCCTGGAAACATACGGTGTCTCGTCACATTCAGGAGCAATCAATAATCCGGATATTGACATTCTCAGCGCGTTTCTTGGCACAGGGCATGCAGAGGATCCGGCCAAGAATTTGAAATCCCATGTAGCTGCTGCTGCGCGCGTGGTGCTGGATATGGCGAGCGTCGATCCGGCCGCGGCTGCAATCCTGGCTCGAGCGTCTGACGATCTCGCACAGCTGGTCATCCCGCTTGCCCAACCCAGCCGCATAGATCCAGCGGTATCGACTCTAGTCCTGGGAGGCGGGTTGTGGCGTAATGAGGCGTACAAGTCGGCCGTGCTGAAGAGACTCGCTGACCAAGGTGTCAAGTTTAAACATGTCGAAGTTGTCAACGAACCGGCCGTTGCTGGAGCTGCGTACCTCGCCCAAATGCAAGATGGGACATGTCAATAATGTCATATTCGTAGACCTTCGTTATTATTATATTATTATCATTATTATTGTGCCGAGAGTGTGTATTTAACTGATATTGGGTTTAATTCCTGATGGCGCTGGTCCAATGGTGGAGTTGGTTGTACCGTTTTCTATTATCATTGTCATTGTTATTATCATTTTTTATTATTTCTATTTCAATTTCGATATCTCTTTCTATTTTTATTTTTTTTCTTTGGTGATCAAACGGTCAGATTTCCTTCAGTCCGTACCAATTTACCTTATCCTGATCCTTTTTATTTACCTTATCCTCATTAGTTTGCCTTGTCCTTATCCTAATCGAATAAAGTATTTGTAGATAAATACCCTATACAGGAGCTCCCCATGTAGTCGTCAAAAAGATCCATTAAGCATATTTGGCTTTATTACCTAAGTATTCTTAATACATATACTGGTCTATGAACCCACCAATTAAATGCCGCTTCAAATTAATGCATAATGGAAAAGTTCTTCACCTCAATTTTGCGAGTAGACGCAATGGCCAAATTTCCAGACTTGGTCGATACTAAGAGTTGCGTGACCTGAGTCATCACGAGACTCATCAAGAATAACCAGGTCTGCATCAGCTCCGCCACGCAGAGTGCCCTTTGACCTTTCCAGACCCAGCATCTTCGCTGGTGTTGCTGTGATGGCTTTGAGGGCCTGCGGTATGGAAGCACCGGTCCAGTTTAAAAAGTTGGTCACGCACTCAAGCAGTGTAGTTGAACTATACAATCGTAAGCTCACATATCTAGGGCCAGAGAGGAGAAGAAAACTAATTGGACGTATCTTACCTGCCTGCAATCTTATCGGATCCCTCAAGAGTTAGCAGTGGACCCTTCTTCTCGATACGTTCCCCATTGGTCCACTCGTAGACCCCATCAGGCAGTCCGACCAAACTCATGGCATCCGTCACGAGAATGAATCCATCCGGATGCGAGCTATAAGCAATCTTGACAGATGTTGGATGTAGATGGATGCCATCAGCAATGACGCCAAAATAAGGGCTAGGCGTCTGTTGCGACGTTCCAAGCAGACCAAAGATCCCTGGATTCCGGTGGTGCAAGGGACGCATGGCATTGAATAAATGCGTAACCATGGTCGCCCCAGCCTTTGCCGCTTCGGATGCTTCCTCGTACGTTGACTCTGAGTGACCGATAGAGAATACTATATCGCGAGAAGCCACTTCCGGGATCGCATTCATAATACCACCCATCTCAGGTGCAGCAGTGATCATCTTGACCGTTGCCTTTGGGCCATGGCTATGGGGTGAAACGCCCAAATTCTTTTCGCCATAGCATTCAACAAAATCCTGGAATCCATTGTCCCCAGACCGCAGTACGTCGATGCTGTGAATGCCGCGCTTTGTGGGACTCAGAAAAGGTCCTTCGCAATGTGCGCCGAGCGATTCTGATCCTTCTTGGGCCGCCCTTCGGCCGCCCGTTGGTCCCAAGTATGGGAGAGCCTTATCAGAGACTCGTATGAGCGATTTGATCTTTGGGTTCACAATGCATTGCCCTCACCTGATGGTAGACTTCTCTTCTTTGACTTGTCAACGTAGGCAAATATGCCGTGACTCCAGTGCGGATGAGGTTTTTATTTAGATACGCCAGTCCTTTGGCATAATCGGCAATGTTCTCTGGGACCACAGAAAAGTCCACACCAAATGCACCGTTCAATTGAACATCGATGAAGCCTGGCGAGATAATCTTCCCTTGGAGATCGACGACCTGATCTGGACTGACGCCGTATTCATAAAAGGCCTCTTGCTGATGGAGGATGCGGCCAGTGAGTGAGCTGACCCACAAATCCTCCTCGACGAGGCGGTCATCCTTGACGAGTCGACAATTGGTGAATTTTATGATGCCCCCATCCAGCGACTTGGATCCCGTCTCAGTAACGAGCGAAGGCATCGTGGAACTTGTTAGGTCAATCACGTTGCTTGATGCGAGTTTTCAGGAGGTGATGTAGAATCGGGCAATTCGGCACCGACGCCGAGGAAAAGAAGGGAATAAATATAATAATGAAGCCATTGCTGCTCAACAAGATAGCTGCAGCCCTTGATCACCGTAGATTTTAATGGCAATGTAGCATAGTGATATTTGTGGTAGAGTAGCATCCTCGTGGCATTAATTGGGCTCGAAATGTGTTCGCCCCACGTTACTTTAGCGATAAGATAAATCAGAAAAGAGATGGAACCTGGTATCATTCGTATCGCCACGCAAAGGGCATCACTGCTTAGTCGGTATGTTTTGGATCATTTCCTGGCCCATGATTATCAAAAGAGTTGTAAGGACACTCGGGTATATTTCGGCTCGAGTAGGGTTACATCCGCTGCTGGGGGAAGCCTTTCTTTCCACGAGTCATAACGTCTCGGGCCAAACCGTGACTTTACCGACTCTGATTTAGAGTGGCCTGGTGTCCATTTGGGATGAAGCGGAATAAGGTAGCTTACCCCTCCAAACCCTTCCTTGAGCAGAGTTGGTAGGTAGCCCTTGACGTTGCTTCATGGAAGCGCGCAATGTAACCCATCCGGGATAAGGGGCCAAATGAACTCAAGAGAAAAGAAGCTACTAGCTCAGCATGGTCAAAATATTCACATGACGTGTAAATGGGGATGCTTTCGTAAACTTCGTGCTGAATATTGTCTGGAATCTTTTGTAGAAATCCCAAGTGAGCGGCCTCAAATCTCTAAAAAAGCCGATATACTGTATCAAAGAATAGCCAAGACGAGCCTATCATGTAGGAACATGCCCTCTTTCGCTGCGCAAGCAAAGTTGACAAAGGCCAGGAGATTAATCATTCGGGACGACCCTGATGAGGCATCGCGATATATTGCCGATTACATTCTTGGTCAGAAAGCCTCTCTTGTTTCGTGGGCACGACTGGAGGTTTCAGGAACGCTGACATACTGAATTAATAGAACGCATCAAAGGCTTCGACCCTTCTCCTGAGCGTCCCTTTGTGCTGGGCTTGCCAACCGGCAGCAGTCCGAAGCTCATTTACAAATATTTGGTGGAAAGCTTCAAAGCAGGCCAGATATCTTTTCGCGATGTGGTGACATTCAACATGGTGAGCTCTCCATGCCTCAAGTCAATTACTTTGGAAGAAAAGAGGCTCATGGCTCATTCTCATTAGGATGAATATGTGGGGATCCCCCGCGAGCACCCAGAAAGCTATCATAGCTTCATGTACCAGAATTTCTTCAGCCATGTCGACATTGATCCTGCCAACGTGAACATTTTAGATGGAAATGCATCCGACCTCGAAGCCGAATGCCTCGCATACGAAAGCAAAATTAAAAACGCCGGCGGGATTGAGCTATTCCTCGGCGGCATTGGCCCGGATGGGCATATTGCATTCAACGAGCCAGGCTCCAGTCTTCGATCGCGCACTCGTGTCAAGACGTTGGCGTACGACACAATTTTGGCAAACTCACGATTCTTCAATAACGACCTGAGCCAGGTTCCACGTATGGCGTTGACCGTGGGCGTGCAAACAGTTCTGGATGTGAGTGTTGCCCAATTGACAGATCTGCAACTTGAACACTAATTCCTTTCCTCTTTCCAGGCGCGAGAAGTGGTAATTATCACCACAGGTGCACATAAGGCGCAAGCGCTTCAAAAAAGCATCGAGGGAGGCGTCAACCACATGTGGACACTTTCGGGTCTCCAGCTGCACCCTCACGTCATGATCGTCGCCGACGAGGATGCGACGTTGGAGCTACAAGTCAAAACGGTCAAAGTAAGCGCACCAGAATCCCCGCGGACTCTCTTTCACTTAATCCTAGTACCTTGTCATCGTCTGACGAGTGCCGAGCAGTATTTCAAGAGCATTGAAAAAGTCGCGCGGGAGCTCGGGTTCGAGCAAAAACTTTCGTCGCCAATCGAAGCCAGCAAAAAAGCTTCCATGGTGAGTCGGATGCTGAGTAGCAGAGCCGGTGCCGGTGGTTGGCCGCTTAGTAGTGGAACGGCATCCACCAACCCCAAAAACCTCACTGTCGATACTTCAGCCGTTCCTCCCCGACCTGTCACCCCAGAATTGGTTCCCGACAGTATGCATTCGCGGACACCAGTATAAGATAAAATCTTGTCACTCTCTTGGATTAGACCACAGATAAGGGAGCTTTGTAAAGCTCTTTGGCACACCAAAATGAAACAATTGGAAAGCATAATACCAATAGATGGGTCATTGGAAATTTTTCGGCCGGTCGTGGTCTAGATAGTTTGGTCCGTTGCTTATCTTTCAAATGAAGTGCCGTCGATCATGGCTTTTCTAGTGGCGCCGGTGACCACGCCTGCATTCATAGAGTCGCGTAGCTTCTGGCCGAGAAACGCGCCGTTGAGGATCAAATTTCGTGTGAACAGCGCCAGAGGGGCAGGTGGGAAGTGGGCGCTGGGGCTCGATGATGGCCTGCGACCAGGTTGGGTAACTCGATTCGGCTTCAAGTATCGTGCCAAGCCCGAATCGGCTCTCTTCGGTTGCAGGGTGGCTGGCGGCTGGAGGACACTTCAAAGGGAACTAAACAACACTTGAATCCATTTGGCGCCACTGGGAGATTTGAAGGTCCAGAAATGTCTCCATTTATCGTCTTTGAACTCCTTGATCCCCACGTGCCAAATGGACTCGACTGGATGGAGCCCTGCACGCCCCATACATACCATACTCGTATAGGCATGACCATCAATTGATCAATTGCTCTTTTATCCGCCCAAACTGCTCCCTTGCCATGGATTCCACTGTTAAAGATTGCGTAGGGCCATCTATAATTATTCCTTTTTTTGATTCGACGTAACTTTTTTCTCTCGCTCTCTCTCAATTCCCACGCCCAGCACGGCCTGGTGCCCTGTGATCGGGTGTCTTTCCGATTCCCTCAAATTGCTGCCATCCCGTCGTTACTGTCAAATCTTCAAAATCTCTGCTTTTTCTTCTGTACCTTTCCCCCATCTCCTGTCTTCTCTCTCCTTTGTTCCCTTTCGCAATGCCACATTGTATGGCCAAATTATCCGAATACGCCTGTCCTAACCCAAGCCCCGTAAATAAAGCCTTGGGACAATCGTATCCAGAAGATTGGCGATGATGAGGAAGGATTCCGGCGCCGAAATGGATCCTGCGCATCTTGGTGTTCCTCAGCTGAAGCTCGACGTCACTACTCCATCCCGACAGCGACAGGACGGAAAAAGCGGCTTCCGACGTTGCCCGCCGGAAAATATTCACTTTACCGGCGAGCGGCGTCCGCTGGCCTCACGGGTTTGGAGCTCTCCGCCTGCATCACCTATATTTCAGCAATTTTCAGAACAATTTAAAGAAGTGCCCAATTGCGCTCATGGTAATTTCACGCCGCCCCAGACGCCGGTGCAGCACCAGCGGCGCGCATCCTTCACCACTGCCAATGAAGCGATCTTCCATGATTATCAGGGTCGAGTCATCCACTCAGACCCATCCATTAATAAAGGGCAGTTGTTCGACCCTGAAGCTCGGGTGAAGAATGCATGGGAAGCATGCCAACAACCGCGGATTTGTTCTCGTGAATATGAAATTCGACTGAATGAGAGCAGCCAGAGAGAAGAGTTCGGCCGAGGAGCATGGAGCATTGTCTACAAAGCGGAATGTCAGACGCCTCAACCGAAATTTCAATCATCCGCTCCAAATTTGCTCTCTCCGCCAGTATCGCCCATCGCTGGAACCGATGGCTGTGATAGACCAACGCCCGGACTAGTTGCCGTCAAATCCCTTGCCCGAAGGGACGGGCAGCCCGTTATCGAACAGGAGGCACGCATTTTAACGTACCTACAACCTTCGTGCTCCAACTCCATCAGCTATGCTGGAAGATTTATGACCAAATTCTTTGGTTATGATGCATCCTTGACGGCTCTAGTGCTCGAAGCAGTCCCGTTGACTATGATAGAATACTGCGAGCAGCAGGCGATGGCAGTGCGAGAAGAGTCAAGACGACAAAGGAGCATGAAGCCAAGAGTAGTCGTAGGAATGGATGTTTGGCTCGGGTTTGCCGAACAGCTGATCGATGGTCTCAAATATTTCCATGACCACTCTGTCGTCCACGGGGACATCAAGCCGATGAATATCTTGCTGCGAAAAGGAAGCGGTACCCACGGCCTTCAGCCCATCTACTGCGACTTTTCATCCTCACATGTTGTCCACCCGCAAATCGAGCCAGAAAGAACGACGGCTTGGACGATTGAGTTCACGGCGCCCGAGGTGTTAAAGTCGATAGCGCGGGGCGACGACGTCGTGGCCACGTTCTCCAACGACATTTTCGCGCTTGGGGTCAGTCTCTTAACGCCCGTAATGGGGAACTTACCTTACGCTGGGGCCTCTGAATTTCAGAAGCGAAGCATGGCCATGCAGGGAACACCCCTCGCCTTTGAGCTACCTCGACCACGAGATCGGTCTCGAGATTTTGTCTTGATTGACAAGCTTCTGTCTGCTGCGGTAATTCGTCATGTCGACCAGCGGGTCGATGCCTCCTCATGGCAAAGCCTGCACCGCGAAATAGCTCGCGAATGGAAACTCTCCGAATCCGCCAACCAGGGTACCGCTCAATCATAATCTCACGCTTCCTGGCTATAATGCGCATTTTAATATTCTTTCTTCGTTTCTGCAAAAGGGCTTTTTGGAGTTGTTATTTCTGCATAAAAGGTTCAAGGGTTTAAATCTTTTCGGTGTTGGGAGGGTAGGGTTAAAGACGCATCATGAAGATACCATGAGATATCTCATCTCAAATGAGCGACATTTGATTTTGGAAGCGAAAAGTAATCATTTGCTACTGTATTTTTAGAATCCTTTGTATACTGTAACACAATAAACGTGAAAGCATGTGGTATCAATTGTCTCTTCCGTCAGACAGCACTCCGAGATGTATCTGGCAAACGCCCCAGTTCAACTGAGCACGTGTCATGTTCTGCTTCAAATAGAGCCCAGTGAACCACCTCGTGCACTGAATTGTTTTTGGTCATTGGCAAATAATTGAGCGAAAGGGCCTCACAACAGGCATACAGTCGGATCCTTGGGTGTCGTGAAAAGAAATTAGCAGGACCATACAGTTGAAAATGTAAGGTGTCGGAGGAATGAAAGGTGTTTACCTTTAGTTGTCGAATGCGAAGGCGGAGTTGGCTGGCAGAATCAACTAATACAAGGTGGGGTAGATTCGTTTGGCGAACAGAATGTGGGGAAATGAAGTAGTTAACTTATGACCCCACGACAACCCAAACGTGATCACGAGCAATTATGGCCATATTCCTAACACAACAGACGGTCAATTGCAATTTCTCCTATGTTCTCGTCGAAACATGCCTAAAACCCACGACTCTTTTCTCATGGTCGGGCCTGATAGCACGATGCGGCAATTTGTCCCGCAAACGGGAAGACTAAGGCGGGAGCCAACGAACCCTTTAGGGTTGAGCTCATTGTTCGCTGCTGGCTAAATTCAAGCTCCATCCAGCTTAAACGTGCAATCTTTATCTTAGTTCCCACACTGTCCTCACGCCGTTTCATTTCAAATGTGTTGCAACCTACCTTATCACCAGAGAGGCAAGACTGAGGGGCTCGCGGGCCACTCTCCCTCATGCCTGGTTTGAACTGATACTCTTTGTTCATATGCTTGAAACCAGCATTTAAACATGATCTGGACCCCTCCCGCAAATTGATATATCGTGATTTCTTGGCATTAGCTAGTCACTCTATTTTACTTATCATTCAGCGATATCTTTCTCTGAATTCCATAGACTTTGCTCTGCCGCCTCCTTCCGCATAGAAACAAATTGAAGATTGCTGCTTAATATCGTTTCATGATGCAGATCAAGACAACGCTCATTGCTGCTCTGATTTCGACTGCGGCCGAGGTGTCTGCCGCATCGTCAACCAATACTAATGAAGGGTTAACTCCCAAACAGGTACGTTCAATAATCTTGGCTGAGCAGTTCTGTCCATTTGTCTTGAAACGCATCAAAGGACTGACTCAGTTACATTCAACAGACATCCGAGATCTCTGTACAGCTCTCGAGTTACTGGAATTCTCTTACCGCACAATCAGAGTACACGTCCGTGTTCAATGCTCTTGCGACGGAGATTCCTACTAGTGTTCTAACCCATATTGAAAACGACCATAACGCATTCATCGAAGCCATCATCACGGCCACGGCTGTTCCGGCGTGGGTCAATGATATCTCTGACGACATTCAGAGCTATCTCGTCTCCGTTGGTAGCAAAGAAGTTGCAATCGTCACCAAGGCTCTGGACAACGAAGCGCCTGCGTCTTCTGGCGCAGTAAAGGCTATTGGAGCGGCTGCAGCAGGTGTGCTTGCCGCTGCTGTGCTTCTGTAAATCTCGCGAGATATCAAACTCACGTTATTGTCTTTTGAGTTCGTTGCTTTACTCGATGAATCTTTTCGGGTCGTACCGAAAGCTTTTAGTTTAATATCCAGCGATACAACAAATAATGGAAGTATTGTTCCGGCATGATGGCTTTTCCAAAGCGTATTACGTACATATTATTTTTGTCCAAGTGATGAAAAAGTGTCCGCTGGAATCATTTGATGGTGAAATGTGATATCAAGTAATTCTTACGAGTCTCTATTTTATCGCAAGACATAAGCTAACAATGCGGTCAACGCCAAATGTGGAAGATAAAGAAATGTTGCATATAAAATTTTGTCTGCTGACAACCGGCCCTAACCCTCACAAATCTTGCAGCAGCAAGTGCACCATGATGGAAACCAACCGATTTGGATTCGATGGATGATTGATATCGCTGCCACGTTCACTCAGCAGGGTGGGCCCTAGAAGAACAAACAAGTGGTAAGGATTTGTCCCCGGTCTGTTGCTGTTCTGCAGCTGTCCATGCACTACGCCGCTGTCTTGCTCTCACGCGCACCTACACAACAACCATCCGTGGCAATCCAACAAAGATTCTACATGCAATGCAATCTTCAGCACCAACATATTCCACTTTCTCCCTCACTCTCTACGCTAAAGCATACAAAATATCAGTGGAGAGTTCATTTCTTGAGAAATATTCAAGCGATCGATCACAAAACTTGGCCAGTGTACCCCGCAAAAGCAACCCACGCACTGAGCATTATTGCTCTTACCATTGTGCTTCTCGCTCGTATTTGCGACATCACTCAATCCCTCATTTACTAACCCAACTTGACTTCATGTGGAAAGTAAATAGATCTGAACCCACAGGTGGCGGCGTCGAACTCAAGTCTGGACGGTTCGCTGCATCGCTCTTCGGTCCTCGTCCCGCTTTGCTCGTTGGAACTAGCAACTGTCCAGGCGAAAACGGTCATCTAGCCCTAGGCTGGGTGGTCTACCCAAGGCGAAGGGCGGGTGCGGGACAAGACGCGAGACCGAAGGAACCTTGGAAGCTATTCTTGCTTGGCGGAAGAAAGACGCCAAACATGACTTAATGCTTCAAATACTCCACTCTGGTGCAGCTCAGGTGGTGTAGCTACTTGAATAGGTATTATCCAGGTCTGACAGCGTGTGCAAATATTTCTCAAAGAGGAATAATATCATCTACTTTTAGGACCTATATTTATTTATCTCACTTTTGAGCTAACTGGACTGCATCATTAGGGAAATTATTTGAAACCTGTTCAAGCGGTTCGATTTCCTGATGGGGATATTATGCTGGGATACCCTTGACGCCCTCTTCCCGTTACGCTGTAATACTCCGTGCTCATTTAGACTCGGCGGCTGGAGAAGCGAGGACACAGGCTGAAGGGGTCCCTTGACTGTCAAATCCCGACAGTGACACCGAGTACCTGTTTCACAGAGATGTCTTGCAGATGTTCACAGATATTCCCTGAGGGTAATCAGAAGGGGCCCAATTTCACTTCAAAATGGATCAGTCAAGAGAAAAGAAAAGTCACGGCTTTGGGAGAAAAACAATGGATAAAAAGAGTTCGTCCTGTTCTGCTTAGGCCCGGAAATTTCGGCGCAAGTAATACGGAGGCAACCAGCCACTTCAGGATAAAAAAGAGGCAGCTTAACATGATAGTTGCACCGTTTCCCCGCCGTGGCTTGCACAGCAGACACCCTTCGTCTCAAACTACGGAAAAGGCTTCTGCGGCTCCAACATGCCCTCCAGCCATTCACATCCATCCCTGGATCCTCGAAATGGTTAACCTTGTTTGACATTTCCTACCTTTTTAGCGTCAGATGCTCCTCTGGTAGGGGAACACGCGTGTTGGCGATCGCAACGCTTATGCACAAAGCAACATGGATCTTTTTTTCTATTGTTGCACCGCTTTGCGCTCTGGTCCTCGCTCTCATCTCATTTCCTTTCCTAGGCTCATTTTCTCGACCTCCACTATCAGAGGACGTGCGTTGGTGTCTTATGCAACCCGCTAGGTAGTGCATCATTGTATCTTTTTTGGGATCATGCACGTTTTGCTTTGGCGCGGCGACTGCGACTGCGATGGCCCATGAGAATTGCGGCCCTGGGCAGGCGTCTATAAGATTTCCTCGCCGCGCACCAACGCAGCAGAACACATTCATCAATTCCTTGCTACGAATTGACTGGGCTTTCCCTGCAGAGCTTTTGCATCGTATCCTGAACAGCTCGTTGGCGGAGACACATTACAAGGGAGCCACTTGACCGTCTTCCCTCTTGCTTTGTATTAGCTATTGTGTCTTGGCTTCAGCGCCATTGAGTCTCCAGCATCCATCAAAAAAAAAAAATACAATGGCAATCCATTCTCTTTTCTCGCGGTTTTATCTGCATCCGCGCTCTCTTCTCAACGCAGTCATCTTCGCCCTCTGTCTCGCGATACTATTCAGCAGCCCATCCGCGGCTCTACCTCACTTTTCACCTACTCGCAAGACGCGCACGCTCGGAGACCTGTCCTCCTGCGCGCTCCCTACCACCGCTGGTTCCAGCTCATTGCCTACACCCAGCACCAGCCTTCAACTCAAACACGTTGCCGTAGGCCGGGGCGTGCAAAACTACACCTGCGCCTCATCCACGTCTTCATCCGTGCCCAAGGCAATCGGCGCCGTCGCCACCTTATTCACCGCGGATTTATTTGCGGAAGTCGACCAACAAGGACTCAATGACGCAATGAGCATGATTGTTGAGATGCCCAATCCGTCCGCATATAGCAGCCTCGGGCCCCTCAATTTGTTCGCCCTCGGCCATCATTACTTTTCGGCCGATGGCACCCCGACCTTTGATCTGGGCAGCGTGGGTTTCTTCCACGGCGCTAAGCTTGCGGATATTCCAGCCCCGGCAAACGCGCCCAAGGGCCAAGTCGGAGAGGCAGCTGTCGACTGGTTGACTCTCGGTGATAAAGGCGGAAGCACCGGTATTCTTGAGGTATATCGAGTCTGGACTGCCGGTGGGTCCCCGCCAACAACATGTGATGGCCAAGAGGAAGTCATTTCGGTCCAGTATGCGAGCCAGTATTGGCTTTTTGGGTAGTGTGGTTGAGCAACATTGCCAGGGGTCCCGGGGGAGGGCCCGCGGAAAGGTAGAGAAGGGCAGGGTGCGTGTGTGGAGAGGATCAATTGACAACGGAGGCTTTTTGAATTTTAGTTTCAGCATTTTGTTTTTTTCCTTTCCTCTCTCTTTTCGAAATTCGGATTCGGTCGTTTTATTGCTTTGATGCAATCATACCCACTCATGTTAAGTCTATTTTTGTTATTTACTCTCATTGATTATTAAAAGTTGGAGGAAGGGGGCGAAGGAAGAGCGCGCAAGTGGTGGGACTGGATGAGGAAAATAGTGGATAACGAGAGATGGGAAATTATTTCTCATGTACATATATTATTTACAAACATGCTTGTACATAAGTAGTATTACATATCAAGACAACACTAATCTTGATCCATTAAGTCTCCTCTATGTAGAGATGCTACGAAAACAAGAAAGTCAGGTTGAGCAAAATGTGTCCTCTAGAACATTTTACCACTTTTCCCTGCGTCACCATTCGGACTTTCCGCTTCTTCAACACCAGCAGCGCCAGCGTCCGATGCAACGTGATTCAAAGTAGTGCTATCGACGGCACCAACGGCAGAACCGGCACCAGCACCGTTACCGTTACCGCTCATGAAGAAATTACACAGGAGCGCCGCAGCAACACTGACGTTGAGACTATCTACGCCACCTTTGCCCGCGCGCGAGCCGGGAATACTCACGTGGTGATTCGCCTGCGAGACGAGGTAGCGTGGCAGCCCGACGCCTTCGCTGCCGACAACAAGAATCGTAGGCTGTGCGGTGAGTAGCGAGGGCAGAGAGGAAGGGTTGATGTGTTTCGTCTGCGTTTGTGGTGTAATTGTTGAGTCGAGGTGCGGCGTGGTAGAGGATCCAGACCGGAAGGTTGAGGAAGTCGAAGAAGGGGTAGAGGAAGGAGAAGCTGGTGGAGGAGCGACAGCGGCACAGACTCGCCAGCCGTTAGTCTGAGACTGGGCAAGGAACGCTCGTGCGTCTTGAATGTTGAGGAGCGGAAGGAATTCACATGCTCCTGCGGAGGATTTTTGGGCGATTGGGGTCAAGGGGGCACTGTTTCGGCGGTTAGTATACATAGAGAGAGAGAGAGAGAAAGAGAGAGAGAGAGAGCATAGTCAGGGGTGTAAGTGACGGGAGGAGAGGGATTTGGGATTGGGTGCTGAAGGAGATGAAACAGGAAGAAGGGATAGAAAGTGCTGAATGAGATGAAACGGGGAAAGGAGAGGGTTGAATGAGAAAGAACAAGGATAAAAAGAGTATATATGTAAAAGGGCCCCGTCTATGCATACAAAGGAAACAGACCATGTTCGAGAGCCAATGACGACGGCGTCAACGCCGAAAAAGTATGCTGATCGTAGAATAGCGCCGAGGTTGCCCGGGTCAAGCTGTGAGGCTGTGTCAGTTTCATAACAGGCGTGATTTGGACGAAAATAGATGAGAATAGGCATTGAAAACGCTTGTACTAAAAGTACAAGGATGCTAACGGAAACGGAAGTAGATAAAGGGAGCACGAGGACGTACAATCTCATGAAGCATAAGGACAAGGGGATAGCGCTGTCCTTTGCTATCGTAGTGGATTTGATCGTCGGTTCCGTTGACTGCTGCCTCTTCCTCTGATTGATACCGGAGCGTGGTATGGAAGACTTCACCCACTGGCGATGCCTGACCGAGTGCGGCGACGGGGAGTTGAGGAACAGGTGACGCTTCGAGGACGCAATTCTGCATCATTGGTGACAAGTTAGAAATAATGACCAGTTACAAAGAATAACTGAAGAAAAGATGACAATGAATTTGCAAGGACAAAGTTTCAAAATGGAATCTTTTATTTTGTAATTGAGATATACGAACATTATGTGGTCGACCTTTGCTCATCTTGTCTAGCACTCTTATCCAATCGCCCGAGACCTGACGGAGAAGAACACCGGAATTGCGAGCTAGCCGTTCCAGTTTCTTGTCTATTGCTTGTTTTCCGTCCTCTCCAGTATATAAATACAGTGTATATAGTCTTCGTCGTTTAGACGCCAGAGCTGCGGTCACGGAAGAGGTCCCATAGACAAATTCGGATGCGGATGTTGTGTACGGGATGTATATCGGAGCTTTGGACTTCCACGTATTTTTCTGCGTGGAATTTGGCTTGTCGGCCCTCTGAGAGGCATATTCTCTGCGATCCCTACGGTCCTTCCCATCTCCGCCGATTTTATTTGGTTTTGACTCCCAGCGCCGTCTTGGTTGGTCCGGCTTGTCATCTGCTCTGCGTGGTGGGCCTCCTCTCTTTTGCTGCTCGGGATATTTTCCTCGGGATTTGGGGGGACGGGAATCATAGTCAAGAGTGTGAGCATCGGCAGGGTCCCATTCTCTGGGCCGCTCGCTGGTCCTTCTCGGTCCATCTGACCCTCTAGACTTGCGGATGCCTCGATTGATTGCAGTGTTGAGTGAAACTTGTAGCGGTGCGGAGGTGCTTAACTGTTGCCGTCCTGCAGCAATTAGTGTTTGCGCACAGCATAGTCTGCCGGTTTGAAGAAGCAATTGATGTCGCATGTTTGAGATCATTGCATTTCTAAGCGGTCGATGTTTCCTTTGTTGGATAGTTTTCCACTATGAGAGTGAATTTCACAGGTGTTGTCCAGTCTACCTGCAAATCAATTTAAGTGATACGCGAGACGATGCTTTCGTTTACGCGAATTGAAGCTCAAAGTCGCGTCTCCCGGGCAATCGTCCTTTGGCTGTTGTTCTCACTTTACCTTGATTTTTTTCATTTTTTTGTCTCACAACTGATTTATTCTCGCTGCTCTAATTCTTGAAGCTTGTGCTACAGCATTGCAAACTGTCTCTCTTTGTGCGAGTTCTTATTCTTTTTTGTTACGTTGTGAGCTTGCTAACAATGAAATCATAGCTTTGCTCTAGCAGTGACATTTTTACACGCACAACCTCGATGAAGCCTTATCCTTGAAGCACGAGAGCAGCTTCGTTTGCTGAGATGCTTTCCTCGCGCTCGAGCAGCTCCTCAAGGAGCAGCTCGGCGTCGTCCGATGCTGATTCAGAGGCTATCGCAAACGCGTTGCAGTTCCTCCAGGAACGCCCAGGCTTTGAGCACGACCCCGCTGGTGATTCAAATCCAGACAGTCACGATGCGAAAAGTGATGGAACAGAAGACTCTATTAAGAGGGACCCAACCGCCCTTCGTTTGTCTAAACTCCCGCTTGGCGCTCTAGCCTCAACCACCCTCTACAAAACCCATCCCCAACATAGAAACCAAGCTTCATTAACCAACGGCAATCATCCTTCTCAGCCAAAGATGGATATGGTGGTAAAAGTTCCCCGGGCATACCATGAGAGGGGCACATATCTCGAATATGAGGAAGAATTCACCGTAAAGAGAGTCAGGAAGGACTGGATCGATAATGAGAAAGCTGTCTATGAAGTCGTATTCGAGGATGGACACTTTGAAAATGTAAGTGAGTTCGGTTTACTGACATTCCGGGACTCCCTATGCCCAGTTTTTGAAACTCTGCAGCTCTGTTTCTCCTCTTTGGGCTTGACTCATGCTCACACTTTTTCTATTAGGTTTCACTTGAGCGCTTGGAGAAGCTTCCGAATGGTCAATCTGCGCTTGATTCGTACATCATTTACGAGTCTTACACCTCCGAGAGTCAAGATGACCTGGATCCACACCCAGCTAATCTGCGTCTATCACGGCGAGCATCGAGAAAGCCTCGCGAGTCGAAAGTCACTGATCTCATAGAGCTGTCTTCGAATGTTGATGGTGCGGATGAGCTTGACGACCTCAGCACTCCCGAAGCTGCGGACACTTACAAGCCCCGAGCGACTAGACTTAGACTTACTGAACCTAAGCGTACTCGTCAGATGGTTTTCGAATATACTGAAGACGAGGAGGAGCGGGCTGGATATATCAAGCGCAAAATCCGTACAAGGAAAGCTAAACGTATCCCGGATTTGCGGAAGAGCACGAGGCCTAGGAGGTCAACAGCTCGTGAAATGACAGTTTCCCTTACGTCCACAGATGAATCCAGCGAAGAGTCAGACGAAGTAAGCTTTCCAAGGAGACGCAACAACCGCCGGCGAGCAGACGATGATGAAGGTGACGAGGATTTTCCTTGGATTGTCTCAGATGTTGTTTCGTCCAACCGTCGTTCTAGGAAACGGGCGAGCAGACCATTGCGGAACTCGGTAGCGAAACGTCCTAGCAAAACCATAAGAGGCCTGCAAATGGACACTCCTACGAGTGCTGAAGGCACTAGGCGGTCTACTAGATCCGGGAGAGCCGTCAAGAGCATGGCGGAGAAATTAGAGGATGATATCTATCTCCTTGAAGATCAATCCAATACCACACCCACGGTCCCCCGAGCTGTGGGAGCACGAGAGGTGTTCAAGGACCTCCCAAAGAGCAATGCGTTTCGCAACTCGCATTGCCAGGCGTGCGATACTTGTGGCGAGTACGGAAATAGTAAGGTTAAGGGCAATCTCATATTTTGCCAAGGCTGCACTATGTCGTACCACAAAGCTTGCCTTCGACCACGGAATCAAAGAGAGCATTTGGCAACGAAGGTGTCCGAGGACGAATTTGTTCTGCAATGCCGTCGATGTATTCGTATTGCCGAGAAAAAGGATCCCATCGCGCCACGGCAAGACATTTGCCAAGTGTGCAAAGAGTCCGGCCTTGCCTGCAAAGCCTTCCGGGCCCCCAAGACAGCGCGCCAGGAAGAAAAGGAGAGAGAAGAGAATGCTGGCAATGATCCCATTGCTGAGGTCGATAAAGCTCGCATCAATAATGCTGAAATTATTCTTTTCCGCTGCGTCACCTGTTATCGGGGATTCCACTTTCACCATTTACCACCGATGAATAATCATCTGTCTCCAGAGGCTAAAAAAGTTGACGCTACCAAACTACGCAAAGAGGAATACTGCACAAAATGGCAGTGCAAAGAATGCCTCAACAACGGCACTAAAGTGGATACATTAGTTGCATGGCGCCCCGTTAATGAAGACAGCTATATCCCTGGCTACAGCGCGGATCAAGTCTCCGAAGATGAGAAGGAATATCTTATCAAGTGGCAGAATCTGTCTTATTACCGTGCGACCTGGATGCCTGGCTCTTGGGTCTGGGGCGTTACTCAATCTGCCATGCGAAAGGCGTTTATGAAGCGAAATAACGGGTTCAATTACCCCAAAATGGCGACAGAAGATGCCATTCCCGAGGAGTTTCTGCGGGTCGATATTATTTTTGACGTGGAGTATTCGAATTTTGTTGACGTTAAAAATGAAGAGGTCGAAAAGGCTCGCGTCAAGGAAGTGAAGCGTGCTTTTGTCAAGTACAAGGGCTTGGGATATGAAGACGCTGTTTGGGAGGACCCGCCCGACCCCGAAGATGGAGGACGTTGGATCGATTTTGTCGCCGCTTACGAAGACTGGGTTGCTGGCCGATATGTGCAGATCCCTAAGCAACATTACCTCGCGGACCGCATCGAGAAAACTCGCCATAAGAACTTCGAGAAAGATTTGGTGAAAAAAGTACAACCAAGCAATCTTACTGGGGGCGAATTGATGTCCTACCAGATGGAAGGAATGAATTGGATTTACTATCAGTGGTATAAGAACCATAATGCGATCTTGGCGGATGAAATGGGTCTAGGCAAGACCATTCAGGTTGTCGCATTCTTGGCAGCATTGGTTCAAGATGTTCGCTGTTTTCCATTTCTTGTTGTCGTTCCCAACTCGACTTGTCCTAACTGGCGTCGGGAGATCAAAAAATGGGCGCCCTCACTTCGCGTTGTTTCATATTACGGAACTCAACGTTCTCGCGACCTGACCTATGATTATGAGCTATTCCCGGAAAACAGCAACGATCTGAGATGTCACATTGTCGTGACATCTTACGATGCGGCTTCAGATGAAAAATCAAAACATTTCTTTCGGAAAGTCCGCTGGGCCGGTCTCATTGTGGATGAGGGACAGCGCTTAAAGAATGACAAGAGTATGCTTTACGCTGCTCTCAATGCCTTGAAAGCGCCCTTTCGACTTCTTTTGACAGGTATGGACAGAGACATCTTGTACCAGCAGAATTGACTGCGCAGTTGACTAACGACTAGCTAGGTACTCCTCTGCAGAACAATGCCCGGGAGTTATTCAATTTGCTTCAGTTTTTGGATCCAGATCTAGACGCTTCGCAACTGGAGGAAGAATATGCTGAGGTCAATAGCGAGAACATCTCCAAGCTCCATGACCTCATCAGACCATTCTTCCTCAGGCGTACCAAAGCTCAGGTCCTCACTTTCCTCCCTCCCATGGCACAGATTATCATCCCGATAACAATGAGTATTCTGCAAAAGAAGCTTTACAAGTCAATTTTGGCCAAGAATCCAGCATTGATCAAGGCGATTTTTAATCGGGGCCAGGCACTGAAGCCGAGCGACAGTCATAACCTCAACAACATTTTGATGCAACTAAGAAAGTGTCTCTGTCATCCGTTTGTCTACAGCCAAGCAATCGAGGAAAGGAGCAGTAGCGCCGTCGTTTCTCATCAGAATTTGGTTGGGGCGTCATCTAAGCTCCAGCTCCTTGAGCTCATGTTGCCTAAGCTTCGGGAGAGAGGCCATCGTGTGTTGATCTTCACCCAATTCCTCAACATGCTTGTAAGTACTAACCTGTCCAAGTTTTCTATAAACAGGACTGACTCCTTCTAGGACATAATGGAAGACTTCTTGGAAGGTTTAGGCTTGGCCTACCAACGCCTGGATGGTAACATTAACAGTCTCCAGAAGCAAAAGCGCATAGACGAATTCAACGCACCTGACTCTCCCTTGTTCGCCTTCTTGCTCTCCACTCGCGCTGGCGGTGTTGGAATTAACCTCGCGACAGCTGACACTGTAATCATCTTGGACCCCGATTTCAACCCTCACCAAGACATCCAAGCTTTGTCTCGTGCTCACAGAATTGGGCAAAAAAAGAAAGTTCTCGTTTTCCAACTCATGACTAGAGACAGCGCAGAAGAGAAGATTGTCCAGATTGGTCGAAAGAAGATGGCGCTCGATCATGTGCTCATTGAGAACATGGATGCAGAAGAAGAGGAGGTTTCTAATTTGGAATCTATTCTCCGTCACGGTGCCGCAGCTCTATTCGACGACAATGATGAATCCGATATTAAATATGATTCAGCTTCTGTGGATAAACTTCTTGATCGAAGCCAGGCAGAGAATACGAAAACCGGACAGGATAATTCAGCCGAGTCCCAATTTAGCTTTGCTCGTATCTGGCAAAATCAGGCGAGTGCCCTGGAAGATGGGTTGAAGGACTCTGAGAGCGATCAAACTCCTGATCCATCCCTTTGGGAGAAGATCCTGAGCGAGCGAGAAAGGGCCGCGGCAAAAGAAGCGGCTGCCAGTATGCAGACTCTTGGGCGCGGGAAGCGGAGGAAGAAGGTAAATTACCTCATTTATTCTCACGTAACATGATCACATACTAACTATATTCTCAATTCTCAGGTGATTGACTACGCAGACAGAGTCCAGGAACTTTTGGATTCTCCCGAAAAGGCCGGCAAGGTCTCGAAGCAGAAGTCAACAGCTGAAGATAGTGATACGGACTTCAATGACAGAGAGCCTCCTACTGAAGATGAGCCCACGGAAGACGACCAAGTAGAACTCGAACAAGAAAAACGTCAGCTTGAGCAGAATGGCTCGCAGACGCCAAAGGAAACTGGAATCCTCAAAAAAGGCCGTCAGTCTCAGGAGAAGACAGGTGTCATGAAACAGAGCCTCCCGGAACCCGTTTCTGTGGAAAAGGCACAGCCACCAAGTAAAAAGAGAAAAGTCCTCGACACGTCTTCAAAAACAAATGTCGGCCCTTTTAAGCGCGCTGTATTGCCGGAAGTCTCTTCAATTCAACGCGGAATCGCGCATCACGCTGCATCCCAAAGCCCTGCACCGGGAGATCTCCGGCAGCCTAACGTTCGCAAATGCCCCGCATGCAATCAGACGCACCCTGTCGGATCATGTCCGGTGAAGATTGCTGGACCCGAGTATTGTCCGCTCTGTGGCCTCGCTCATTTCGGCATGGGAAGGACCTGTCCGCATTTCCAATCAGAATCTCAGATTCGATTGATGCAAGAAGCTCTGAAGCACAGCACTGAGCCCAAAGAGCTAATTGACGCTGCTAGAAAGTACTTGGTAGGCGTCAAGGCCGACTTGGTACGAAGAAAGAAGGTTCATGCGCGGCGTTCTGCGCAGGCCATGGTCGGTCCAACGACCAATCCGAATCTTCCTCCTGGATCCTCTGATATGAGCTCGCCATTGCCTGATTTCAACCGATCTGACCGTCGAAATGAACTGCCTGTCCCCAATTCAATGGGTCATTCAGCTTATGGCAGCCATCTGCAAGGACCAAACGGACATGTTTCTCAAAATGGACTTGTTATTCCCAATTCGATGGGACCATCGGCTTATGGCAGCCTTTTAGGTTACAATGCTGTCGGCCTTGGTGCGAGTGCCCCTTCTTATCCACCGCAATTTGTTCCGAGATTTGCTGGGCTTTTCTCGCAAGGCCCTAACAACAATACGGGATCTCAGAGACCTTTTGCGTCTGGGCTTCCCCCCAATCATCCAAACCGTCGGAACCGGCCTGATTCTTGAAATGGTCAGTCCAAGCTCCGCAAATCTTAGATTGGATTTGCTCCGCAGCCAAGGTCCGCCTCTCGGTAGCGTCGTTGCGACCTTGAAAAGTGAATCGCTGCTTTGACTAGAATTCGAAGTTGCTTGCTTCTCTGCTTTGGCTTCTAGAAGATCTCATCCACTGAGTGTGTCTTTTATTTCTCCTTGCCCTCATCTAGATCTATCCCTTTCTGTCTTCGACACGGTCAAGGCTTGTATCTATTGCATCTTTTCTCTCATCTTTGCGCAATGTTCCCTTTACCACATTTTCTTTTATTATTTTCTCGGATCGGTGTTATTCTAGCGCAATCATCGCACTGCACTGGCTAAAACTTTTCATGCTTTAGCCATGCTCTACTGCTTCGTTTACGTTCTTTGCTATGCTCTTCACTTGCTAGCATTTTCCTGTCTCCGGTTCGATTTGCGGTCATTTGCTTGAATTGTGCAAAAGTTATTTATGCCTTTGAGGATATCCCTTGTGCACTTGCTTCGGATTAGGGCGCATCGACTTGTTCTTTGATTGCATCCTCATCATGGCGTCTCATGGTTGACATGCGTTGCATTCATTTGCCATTGTCCATCTAGTTATAGGTAGACATTTCTACGGAGTAGCGAGCTAAGCAATTTACTTTTACTATGACAAGATACTTGGTTCAAAGGCACGCCCTATTGTCAAAAGGTGTCGATGGAATCTTTTGTTGCCAGCTGAGACTCATGTATGTATCTCATATATGTCTGTTTGAATGCATCGTCTGGGGTAGAAGGCGGCGTTCTCACCATCAACTATTCCGACAGTGCTTCGCCACGTCTGCCTAATAATGATTTGGGGATACCGTGGTAAACTCAGGGAAACGGTGGTTTAGAGTTCTCACTAAGCACCTACCGAACTGTCTCGATTGGGAAGGCGGCCCGCTGATGGCATCGGTTAGAGAACGGGTAGCACCACTGACGGAGGATAACTGTATCGATTGGGTATGGTTCATTGCCCGGGGGTTTTGGCACTGGCGGTAGACACGGCAGATAAGGGAAATCCCAGAAACAAGTCCCGACCCCTGACTGTCAACTGAGACATTCCCATACAGCAGAGTGAAATCCATCAACGTCAGTCGACCAAGCTTGTCCTTTTATCCGTGAGTAACTATGAGAGCTATTAATGAATGCGCTCAGTCTAATCATAAATGTATCTTCAGCTTTAGAGAGTTACCTTTGTACACTTGTTCGGAATGCCTGGAAAACCCCCACTAATCTGCCACGCCATAGGTTGGGCCCCCCACATATCCAATCACCACCTCCTGTCACGACATCAGTTGCCGAAAAGCTCCCTTGTCTAGTGATCTGCCGGGTATCGATATCGGCCACTCATTATCTAACTAATTCATACTATCGCTGCTATCTTGCTTTCGATCCCTTGCTGGCGCCAAATTTCAGTCTCGCAGACGACATCTTGACAGTGGCTGGTGGCTATTGCTCCGCTGCCAGTGTCCACACTCATCCTGCCATTGCGCAATCCCATGACGTATCAAACCCGCGAGATTACAAGCTTTTTTCTCCTATGACCGATGCCCTGCTCTAATATCGGGCCCCTCCTCTACGGCATGTCGTTCCACCCTTTTTTAAGAACGACCCATGGTAGCTGAGGTGGAGCCCCACGGCGGGCGCGAACGGGAATGGCACATCGCCGATGATGGTGTTTGTTTTAGATGCTGGAGAAGGCATGCGGTCTATTGAGTCTGATTTGATGGTGCCCCTGCCTGCATTATGGCATCGATCATCCGCAATCAGGCGCGTCTGCCTTTAGCTCGATCGTGAGCCACAAGACATAGAAAGAACAGAAAAAACAGGGTCAGCGGAGCTGGCTGCTTTAGTTTCCGCCACTATCTGGGTTTTGTCTGGTGTTGTCATGAGCTTCGCTCATCGTCACTGCAGGGACGGAGTAGGCAGACATAAAATGCACCCTGCATCGCTCCTTCCCGAAATGCTATTTCTTCTTCAGATCGCTACTACTCACACAGCTAGCAAACAAGAGCAATAAAATCCCGTATTCTGTCCTATATCTTGTCCAGATTCATCATTTACTTTAACCTCATCTCTCGCACTCTTGATCATCTCTACTGACCAGTCGATTATCGCTCAACAACACTTTGCACACTCGCAAGGAGTTAAAACAGCTGTTACCTCACATCTCATCAACATGACTGTCACCTCTTTTGCCTCCAACCTTACCAAGGTTGCCCGTGTTCACAACCCCAACTACAAGCCGAACGGCACCAAGTCCTATGTTTACCTCTTGAACAAGTGTACGTATCTCTGCGACTTTGCACGGGCAAGACTTTTGGCCAGACAAGACTAATGTCATATAGACAAGTTCAACCCTACCAAGGAGGGTCCGTATTACCTTGGCAACAGGGTTGAGCAACAAGGAAAGCATGGCGAACAGAAGACCGTGGGCGGTCATGCTCGTGTCCACCGCGGTGTTGTCTTGAAGCGCGTCTCTGATTCTGCTCAGGCTGGTGAGGTCACCGCCGAGGATCAGCAGAATGACAGCATGTACCTTGCTCCCGTAAACATCGGAACCCCTGCTCAGAAGTTTATGCTCGACTTTGACACTGGTTCCGCCGACCTCTGGGTACGGAGATTAAAATTTTGATCGAATTTTTGCACTGTTAAAATGGGCTGACGATGGCTGTACCAGGTCTGGTCGAATGAGTTGCCTGCTTCTACCCAGTCGCAAGGCTCCCACACCATCTACAACCCTTCCAAGTCGAGCACATACAAGAAATTGAGTGGCTATTCATGGAAGATTGAGTACGGTGATCAATCCTCTGCTTCTGGGACTGTGGGCACCGACAATGTCACCTTGGGCGGTTTGACCATTAAGAACCAGGCGGTTGAGCTGGCCAAGTCTCTCTCTGCCCAATTTGCCCAGGGCTCTGGTGATGGCTTGCTTGGTCTCGCCTTTGGCTCCATCAACACGGTGAAGCCCAAGCAAGAGCAGACCCCGGTTGAGAATATGATTTCTCAACAAGATATTCCCCAGTCTGCGGAACTCTTCACTGCCAAGCTCACTTCGTACAAGGACAATGACGAGTCCTTTTACACCTTTGGTTATATTGACCAGCCCACCGTGGAGGCTACCGGCCAGCAAATCTCCTATACGCCCGTGGATAATTCTCAGGGCTTTTGGCAGTTTTCCTCCGAGTCGGCTTCTGTAAATGGTCAGAGCATTAGCCGGAGCGGTAACTCTGCCATTGCGGACACGGGTACCACCCTGGCCCTTGTCGATGATAACACTGTCGAGGCCATTTATAATGCCATTCCCGGGTCAAAGTATGACTCGCAGCAGCAAGGCTATCTCTTTCCCAGCAACACCAGCACCGACGACCTTCCAGTCGTTACTTTTGCCGTTGGCGGTCAGCAATTTGCTGTGAGGGTACGTTTAAGGATCTGTTCAAATCGCATTTTCTTTTTTTTTTTTGTCGGAGATGGTCTTGCTAACGGGTTTTTTTCTTGTAGAAGGAGGACCTTGGTTTCGCTGACGCTGGCAATGGCTACGTCTATGGCGGTATCCAATCTCGTGGAGACATGACCTTTGACATTCTCGGAGATGTTTTCCTCAAGGGCATTTACGCTGTAAGCTTTCTTTTCCGTTAAACTGATCTTGAAAAAGTATGTGGGCTAATTGCGTCAAGGTTTTTGACCAGGGCAACCAGCGCTTTGGAGCAGTCTCCCGTGCGGGTAATCAGACCAATGGCAGCAGTATGTTATTTTACATTCCATGCCAATGTTTAGATTTAACTTGCTAACTTTTGGGCGCAGCCTCTTAAATTGTAACCAATTGGTTCAAATGCCGATTCGTTGGCACGAGATGGCTTCGATGCGATATGATACATTGTGTTCTTATTTTTATTTGCTTTACGAGTCGGCTCTAGCAATGTTGTGTTGCTATCGGTTTGTCGCTAATATGGCATGACACACATTTCGGTTTGTTGGCAGGTACACCAGGCAAAGCTGTCTTGCAGTCTTTCCCGGGCTTATAATTACCTGTTTTGTCCGTGAGGGCAAAGGGTATACGATGGAGGAACCTGGCAGAGCATGTTGCAGATGACTGTCGGGTGAACCACTTGCAGAATGATATCCATGGCGCCGTAGTGGTAATTGCTGTTGTTTTGACTGGCAGTGCTTGAGAGACGCACCATCCTACCTAGCTTATATCTCTAATACAACTATTATTCTTTTTATCAATTGTTACAGTGCTATTGTGTCCCAGTTGTCTCTCCAAAGCTACAGTATATTTCTCGTCACTATCCTCACTCTAGTTGTTCATTATGAAGATACAATATCGGTGTATTTACATGGCAAGATATAGATAATATATAAAGTATAATACAGTATAGTACAGAAATATTTTACAGTCCATCCTCCTTTTATATATTCTATTCCTACTCCTTCGGTGATCCAAGAATCGCAATTTTGACGCGCCCGAGTTTCTCCCGAGCCCATTTCTCGTTCTTTTCAAACGGGGAGTTGAATCTCTTTGGGAGGATTCGTAGTGAGTCTGTCATTGTTAGCTTTATTCTTTTCCTTTTTTTGGTGTTATATTTTGGGTGGGAGGGGGGGTATATTTCCCCCTCGTCCCGATTCTTTCTTTCTTTCTTTCTTTTTGTGAAGAGCCGGGAGGGGATGAGGAGGAGGAGGAGGAAGAAGAAGAAGAAGAAGAAGAAGAAAACGTACTGGCATGTTCATCTGCAAAATCCAACCCCGCCATGGCGACATCCGCACCGTATACATCCCGCACATGCCGCACCATCTGTTCGAGCAGATCCGCACCGAGCCCGTGCCGGCGGTAGCGCAGCTGGACTGTCCACGCTAGGATCTTGACCTGGGTCTGTTCTGTCCCTGGTCGGATACCCTGTGGGCGGGTGTCTTGTGGTTGGGCACTTTGTGGGTTGGGCACAGTAGATGATGCGAGCGCGAGCGCGCCGACGATACGCTCGCCGTATTTTGTCACGAGGTATGTTATTTCTGTTCCGTCTGTGTGTTTCTGCGTCTGCGTCTGAGTGTTCGTCTGGGTCCGCGACGACGACGAGTGCGATGACGGACGAGATAAAGACTGCGACGACGACGACGACTGCGACGACTGCGATAATTGATGGGATAAAGACACAGCACTCAACAAGCCGTCGGGTCCACGGGATCCAATTTCCTCGGCGCGGAGAATATATCCACTACACGCCCAGCGCATGGCCACGAGCGCAGCCATGGCGAGGCCCGCAAACGTAGTCAGGACAAGCGGCAGGTCCGATGATATCGATGATATCGTCTTGTCCGAAAAATCCAGCGTCATGATGGGGGTGAGTGCTGACCAGGGCGAAATGTCGCCGCCGGGTTGAGCAGCGGCGGTGGTGGTGGTGGTGGTGGTTGTATATGTCGCAACAACAGCGACGACAGTCGCAAAGAGCGTACCGAACCCGCATAGGCCCAGCGGGTGGAATATAATGGCGCGACATGCTTGTTGGCGCTGCTGGGCGACGCTGTCGGCGATGAGACGCAGCGCGGCGATGCGCTCGGAGGGGGAGGTCGTAATGTATGTTGTCAGTGCGGGCACGTCGCTGTTGGTGTCGTCCGGCGGGGGATTGTGTTTTTGCTCTTGTTTGGATGCCATTGCGTTTGCTCTCTTGTTTTGTTGGTCAAGGGTTCTATGCTTTCTGGATAGTGACGGGCTCTCTTGTTCAATGGTTCTATGCTTTTTGGGCAGTGACTGGGTTATATATGACGTGGTGAGGTCGAGTGTTTATACTGAATGCGAAAGTGTTTGTAATGCGATAAGGTACGGTGTTGACTGCTGTAGGAATTATAGTACTCCGTATAAGAGTACGGGGTAAGATGTCAGAATTCAGGATTTAAGAGATTTAAAAATACAAGAATATTAAAAGAAATAGAATAAAACAATAGAAAAGTTGTAGAAACGAAATGAATCTAGATAAATTCTAGAACGACTCTAAAATGCTAAGCCAGAAGTCGCCGGGAGATGGAACCGTACAAGTCCTCTATCGCTCCCACGTGGGGTTGGGCGAGTGGGGTATTGTAGCTTTAAGCTCAACATAACAGTGTTTGATTGGTTACGCGAGTCTGTCCCTGCTGAACCGAGCACGGAGTACGGAGTATTCGATAGCCACAACTGGCCATGGCATGGAGAACGAGCAGTACGTTGTAGCATGAAAGGCTCTTTCTGACATGTCGATTTTGGGATTGAGAGGTATGGAGAATGTATAAATCACATATTTAACTATGATCAAACAGCCTTATTACAGTGGTTTTTTTGAGAAATCAACTCTGGGCCGCGCCCCTTCATATTGCATAGCACTGCCATCCGATAATGGTGCTTCAGAAGTGCACGACACGGCTGGTATTTTGCTGGATATTCGGGGTTGAGATACATTGGTTTGCCGTTACCACTGTTTGTTTCAGTGGGGACAAAGTAGGTTATTTTGTAGTTTCTCTGTTTTGTATCAAGTTGTTAGTGATATAGTGATACTCTGATGAGATATTGAATAGTATATTGTTTTAAAAGGATGAAATAAAAATAAGAATGAGAATAAATGTAAACATAAAACAAAACAATTGTAGAACCAAAAAATAAATATATAAATAAATATGAAAGAAAGAAAGAAAGAAAGAAAGAAAGAAAGAAAACATGATAGAAAAGAAATATAGGAAACAGATGAAAAGAAACTTACATCCGGATCGACAGCAACATGATACTTTTCAAACTCAATATACACCGACGCATCTAATAGAATTCCATTTTGGATCGAATGTATGCCCGTTTTCCCAGGGAAATCGTCATCTTCAAGCAGTGCCGACCAACCACCGCTCCGCCACTACATTTCAACGTCAGCGAGTCGCAACACATAAATAATACCTCATTCCGATTGCCAATTGACATTTGTCTTTTGCTATTTGCCATTTAGACTCATAACTCTCTTCACTTACCACATCTAGCTGCGGTACAGGAAAAATGTGGGCCGCATGAAACCTGTCAAACAGCCCCGCGCGGACCGGACGGCCAGATACAACACAGCGGAGATCTCGGTGCCGTACTCTCTCTCGGAACGCCATTTCCTGGCTTATTGTCAGTCTCAGAATTTCAGACAAATGCATTTCTCCCGCTTGAGTCCTTGAGTCGTCGAGTCCCCATTCACATCTTCTGAGAATCTAAACCTCACCAGTGACCACTCATCTCTTCTGAGATCCATCCTGATTATTGTCTTATTGACTTATGACTTATGAGTCATGACTTACATTTCTATCACCAGATGAGTTTGCCAAAGAGACAACCCTTGGCATTGCCTGATCTGCTGTAACCTGCAGTTCAACTTTACTCCCTAGAGCGACAACAACTATTTCTTAGCCTTCTAGAATATACAAAATCAGGATGGATGAAGAAGAGAAGACAAAGATGTGAACCGGGACAATTGGGATTGGGAAAAGCAAGTACCTTCCGGAGATAAAATGGCATAAAACCCAGCGCGAACAATCTCATTCATATGACTTGACAGCATGTCGACACGGGTTGCATGCAAAGCATGCTGTGCAAGGACATGGTCGTCTGGACATGTCCAAATACAATAGCTGTCTGACGGCATTTGTGGAAGAAGAAGTAGGAGATCATCCAGCCATTCTCGTATCTCGTCCCAGGTGACTGATCCGTTCTGGAAAAATCCAAAAACCTCGTCGTCGTTTCCATCGAGGAAGTGGACGTTCCTGGGGATATGACCGAGTCGAAAGGGCATTACTGTGTTCTTGTTGAATATTATTTTTTTTTTCGCAAGAATTATCTTGCCTGTAGAGATGTGATTCGTAGTGATAGGAGCACGGTTTTAATAGAAGCTTTCCCAAGTTCTAAAATAATGTAAAGCAATTCTGATTAAGTAGGTGTATATATCGATGATCTCCGAGACTCCGTTGTGGCATATTTTGTTGATGAGTTCTGTTTAAAATCTGACGGAGACTGGTCGAGCAAAAGACTGATGTTCGGAGACGGATATGTACAATAGGCATATCAACAGTAATGTCAGAGAAGGACCCCAGAGAGGATAATCCTCATATAAATATATATATATATATTGCGCTGTCAACAATGAGTGACTAAATTGCGCGGAGTGATCATAACACATTAACCTCGAGATATATGGTGAAGCATACACGGAACCGGGCAAGGTGAATAGAAAAGGCAAAGAATACAAAGTATTAACATCACCGTGTTACATTACCATGCTCTCGGCATGCTTCACTACCCGGGCGCTCCCCCAAGTGATTGTCAGAGAACGTCAAGCGGTAATCCTTGAAATAAATGTCAAATTATTGTAGATAGAGCAATTCAAATACAGCACTGAAAAAATTAAAAAGAGATTAAGAAACTATCCCATCCATCCGTCATCCAGCCAGTAAGTCTTCTCCACATTCTCCCAACGCATCCAAATGATCAACTCCTCAGCTCAATCAAAAGAAAAGAAAGTAGAGATGAGCCAATTTTTCAATACAATTTAAAAACGTATATTTCACTCCATATCCCTTTCGGCTCCCGTTTCGACTCCATTGGTCCTTAAGCTCCATTTGTGATTTCACCTTTCGGCCATATCGCAATATATCCACCGTCAATCTTGAACATGCATTGCAGCAAATGTGCCGACCGCTTTTCCCTAGATAAGGCACAACATCATTGCCAGAAAAGACACCGGTTGCCCTACTTCCGGGACACTTTGCCCTCGGACAAGATTTCCTCATCACTGGCATCTAGAACATCATATTCTTCGTCAGTGAGGAAGCCATCTTCAGTGTGCTCGTCGGATCCAAGCTCCAGACTCTCAATATCCTCGAGAAGGTCCTGCTCGTCCGCATCACTGCTAAGCTTGGGCGTGTCGGGCTTCTGGTCGGTGCTCGTGGGAGACAAAGGAGCAGCAGCTTCATGAGTGCTTGACACAGGCGACTCCTTGTCCAACTTTGGGAAGATCATGGTGCTGCTCTCCTCGGTCTTGTCCTGGACAATCGAGACGTCAATGGGCTCGACAGCCGCCTTGGGAGTAGCCTGCCCCTCCTGCTCCTCCTTGATCGGCTCAGGCTCTTCTGCATACACATCAATATCGCACCACAGCTTGTGGCCAAAGGGGGTGTTGTCAGCAGCCTTGAGACGCCAGTAGGAAATGGCCTTGCCCTCGCGTGGAGGTGCCTTCATGACAAGGGAGAAATCAACCATTTCGCCAACGGACACCTCCTCAGTTGTCTTGTTGCTCTCAATAGCAAGGCTCACATCAGCAATGGTGGACGGGTGTTTCGCATCAATGTTGAGCATATTGTCTCCGCCCACATACCGGACACTGCAGCCGGCCGGCCAGGCATGAGGACCGGGATTCCTCAGAGTCCAAGTCTGCTTGAACACCTTGTTGGCAGGGACCTTGGAGCCATCGGCCACAACGTCCCGGATAAAGTGAGCGTTGAGCTGATCGGAACGAACAACAGGGGGGCAAGGCGCAGCGACTTGCTCCTTCTCCTCAACCTCAGCAGGAACCTTTTCGCTCAGAGACTCCTCAGTCGGCTTCAAATCTGCGACTGTCTGGACAGTTGTTGCAGAACTGGCGGCCGAGGCGGTCGAACTCATGCTCGTAGTTGCCACAGCTTCAGTCTCAGTCGATGTCGAGGTCATGCGCACCGGTTTGTCTCCGAGCTGCAAAATCTCCTCGCCAGGCTTATCCGCATGCATAGTCGTCACACATACGCTCCGCACAGGCGTCTTGAATTTGAGAAGGGGATGAGTGCGATTGTGCTTATTGGCAGGGAACGCTTCGCAGTTGGCACAGAAATCGGTATCGTGGCAAACGGCACATTTGAAGCGGTCGCCCACAATATACGACTGGTGAGGCTTACCGCGGCACAAAGGTCCATCGCAGTAGACACCCATGTGCTTAGCCTTGCTCTGGCTCGGCAGTGACATTTGCTCATATATGGGCACAAAGCGGTGACCAGGGTGGCTGGCCCGGGAAGTCTTGATACAGTTGGAGCAGAAATCCCAATCGGGACAGCTCAAGCACTTATGACGGACACCATAAATGGTCTTGTAAAAGAAGGTCAGTCAACAAATCATCCGTGGAGAGTCTCTGAGGAGGAAAGCAATGGCAACCAAACTGACCTTGTCGCAGCCATCACAAATGGCAAAGTGACGAGTATTACGTCCAGGAGCGCACAGCGCGGTGGCCAAGGGGTCTAGCTCCACTGATGAAGTTGCCGGCTTGAAGCCATGGCATGGGTGATGGCCATGTCTGTTTCCAGTGTGGCAATTCAAACACAAGTCGAAATCCTCGCAGTTGGTGCAAGTGACGCAGCGATCCTCTGCATATTCTGTTTTGGCGACCTTGTTAGTGTTTCGTTATGACCATCTGGATTGTTTCTACTCACCCTCAACGCACGAGTTACAGATGCGAGTCCTGGTAGCAACGGGCTCAGGCGCCTTTTCGTACGAATAATTGTAGAAGCTGGGAATTGAGCGCTGAGCACTCGGCACCGTCTTTTCCTCCGCAATGACGGGAGCCGTGGGCGCAGAACCTGCGTCCGTCATCTTCTTCTTAGGGGGACAAATCTCCGTCTGGCCGGTGATAACCTGACCATTCCTAACGAATCGCTTAACCAACCAGTGACCCTCGCCCGCACAGACGACGCCAGCATCAATGCAATCGAGGCAGAGATCAAAATCTCCATTGTCGCAGATGCCGCAGTGGTAATGGGCGTCATTCACAACCTTATCGCAGTTGTTACAATAGACCGACCAAGTCGGTGGCAATGGTGCCGGGGCCTCTTGAGTACGGCGGCCAAGCTCGCGCTCTTTGGACATGTGGGCCAACGTAGCGTAGAACCTTTCCCTTTCCCCAGCCGATGGTGGATTGTAGGGCGGCGGGAGTGGCAGGTTTTCTTGATCATGGCCCATACGCTTTAGCTGTTCGACTAGTTCGGCACCAATATGCTTGAGGTCATCGTCCTGGGACGCCTGTTCAGGTGTAGTGGCGGGAGCCAAAACTGGGGGTGCAACGGAGGCGGGCGTAGTGATAGGCAGTTGAACTGAGTTGTTGCTCTGCGAAGCAGGAGTGGACTGCTCGGGTGAAGGCATCGCGGCAGCAGAACCCAAGAGGTCAGACGAAGTGGATGGCTCTTGGGCAGACTCTTGCCCGCTAATCTTATCTTGCTGAGACGTTTCTGGAGTCTCAGGGACGACTGTAGCTCGAATGCGAAGCTTGAGCTTGGCTTTGGCGGCACGATAGAGCTGTTTATAAACAGAGGGATTGGCAGGATCGAGAACCATAAAGGCTCCGGCACTATCCGAGTAGCGCTCAAAGAAAACTCTGTGGGTTGGGGGGATAGACAAAAGGTGTCGAAGCTACATTTAGGGGTCAGCGGCAGATCAAAGAAGATCATTTGGAACAGATTCCCCAAGTTATTGAACGAGCTGAAAAGAAACGGGAGTAACCTGCTCATGCTGAGCTCTTGCACTGTTCTATCGTTGCATACCTTGAAGGGAAGAACGTTGGCCGACAAGTCCTTGAGCGGGAGCTTGAATCGGCGATTAGTGCCATCGATGGCAACCTTGATAGTAATGGGAGTTTCAGGATCCATGCCGTTGCTGATAGAAGCCATGCTGGACGGTGTTATATAGACTAAGGCTCCGTGATGAATTGCAACGTAGCTCTTCAACGGAGATGGTCAAGCGAGACCTTGACGGACCAGGACAGACAGTGCTGCAGTGCTGTTCTAAGGGGCGGCGAAAGCTCTGCGCCAGGTAGATGCGTCTAGAGAACAGTGCCCAAGCTCGAAGTGATGCTCACTTCAATATGATGGAGCTCACCGGCGAAGCGTCACCAGGAAGCTGAGGCTGGGAATGCCGATGAAAGGGTGCTCCCTATAGGAGAGATGCTGGTTGGATCGTGTTTGAGGCGTGTACCTGCTATTCTGGTGATAACAGGGACGAAAAGAATGGCAGACTGAGAAGGAAGAACCGCGAAGGAGAAGTGGAGGAGGGAAAGATCCGAGATAGAAAGAGAGGAGGTGAAGTTGCCGTCAGCGGGTTGTGAGGTAGTACGACCAGAAGCAGCCAGGACTAGGGGGGGTGGGTGGCCAGCAGCTAGGCTGGCATAAGAGCACGTAAGTAGTGTAAGTGAATAACAATAAAGGTAGGTAAGTGGGAAACACAGTACTGTAAGGTAGTCGGTGACTGCAGGAAGTGAGAGAGACGGGGGGAAGGTACCGGTACCCAGAAGATGCGTATCAGCTGGTCAAGGTGCCGAACCAGCAGCAGCTCGCTCGCTCCGGGGTAAGGGGAAAGCACGAGAGGCTGATAAGAGATTTCGCTTATAGCGATGGACCGAGGCAGGCTGATATCACCTAGAATCGGTTTAACCAACGCCCTTATCCAACTAAGCTGCCTACTGGGGGTGGATGATCATCCTCTGCTCTAGCGCATTCGCTTCACCGTTTTCTAACTGGTTCAGTTGTTGTGGATTGATCGCATAATATGCATAATTCTGCTTTCCCCTACACCGTAGTGAAAGCTAGCATGGCGCCCCTTTGGTCATCCTCCATCTGAGCGCGAGGGGCTAAGGAGCTACAGAAGCTAGGATTTTGAATGCATCCACGGAGTAAGGTACTAACCTCACGTTCAAAGGCACTGAGAGTACCTACCTGAGGTAGGAGTATGGTCTCTCGCCTAGACTTCCATTCGGTGTATCTCTACATACCCCAGTCACGTCAGCGACGTGTTGATGGGAGTAAAACCAAGGTTAAAACCACTGAACTACAGCGTACGACGACGACGACTTGGCTGCCTGGAGTAAAGAAATGCCGCTAACTATCGCCCCTTCCGGACTTCCGGCCTTAGCATAACCCCGACCATCCGAAAGGCACGTCGACCTGCATTTTTCCTGTTCAGCGCACGAGGTCGTAAAATATGCAGTTGTGATGATGATATGACGACTTGAAGGGCCCAGACCTCATCTGCAGCTCCTTAAAAGTAGCTGTAGATGGCCGATCTGCGTTACCTCGGAGGCAACTGCAGACCCTTTCTTAGACTGTGTCTCGGAACCTAGGTATATATGCACTGTATTTCTAGACTCCTTCGCTGTTGTCTCACGATATGTACACTGTTGGAAATCTAGACTTTGAGATAAACTCCTACCTGAAGACTACGTATTCGTACCGCAAATTGGGTAGCTACAAAGATTTCCCATATCCCTCGATAGAGGGTATTTATGAGACAGCATGAAGGCCTTGTTTGTTAACTCGTGCATTGGAGCATTCATGAACTAATTTGAGATGCTATGGTCTGGTGGACCTAAATGAACTTCTCGACGTGCCGTATATAGAATTTTGTGCTCCCAAGGCAAAGCCCTAGTCATCCAGTACACCCAAAACCGGGGCGTTTTGACCTCTACTGCGAAAAGCCGCACGACAACCTGAGGAACGCGGGGCAGACAAAAGAGAATGCACATCTCAACTACATATACCTTTTGAAGCAAAGGAACTAGCATACACACATAGAGTTCAAAAATCTCCTTTACAATGACTTTCATTATTTTGGGCGCAACAAAACATTCGCCAATCATACCTAGGATATATATGTAGGGAATCATCGTCCCTAACTGAATAATATACCTCACACTGTAGGTAAGGCGGCGGACAGATATGCTCAAGAAAGAAAAGATAAATAAAGAACCCCAACACAAGTACCTTTGCTCAACAAGCACAGGCGGCACCGGCCAGCAAATCGACCAAACAAATCTTCTGGTCCTCTGCTTCGTGCTGACAACTTTCTCCGAGCCCAAACTCACTCTCTCAGAATACCATACACTTAAACAAGAAACGAAAAAAATGCGACAAGATGCCGTTATGGATATGGAGAAACGGAAAGCTAGCTGAGTAAAGAGAAAAAAAAAAGAGATGAGAAGAAAAGAAAAGAAAAGAAAAGACGCAAAGGTGTCAAGACTCATCATCAGAAGAAAGACACAACACATTCGCAGTCGCTAAAAAGACCCGAGAAAATTTTTTGCATAATGCATCCAGTCGCAAAGCGGGAAATGATGACAAGAACAATACAGAGAAGTGCTGCAAAAAGGCTATCAACACATCGGATGAAGGAGACCGTTCAAAAGACAAATGAGAAGACCAAAGAACACAGGTAAAGCGCAGCCAAACATGCAAAACCACAAGAGGATAAATGGAAGAGAGCCCATGGAAAAGAATGCCAAAAAGAAAGAGGTAGAAATATCACAGTGAAAAAAAAGTCAATAGTAAAGGACCAAAGTAGAACTTTGGATGAGACAACGCTGACATCCATCACTTTGCCGGTGCAACATAACAATGAATAGAATGCGTTACTGCGGATAGTAAACCCTACCAGGCGGGGCGGCTTGGTAGTACATATCGGGTGCTGGTGTTACCATGCTACCCATGCCCGAGGCTGGTACTCCATAGCTTGCCCCAGCGTATCCGTCACCGGGATTCATATAGATTTGTGACGAATCGTAATAATAGACCATGCCATTACTTTCATGCGCCACTGTTCCTGATGGATTCTGCACAGGGGGAGCAGGAGCGGCGGGCATCAGATAAGCATTTTGCTGAGGGCTCGGTACAAAGACAGGAGCGGCCGCTGGCGCCGTGAGGGTAGGAGCATATGCCGGCTGGCTGCCATCAGGTGCAGGAGCCGGGTAATAATACACCCCTTGAGGCGGATAAACCGCTGGGTAATACGGCTGTTGAGTATACTGCTGTGGCTGGAAAGGCTGGGCATGGATAGCGCGCTCGGGCAGATGCGAGAGAGGCGTGGCCGCCGACGCTGGAGCCGCAAACGACCCAGAGCGAGGGTGCTGGGGATAAGCGGTCGTGACGTCGGCAGAATATGTTTGACCATTGACTTGAAGAGGAACCTGTTGGTGAAAGGGCTGCTGTTGTTGCTGGGGAGGATGAGTGAACGGAATGCCAGCGGGCGACTCAATATCTGCCACCGACACCGTCTTTTGTGGTCGAGGCTGGTGCATTGGCAGAGGTGCCGTACGATTCTCGCGGAAGGCCGGCCTTTGTGGAAGAGGGTACGCCTGAGGTTGAGGCAGATTGACGACGGGAACGGGGGCCTCGGGCATTGGCATCTCAGGCCTAGGAGGCAACGAATCCGGCGGTAGGACCGGTTGGGCCGTCGGTGGCAAGCGCACGACCGGTTTGCCGGCTTCGAGCACTGCAGGCGCACGCGACATAGTCGAACCCGTCGGCGAGATGATCGCATCTCTGGGGACTTCTCTTGCAAGCGACGATCGCCGACTCATGGCTGCCGATGGAGCATAGACACTTCCGCCATACATGCTTGTCCGACGACTAGAAAACCCGCCAAACGGTGGCATACCTGGTCTACCGCGGACGCGGCCAAAGCCTTGTTGGTTGGGCCGTAGAGCTCGAGGAATGAAAATGAACGATCGTTCCATGGCCGGAAAGATATAGTGCGGGGGATTGTCCGGAAGAGAGATTCGCACCGGTTTGTCGCGTCGGAGAGGAGGGCGATGTTCCGGAAGACGAGTGTGCTGCTTCACAGGAACTGCAGAAAAGGCAATGGGATTGGCCATGCCCGGAAGCAGCACTCGTATTTGCACATTGCCAATATGCGTCGTGGTGGAAAATGAATTTTTTGGAGGTGAAGAAGGCTTTGGCGCTGGTTGTGATGGTTTCGATGACGTATTGGGAGCCCCGTTAGAGGATGTTGCGTGTGGTCCCAAAGCTCGAGGCGCTGCGTCTGCCACTGTCTCGTGTAGATCGTGTGTCCAGGGAGAGTCGGTGGCTTCCTGGGCTTGTGGGTTTGGACTGCGCATAGTTGATTAGCATCATTCAGAAATTTGATATGGCAGCGTAATCGGCGTGGAGGACTGGAGCTACTTACTTAATGGACACTGGGCCACCTAATCCTCCTCTGGTGCGGCCTTTGCCTCTCCCAAACGGTCTGAAGCCATTTTGTCCCGGCGCCGATGTTCGATGGTCGTGCATGAAAAAGCCTCCACGGTTAGGAACAAAAGCGGGATCCTCATCTCGCTTCCTCCGGTATTCTTCATGCTCCCGGCGCCGCCGATCCGTCAGGGTTTCCTGCTTTGTTGCGACAGATTCCTGGCTTGCCACTCCTTCTTGTGGTTGAGAGCTCTCATCGCCGAGCTCGTCGAAATGAAACTCTTCCGCCCCATTCACATTATCTGATCTGACAAGCCCATTCATCATTACTTCCGTATCCCCAGTGACAGCTTTAGGAGATCTTTTTTCTTCCGCGTGTCCATCTTCATCCTTGCTCGCAACATGTCCATTGGCTTTCGCCTTGACTTCCTCTGCCTCTAATGACTCTATGCCATCAGCTTCGCTTAAATCACTGTCATCCGCATCCGCATCGTCCTCATGGTCTGTGAATGCTGAAGCTTCGCTCATTGAGTCTTCTTCAACCTCTCCCGCCACGGAACCTTCCTCTTCGCCCTCATCTTCAACTCTCCTGCGGCCGTTGGCGAGATCTCTTCGCCGGTGTGACACCATTTTGTTGGGATAAGGTTGAATAGAAAGAAAAATGATCAGCGAGGTGCAAAAAGACGAAGAGAAAGAAAGGGAGCGGGAAAGTCGCCGGTAAAAGCTCGCCACAGGCTGGGATATGCGAAGGCGAGATGATCAGTCGAGAAAGGGCGAGAAAAAGCTACTTCCGGAACCCGGTCGGGTTGATTGAATGAACGAAAAAGGTTGGAGACTTGATGGAAATCCAAATCCAAAGAACCGCAAAGGATATGCAGGTCCAGAAGGAGAAACCCGGAGGAGGATGGAGGAGTAAGGAAGAACGAGGATGATGATGTTGGTTGATGGAAGCATCCATGCGCATCCTCGTTACCTTTCGAATCCAATCGCTTGGCCTTTGCCTGTTTGGGACTGTCGGACTTTAGCGTCCGACTCTCCAGCCACGTCCAGAACCATCTACTATAAACAAAGCATTTTGATATTGCTCAATCTAAACATGTCATCTACAGAACTCGAAAGCATCATTACGATAACTAAATCTTTCACAGAGTTTACCAGTATGATACAAGAATCAGGGAGCTCTGAGAACATTTCACGTTGATAGAGACCCTGAAGTGGGTTGGTTGCTGCACTTATGACGTGTTCTGCGTTCATGGTAGGATGCAAACGCTGTGCCCTCGTACTCCGCAAGAAGAATGTTTCATATCCGTTTTGCGGTTGTACACAATGAGACCACTGCCATGATCAAAGAACAATAATTTTGAGATTTGGTCATTCATGAAAAATAAGTAAAGATAAATAATTTCTATATTATAGCCCATTTATAAGTATGAGATTGAATATATTCAATATCTCACAAGGCTTTTATAAACTGCAGGATAGATGAAACAAATAGCTCATATACGTACTTTTGTTCGTTCTTTCTACCAAATCAAAAATGAAATTTTCTTCAGTTCCACTGGGTATTGAAAAGCAATACTGCCCTTGCAATGATCAAGTCTAGTCAAATGTAACCTTTTTCCCTTGGCCTTCTACAATTCCACCCGTCAGTCGCTGAACACTATGCTGCACAGCTTCAGACTTTCTAGACCCCTTCTTTGCTTCGATTCCACCTTGATTTCTCGACCCAAAAGTTGTCGACGGCTTCTCTTCAACCTCAGTAATGGCAGGCTCAGCATGTCCAAACATATCGTCCGCCGGAGCGGAGGCCTCTTCGTTTTGACCGCGTTTACCCTCTTTACCAAACCGTTTCTTGTAGCGCACAGTGGCATCCTCTGCATATTCTGCTCGTAACGTCCGGCCATGGATGCGGTTCACCCACCACTTGCGCATCTTTGGAGCCTTCCTCTTCTTCCCTTCTTTTTTGTCGTCCTCCTCCTCATCATCGTCGCTACTTCCCTCTCCTTCATCTTCATCCTCCGATTCCTCAGCCGTTCGTACGGGCACCTTTACCCATCCTTGCACGGCTGCTGTTCCAGCCTCGACGGTGGCGAAAGTAACCCAACCAAAGCCCTTGCACTTTCCAGTGTCCTCAAATGTAGCCAAATGCACATCAACAATCTCACCACAAGGCGAGAAATGTTGCTGCAAGTCCTCTTTTGTTACATCAAAGCCTAAGTTTCCGACAAAGATCCGCTTGCTAGGTGGCTTTCCACCATGCACAGCAACCGTGACTTCTTCTTTTGGCTTTTCAGGTCTACCCGCGAAACTCTTAGAGTCCTTGATCAGGACGCGACGACCGGAAAGCAAAGTCTCGCTGAGTTCAATTGCCTTATCCCGTGCGTCAGATGTGGTGAAATCCACATATGCAAACCCCTTGTTATGAGGCTTTATCCTCTGCTTGGAGGCATCTGCCGGAGCCGGCATGTGTACCCGTGTGATTACACTATCGGGAATCTCTGCATTTTCGGTGAAGAATGATCTCAAATCAGCTTTAGCGGCTGTGAACGGAAGGTTGCCAATCCAGATGCCGTAAGGGGAATGTTTCCCAGGCTGCTGTTGCTGCGGCTTTCCTGGCTCCTCCGCTTCGTCGCCCTTGCCCTCTGAAGTTCCATCAGGTAGGTCCGTCTTTCCCCTTTTGGCCTTTCGCAAAGCCTTCTTCGAGGGGGGCTCAGGAGCATTCACGTCGATTTCGAGCTCCGGACCGGACTGTTCGACGCGCTTTCTCTTCTTGGATGACGGTGCTTCTGTCTCTTCGTTCTCGGCCTCTGATGTCTCCACCTTCTCTAGTTCTTCCATATTCTTCTCTATAGTATCTTCGGCCATTTCGACGTCCGGAGTCTCATCGTGAGCGGGCTCAGCTTCTGCAGCCTTCTTGCTCCTCTTTTCCTTCTTTTCCTTCTTCTCCTTCTTCTCCTTCTTGTCTTTTTTTATTTTGGGAACCTTTTCCGCAGCCATTTTAGGGAATGTTCAGCTCCAAACAATCTTATTCTGCAAGATGAAACTGTGTGGCGTCTCAGGGACTGGTGAAAATTGATTGACTTCGCAGTGGAAATTCGCAAAATTGGATCTTTTTCCGGGGAAAACTTCGCGGGCCTGGATTCGCTACGTTTGGGGAAGCGAGCAAGATGTGCAAAGGGAATTCACAATTCAATCCCGGCAGTCCACTGCGGACTGCAATACGCGCATCTCTTGACAACTGCGACAATATCTCTCCTTCTTTCATCTCCGTTCACCCTCCTTTTTGCACATTTTCTAGCACCATGTCTCGCGAGAGGGTTGTTGCTGGCCCTCCTGCCGTCACCACCACGGATCCACAGGAGGCGGCATTAAAGCCAACTTACAAGTCCTACAGGTCAGTCTGATAGCTGGCATTGAGCGTCCCAGGCATTCTTCTCGTGAATTGTGACTAACATGATCAATGACAGGAAAAAATATCGCAAGATGAAGCTGCAGTTCGAAGAAAAGATGAAGGAGAGCAATGCCCTATTCAAAGAGGAGCAAAAAGCTACTGAGCTTGCCCGCCGCCTACAAGAGCAAAACGAGTACGTGGATGTTGAGCGAAAGCTGGATTTCGCGCCCTTTATGAAATGATTCCCACAGAGATTTCTTCTGCGATATTCTTGAACATCTTCTAACTTCCTTGCGCTGATAGCCAACTGCTTGAAATGCTCCTTGACCTTAACGACTCGTCTAAGCTTCCCTCGCAACTCTCATACGATCTCGACGACCCGCTCCTCTCTCCTACGGCCTCCCCCAAGCTCTCCGCATCGGACGCATCTTCTGAGAAGAAACCAGAAACCAATGACGCAAAGGGCGGCACTGAGCGCAAGCAAGAGAACCGCTCTTCTCCTTCCGCGCTTCAGGTGTGTACTGGTGACGACGAAATGGCGAACGGAAAATCAAAGGGCGCTATGGCCAACGTCTCCAAGCTCCTTTCGATCCCACATACAACGCTCACCTCCATTCTCGAAGACACGGACTCGTTGCCTTCCGATCTCAGCGGCTCATTCCCACCGGGCTATTTGACCCCTGGTCATGAGGAAGACTACCTTTTCAACCTGGACAAGACGCTCGGCATTGGGCCAGCGATGTTGCCCCCTCGACCTGCTTCGATTGGTGAGGTAGATGGTGGACTCGAGGACTTCTCCGCACATTCTTCACAGCATCATTTTAATCGCGACGTGACCGCAGCGCGCAACCCAGTCTCAGTCTATAATTGGCTTCGCAAGCATCAGCCACAAGTGTTCCTGCAGGACAATGAGACCCTCCCCCCGGAGAAAGGTGCCGATGCCCGTGCAAACGCTGCCGGTGGAGCTTCTTCCGCTGCAGGCGGCGGAAGTATGAGCACGCCGGTCACGGGCTCTAGCCGGAGCAATAACCCCCGGTCCGCTGCTCGCCGGGCGGCCAACGCAGCTTCAGCCCGCGCCGACCCAGATTTGATGGATGAAGACAGTGCGATCTATGGGGATTACGACGGCAACATCCCCCCGTCTGCGTCACGCGGCAAGCGTAAGAGAGAAGATGATGCCTACCGCCCAAAAGGCGCAGGAGGAAATCGTCCAGCGAAGCGGAAGCGTGATGATTCAGATCGCGCCGGTCGCAAGCCGCGAAAGAGCAGCACGAGTGGCGGTGGAACTGGATTGGCCTAAACATGCTGATCCTTAGATGTCTGAAATACTAAGGCAGAAACTTCACTTGAATTCGTCAGTTACAACACGTTTCTCAAGCTGTACTCTCCTTTTCGCCTCGCATGGCACTCATTTACTATCGTCATTTTTCTTTGGTGATATTTGCAATGGCGTTGCATGCTTGTCCCTTCATCAACATATTTATATCAGTGGCGTTATGCGGACCATTTCTTTATAGTGCATCGGCTTGACTACGCACTGTTCGCTCAAGACAAGATTGGCGGGCTAGGAACAAGATCGGCATCAGGTTTTGGGGTTTCAGGATGAAATAAAGGCGGGTGTGGCGCATGATATTACGTTCTAGCTTAGGTATAAAAGAGATTTTTTTTCCTTCACATTCTTTTCAGCCCTGATCCAGCGGGCCATTGCTACGGCTTGTATGAAAGGAAAATAAGTTTGTATCCAAATGTTATACACAAGTCAAGGTATATCCTCCAGTCCATCATATATCTACACAGATTTCCTGCCATGCCTCTCTATGCACTCAATAAATCATCCAATACCGACCTTACAATCTACTTCCACTCCACACTCCATGTCGGTTCGCCCCTCCTGAACGGCACAACCTCCAATTCCCCGCCTTTACTCGCGAATGCCTCCACAACCTTCTCTTCTCCTTTTCTAAGGACGATTCGGCTTTCACTCTGCGGCACGCCGTAGAACTTTCGTCCGTTCTCTCCCAGGAAGCCCCTCACAACGTCCACAGTTACCTCATTGTCCTTCAACCATCCCTTTTCGATTGCCTTCTCGAATGCGCCCACAGCCAGCTGCGTCGCATATGGCTGTGTGAAGACTCCAGCGACGGTCTTTCCCTTTCCATCAGCACCGCCTCTCTTGGCAGTCGCAGGATGGGGTGCACTATCAGTGCCCAGGAAAATCTTGGGGCTATTCGCAGCTGCAGCCTTCAAGAGTGCTTCCCGATCGCTTGGCAATTTGGCCACCGGCTTGCAAAAGCAGAAAGGATCACTAGCCCAGTCGTCCACCGTCAGGAACAAATGGTGTGCCGTAATTGTTCCTGCGACGGTGGGACCACACTCCATGACTGTCTTCAGCGCTGCCGCGGTAGTGCAGTGCTCGAGGATGATACGCAACTTGGGGAATCGCTTGTGGATCTCCTTGAGCGTAGGGAGGAATCGCTCTTCGGCGTTCAGTACTGTGATATCCTCTCCAGATGGCTTCTCGCCGTGGAGGTTCAGAATCATATTTTGACGCTCCATTTCTTCGAAGACTGGGTAAAATGCCTCGTAGGATACGACACCTGCGGCGGAGTTGGTAGTCACGCCTGCAGGGTAGGATTTAACACCGGTAATGCCCGCAGCCTTGGCTTCTCGAATGATTTCGGGTGTGATTGAAGGGTGCAGGTACAACGACATAAGGTAGGTAACGGATGGATCAATAGCTTCAAGACGGGACTTGTAGGAAAGCGATTGGGCGGGAGTAGTGAGCGGGGGAACTAGGTTGGGCTGTCAAAGAATTTAGTCGAAGATTCGAAGTGTGTATATGGTTTAAGAGAGGAAATCGTACCATGACATAGACAGTATCAACGCCTCCTTTGCGAATGGTGGGAGTGACAGTCTCCATCATGGTGCCATCGCGAAGATGAACGTGAAAATCGGCGGAGGCGGGCAGTTCGAGCCCGTTGAAACGTTCCTGAAAGGACATGGTGTTGCTTCTCTGAGTATATTGTGCCTCAATTGAAGCAGTGATAGAGCTTAGGCACAGCGGGAGAATAGCTTCAAAATATATTATTAGGGGAGAAAAAGTGAATTAAAGAGTCAGAAGTACGAAGTATAGCAACGGCAAAGGCCAAAGAGAGCCGTTGGCTGATAAGAAAAGAGATAAAATCGGAGAAAGTAAGGCGAAGAGGGACAATGCGAGAACTGACCAATCAGCAAAAGGGCGGTGAGTAGCTTACACCGCCTTTCCCTGTCAGTCCCGTTTCAGGATTTCCACAACAATTCTTCCCCACCACACTTTTAATGCTTATGTAGACGTTTACGGGGTTGAATCTTATCAAAAGTCGCCAGATTTTTATAAACCAATGAATTTATGAATGTGATGTGGCATATTGTACGTCATGGCTATCAAAGAAAAGACCGGCACAGAGCCGTACTGGAAACGGAAGCGCCTCACGCCCGACAAGCTCCAAATTGAAGACATTGTGCTTCGGGAACCATCTCCTGGCAGACCAGCTCTTCTAGAGGTTCACGAGCAGGTGGATCTCCAGCTCGATACGCATCAACTGGCTCGGGAGGAGGAAAAAGAAAGAGTTCATGCGAGGGACTGGCCGGACCGGACACCGCTGGAAATCAGTCGGCTTGAAATGCTCCGGAAGGAATACGGGTGGATGAAGCATCTCCGCGTCACAGAACCCAAAGACAACTGGAAGTGCAGGTGGATGTGGGTGGTTATCTGATTGCTTGAGTTTTCGAATAAGACACGTGAATAAAATTGCTTATATGACACCCACTGACAGTCACATTTCGAGTACTTTGCCTGAGTATCTTGCAGGAGTATGACACCCTCTATCAACAAAAAAAATTATATAATTATCAAAGATATCTATGCTAATAATTTACAGGTCCTTGCTGCATTGAGTGAAGACCAAAGGCTTGCCATACAACGTCTCAGCATGCTCGATCAGACCATTTTCCAAAACGAAAAGTTCTCCCGGCATGGAAAGTATTTCTCGCCGTTCTTCAAGCCACTAAACGTGCCATCCGACGTCGAAGATGACCCTGCGACGCCATTACTCCTTTGCGTGCCATTTATGGACTGGAGCGATGTTACCAGCGACGCACGAATACCAAGATTTCAGGTTGACCCGCTCGAGAACATTCAGTCGGTCAAAGCTTCTTCGCACCCAGTCCGGTCGATACTGCAGCATTATTATCGATTAGAAGATACGACCGATCGTGAACGGAAACAGGTTTTTTCGCGCTCACAGCCATGGGCAAAAGATCATCTCATGACCGCCCGAGTCGGCCGCTGGTACGGCCGCAAAGACCGAGACTTTTACCCGACTGGCCTCGTTGTGGATGAGATGTGGATTCTTCTCATCGATCCCGGGCATATAGTGTCATTTTCGACCAATCAAAGCTGGAAACCGCGGATGATTCCTCATCAGCTCTCCACACGAATCCGTGAAGTCTCCTTTAAGACCGTCCGGAACAATTTTAGCTTGTCAAAGCAGCAGGATACATATGATGCATTGACACATATGGTGACTTGTATGCATGGAGCGTTTGGATTGTTGCATTGGAGCTTTTGGCAAGATTTCTTGTTGTGTCTGACGGACCGTTTTGCGCAGTATCTAAATCACTTGGTAAGCCGCCTCATAAACAATTTAACCTGAATTCTCATGTGTGTTGTCCACTCACTATCCAGACATCTGCACATCATCTGAGCATAAATACATCCATGTGCTAACTTTTCCCAGCAATTCCGGCTCTACCGCGCTCCCAGCTCAAAGCTCGTCATGGACATTCTCCAGATCCAAGACGAGCTAAACATCATCCTCAAACTCATGCACTCCCAGCGCCGTCTCTGCACAGATCTACAATCATACCTCTCAACCAGTTACTCTCACCTCTCCCGTTCTTCCACTGCTTCGCGACTATCTCAGACATACCCTGTCTCCGGATCGATCATCCACGCGGCCCATCTTCGAAACCTAGACTCTCGTACTTCCTCCCTCAACTCGCGCAATAACTCCCTAGCATCTCATCCACCGACCCACGGGACTGACTCCCTCCCTGCTACTTCATCGCCTGCTGCGGCCTACATTCCTTCTACTCCTGATCCCGTACCTGCTGCAGCTTCTGTTCCGCCGACGCCTTCCTGCCCATCTACACCCATCCACACTCACGGGCACATCTACACCCCTTTTGACAGCAACCCCCTCCCACATGCCCACACCGCGCTCACAAACCCCATCATCCACCTGACCGAACTTCTCGACCGCGAACTCGCCGACCTAGCAGACCTACGCGAATCCTCCGGGCAGCTTGTCAACCGCACCATCCAGCTAGTCAACATGCGCCAAGAAGATCACGGCAAAGCCATCCTCGTCTTCACCGTCGTCACCCTCATCTTCTTGCCCTTATCCTTTGTCACGTCTTATTTTGGCATGAACACCTCCGATATCCGAGATATGGCTGCTGGACAAGGCATTTTCTGGGCTGTCGCCGGAACTGTCACGCTCTTGGTCGTCGCAAGCTCCCTCTTTGTTGCATTTTACGGTGTCAAAGTATGGGAACGCTTCCTCGTTTCCCGCCATGAAGGAAAGGGTGATTCGAGAGCTGGTCTCGGAGACCTCGTCGAGGGAAGAAGCGTTTCCTGGGCCATCGGTGTCCCAACTTCTACTGCCGCTACTACGACAGCGGCGCGACCTGGGGCGCTACCCGTGGCTAAGGACGCTGCACGCTTTCAATCTCCTGCGTCAGGAGCCGGGACTCTGGGTGTGGGAGGTGAAACGCCAGTAGGCGGGTTGAACGCGATCTTGCGCGATGAAGGTGGAGGTTCTGAGGCGCAAGAAGCTGCGGAGCGTGGCCAGGTATTTGCCGGAGGGATAGGGGAGAAGATGCCTAGAGTCAAATGGAGGGGGACTTTGTAAGTCTGTGGAGGGTGGGGGAAGGAGCTGATAATCTGATGTTGCAAGGCAAAATGTGGTACGACGAGGAAGAAGCAGGAAGGGACCGATTGCGAATATTGAACGTAATCGAGGAAGAAAAGGACTCATATATATGAATCTACGAATATGTTGCCATGATAAGATGAAGAGGCAGGTATATAAATTTTCTTCATGATACACATAGAGATGCACATCCATTTTCAGCGCCCTGTCTATATGAATCAATTACGAGATGATGACTTTAGCATTAGCATTAGCATAGGAAACCGGAAAGGAAAAGGAGGATGCCGTTCAATCCAGATGAAGTTATGAATCAAGCAATTGATCATGGAAATTAAAAAAAATAGATTTCTTTTATTGCTCCGCGCCAGAGGTAATCTAAAAAGAAAAATGGACATATGTAAAATCTAGTGATACCGACATAAAATATATGGTACAGGGAGGAGTACAGAGGTACAAGGAGGAGAAAAGCAGCCAATAGAACACCGCTCGAAGAAGATGATGGTATGAGGATAAATATAAACGGTCGGTGACGATTGAGAAGGACTATTCGGCAAGTCCATCTAGGACTTTCCAAGAGCCACCATTCTCTCATCTTCTACGGCCACCCTTGGCTGCTTTCTTGCCAGCGGGAACCGCGACAGTTTGGAGCTGCGGCGTCTGTTGGGGTTGCGAGAAGGCCGCACGAGCGAGGGCGCGGTCAATGACCTTGACGCCATCAAGTAGAGTGCCTTCTTTCTCGCGCTGCGTCTCAGCTAATAAGGCTTGCTGGCGCTTCGCGAGAAGCTGCTGCTGACGCTCCGGTGTCATCAGCCATTCCTTGGGGAAGCGGAATTGCCGCTTCGGCTTGTGGTGGCGGAAGTCAAAGGGGATATCTGCAAAGGTGTCTTTGGGGTCCTTTTGTGATTGTTTGTGTCAGAGCGAGGGCCAAGAGATATTAAGAGGGGAGGAAAATACAGACCTTGGCTTCCTTGATGATATCATCGACAACGTCGAGCAGGTAGCGCTTGTTCTGGGCTTGCGACTCAAACATCTCGCAGCTGATCTTGACGATATCCGTGTCAGGATTGTATCGTACGCCAACAATCTTAATGAGCTTGCTACGCTGGGTCTCGCTCAGGTTGGGCAAATCCTTTGTGCAAAATTCCACCACAACCTTATTCTCAGCGGGGTGCGATTCGCCCATGTAAGTGGTGTAGCGGAAACGGAGAGGCTCGTCCTTGGCCGGCGGGACGAAAGGCTTGGCGAGTTCTAGTAATTTGAGTGTCAGCTAGATATTCAAGGCAAGAGTATTGTGAGTTTTGCATGAAGACGGATCGTTTCATATGCGAGTGTCGAAAAAAATAGTAGTTTGAGAAGTACGTACTTGACAACAGAGGCATCTCCCACGCCGCAATTCGCGCATATTCTCTCATCTCACGGTGCTGCTCGAGGTCACCATGCGCATGCGAGGAAATGTCATCGTGGGCAAATTCGTCGTCGGCTCCGAAATCCTCAGGCTCCGGCTCTCCCATTGCCAACAGACCTTGTTGCTCTCTGGCGAACACTATATATTCTCTAGGCTCATTCACGTCGACGTAGTGTGAGGCTTCACCAACCGCACGTTCCAATCGGTCACGAACGGCAGGCTTTCGCATGTGTTGCTTCAGACCACTGGATGAAGCCTCAAACTCTTTCTGCTCTTGTGGCGACAGCGAATCATAGACATTGCGGATGGTAGGATCAAGTGAGTCACGGAAAACGGTCGAAGTCGATGTGGCAGAGGAGCTGTCGTCCTGTTTAAGGGATGTGCTGGTAAAAGATCGAGCGGATGTGGATCTCGAAGAAACTGAAACGGAAGACGCAATTGGCGCCATTGATCGAGACGTCGATGATATTCTCGACGGGCAGCGCAGGGCTGCCAAGCCCATTCGATTCATTGCCGCTGCCATGGCCGTTGACAGCTGCTGGCGCACTTGAACGGGCAGATTTGTGGATAATTGATGGCGTGGAGCATCAAATCATGCGGCCAACGGGGAAGATGAACATTTGGTCGCCAAATATGGAAAGTCTTGGCATCGGACATACAAACTCCGACCGGGGAGCAACCAACAAATCGTTGCCCGCAGTGCAGTTCAATCACAGACGGTGGACACTCGTCGGCTTTTGAAGGTTAATTCAAGATTAAAAGATGGCTCAATCGAATCAAGCGGCAGAGAAGACCAAGGTCCAAAAGAAGCTATGTTTTGTCACAATAGGTGCTACTGCATCCTTTGATGCTCTCATTTCTGCCGTCCTCACCCCGGAGTTCTTCGACGCACTGCGAGAGGCCAACTATACTCATCTACTTGTTCAATATGGCAAAGAAGGACAACTCATTTTCAATAAATACATGTCGCAGCGGGCAGAGCAATTGAGTGCACGGAATAATATTGTTGTACAAGGCTTTGGGTTCAACAAGAACGGTCTCGCGCAAGAGATGCGCTCGGCCAAGGGAAATAAGGGCGAGACAGAAGGCGTGGTCATAAGTCATGCAGGTACGGACTTGCACATCAAGGTTATGAAAGGAGTAGTGCTGATATTGACTCCCTGTTATTGAAGGCTCTGGGTCTATTCTTGATGCGTTACGGATCGCTGTTCCTCTCATTGTTGTCCCAAACCCTTCGCTACTGAATAACCATCAGATCGAGCTTGCGGAGGAGTTGGCATCGATGGGCTACGTGGTACATGGAAAATTAGCGTAAGTCACCTGATCAGCTCTGTCAGGATTATCTCTGAGTCGCTCTAGAAATCTCCGTGCTGCTATTACGGAGTCTGAAGAGCTTCGACGGCGACAGAAAGTCTGGCCGCCTGTGAATAGTGGAGAAGATCCGTCCGGCCGAGGGATTGCCGGTGTCATGGATGACGAGATGGGCTTCGTTGATTGAAGCATGCCACAACTGGTCAACCACACGCACCAAAAATTGAATAGTCTGACCTATAAGCTCTCTCTGCGCAGCCCTGAAAGCAGACAGACGCTCTCTAAGCTCTCCTGGATAATTGCGGGCAAATGGGAACATATCTGGACTCATCGTCCAAGAGGGCCCCAACCGAACAACGTCTGGCCAGGTTCAGAGTAATGGGGGACAAAGAGGAAGGAAATCATGATACCAAAATAAAGGGATGGCAATTAGCCTGTACTACCAGGAACCGGTAGTATGCATGGGTTGATTATGTCTGATCAACCCTGAGAGTATCAAGCTGACAAATTCCCTCAAAGATATGCGCCTTCCGATAGATGTCTTACTCACGGATGGATCCGTTCCCGTCCAGTGATTACAGACTCCTGTGCCAATGTGCGGATGAGTTCGTGCTTTGCTGGCTAGCAGATTACATTCAACGATCTCTTTCCTGATCAAGTGACATAATGGACACTCCGTTGAGATTCGATGAATGCCATCGCGCCAAATGTCAAAATTGGCGTGTCAGAACACAAGGCGGAAGTCTCTAATACGGGGAAGAAATGCGGCATCGTATGTGGCTCATCAAGCGTGTTAAACATATGTAAATGCCTTTGAAGGAGATTACGGAGTTAGTGGCATACCTGCCAAGGCAGAGATCTGTAACGTTGACCACTGCAAAGGCCGGCGAAACCCCATTGCATATGATTGTTAAATTTGGGAGTCGGCACAACCCAAAGCCCGACTCGGCTTTGTTATGAACTAAAACCCACCACCAATGGGGAAATACTGAAGAAAATATCCGTCTCTGAAAGTGGCGAGCTTACTGCTTACGAACGCTTCATGGGAAGAAGAAGGCGGCACCCGGCCTGCGTGTCAAGTGAACAACAATTCTCATTCTATATCAACCGTGATAGGTAATAGTCTCGAGTATAAAAATAAGGCTTTTGACATGAGCGATGCAGAAAGGATGACTATGTATTATTAATTAAATCGTTTCGAGAACAATGTTCCGTCTTCTCTCTTGTGATGCGTTGAGCCCCGTTCATCTCCGTTTTTGGAGATGGAACTCTAAGGCTCAAACCGGCGTGATCAAAATGAGCCAAGCGACTATGCCATAAGCCCTAGGAGTCAGCGTCATTATATACTATAACCACAACAGCTCCCAAGTGTGATATAAAGCCTGAAAGACTACACTGTGAATCAATTGCTTTCATTTTACATTAATTCCTCGGATGCATAAAACGAAAATGCAAGAGTTCAAGGAGACTACCACTGTCGACGAGGTTGCCGACGCCTTTGCGGAGCATATAAAAGGGAAAACAGGTTAGCTTTCTCCGCAATGTTTACTCCACTTGGGAATGAAGATTAGAGTGGCCATGATCAAATATGCATCTAAAATTAATAGTCCATCGGAAATTGATAAGTTTTCACAGTATTAATTACCGGAATCAACAAGACCGGCCTCGGCGGAGAAGCTGCGAGAGCTATTGCACGGAAGCAGCCATCTTTAATTATTCTTGCCGGCCGAACCACTTCAAAGTTGCGAGAGGTAGAAGAAGAGATTCGCGCATTAGCGCCGTCCGTTAAAACTCGATTGCTTGAATTGGACCTCAACTCGCAGAAACATGTCCGCCAAGCAGCTGCAGAGGTAAACAAATACCCGGAACCAATTGAGGTTCTCATCAACAATGCTGGTGTCATGTTTCCGCCATATCAGCTCTCTGATGATGGCATCGAGTCGACTTTTGCAATTGATCATATCGGGCATTTCCTGTTCACCAACTTGATCATGCCAAGGATTGTTGCTGCGGGCCCTGGAGCAAGAATTATTAATATCAGCAGTAGAGGTCATCAATTCAGTGACGTCTTTTTTGACGATTGGAATTTCAATGTAAGTTGAAATTCAAAAGTTCGACAATTTCCTCTCTGTTCAGTGCCAAATTAGGTGGAATTCCACTAATGCCACGCATTCAGGACGGAAAATCTTATGACAAAATGAAAGCATATGGTCAGGCGAAGACTGCGAATATCCTATTCAGCCGATCTCTTGCACAGAAATTAAAGCGCAAAGGAATTCTTTCGTTCAGTGTGCATCCTGGCAAGATCCTGCACACTGAACTGGGTCGGTTTATGTCTAAAGAGATGCTGGTGGCCTGGGGTGAGTCTCACTTTGTTGTGATCGTGGTTCGTTGGAGAATTGGATAGACTCGATGCGACATTGCCGAGCAGTAAAATACTTGGAGTTTAGGCCGCTAATAATCTCGTTAGGGATTATTGACAAGGATGGAAACTTGCTTGAAACGCCTGGCATGATGAATAAAACTTTGGCCCAAGGTGCCGCGACCCATCTCGTTGCTGGATTTGATCCCAGCATTGTCGGTATGTGTACACATTCATTATGCAGTCCATTGCCAATCGAAGCATGCTTGGACATTCAAGATGGTCTTTCATCTGAACAGTTCTCTTCATATAGATCGGAGTGGCGAGTACCTCCAGGACTGTCACATTGAGACAGACGATATTTCGCCTTATGCCAAAAGCGAAGAGGGCGCGGAAAGGCTTTGGAAATTGAGCGAAAAGCTGGTCGGACAGAAGTTTGAATACTAATATCTGACACAAGAGGAGTAATGAGTAAGTGCATTTGATAACGTATAATGTGGCGAGAAGAATTGATGCTTCAAATAATGCGGAGGAGCTGCAGATTGAAAATAATACTCCTATCCCCTCTCAACGAATTTTAATACTGTAAAATAGATCCTGTAAAATTTAGACTTGCATATCTTTTGTTGTCATAATCGTGAACTCTCAAGCCGTCCTCAATGATCATGCAAAATGAATTTATTATTCTGTTGTTGTTTACAGTAGGCCTTGAAACACCCGCCCCTGCCGCCTCTGCCGTATCGCGCCAAATCCGAGCGGTCCTCGCGGGAGACCCCTAACCGGAAAAAGGCTTCTCCTTATGCCCCTCAACGCCCACTGTAGAGATCCGCTTCCCTTTCGCTCTGCCCCACCACCACCGTCATTATTTATCGTGCGCCTTTTTCATCTTCATCAACCCACCAAGGTCCAGAATCGGTCGTCATATCGGACCATTCCAGATTGCGATAAAATTTCTGAGCTTCACTGTCTCATTTTCCCTCCAAATTCTTCTTCGTCCCCCGCAAGACTGATCAGTCTTGCTCTGAGATTTATCGGTACGTATCACTTTCTCAGTCTTATTTTCCGGGCATTGCCATTCGACATGTGATGTTTTCTATTGGGTTCTGCACTTGATCCTATTTCTGTTTTAAGCTCCACAAATTGTTATCAAGCCGCCTTTGTGTCATTTCTTGGCCTTTGGTGTTGCTGTCCTAAATTCGCATCTATGCAATCTCTTTTCATCTTTATCACGGGATTTTCATGCAATTGCTTTTGATTCCCTCAATTCACCGCATATGTATATCCCTATATTTCGCGGATTCAGAAAGAATTGAGTCTACTTCTGCCTATATTTCTCTTACTCCAGAACGGTTGTTTCGATCTTTTGCGGGCTGTCCATGTATCTCCGTCTATTTCTTATTTTCCATGTCTATCATATTGAGGAGCAGCTAAGGAGCATATTGGAATCTCTTGCTGGGAAAACGAAATTAACTCATGATTGAACGCAGGTTACATATATCTTTGAGGCAACATGTCCAAGGACGCTGGCACGCCGAGAGTTTTCCTCGCCCGTCATGGTATGTATTATTTCTGTACTGCCTTTTAAGTCCTGTATATTCGGCATTCGTCAGACCTAAATCTTTCTCCCGTATCTTGATCAAGTTGAAAGTCATTGCCAGCATTGTGGCCTGCTTTGATCCTCTCTCAATTTGCCTCTGCCTTTTCCCCGTTATTGCCGTTCTTGTTTTCAGTATTTTTTACCCACGTCCTGTCTTTGTACAAGCCGTCCGTTTCCCTTCCATCCTTAATCTTCTCGCACAAATCTCTTTAATACCGTTTTACAATCACCCGCTCCTACTAATTTACTTACCAGGCGAAACCGAATGGTCTGCCAATGGCCGTTTCACCGGCACTTCCGAGATTCCACTCACCCCACACGGCGAGCTGCAGGTCATCGGCACAGGCCAAAAGATGGCTGGACCCGGTAAGCTGATTGACCCGGCGAAGCTGGTACGCATCTTTGTGAGCCCGCGCCAGCGTGCCCAGCGCACGCTGGAGCTGCTTCTGCCCAACAACTCGACCGAGACGGAGATCACAAACGACATTTCCGAGTGGGGATACGGCAAATACGAGGGTTTGTTCTCGCATGAGATCCGCCAGGGCCGCAAGGAGAGAGGGCTCGACAAGGAGCGGCCCTGGGATATCTGGATCGACGGATGCGAGGACGGAGAGTGAGTCCCCTGTCCTTGTCGTTTCATGCATTCCCTCTTCATTATTTTTTTTTTTTTGATTGAATTATCTCATATGGGTACTTGTCGGCGAAACAAAACTAACAATGTCATTCAGGAGCCCCGAGCAAGTCACGGTCCGCATCGACTCTCTGATTGCCCGTATCCGGGAAATGCAAAAGGATTCGATGCACGGCGAGAAGCCCGCTGATGTGTTGATTGTAAGCGCCCCTCCCCCCTTCCTTTTCCAAAAAAGAAACCCTTCCGTGTACCCGCACTCTATCTATTTTGCCTCGTTATAAACGAAGCAAATCTATGCATGGCATGGTATACCTTCTTCAGGAACACTATTCTAATGGTCCCACTTTATTAATAGATTGCTCACGGCCACTCTCTTCGCGCCTTCACCAGGCGCTGGCTCGGATACCCGCTTTCCTTCCCGCTCAGCGTCATGCTTGATCCCGGCGCTGTTGGCATCTTGAGGTATGTGCTTTCCCTCTTTCTCTCCTTTTCCAGGTTCCCGTTCTTTTTGTCCAGGCACCAAATTTGTCTGCTTTGGAGATTCCGTTTGGAATGCTTCCATTTGATTCGGCTGCACAATTCTCTCCTTATTCTCCATGACATTTCTTTGTTTCCCCTTTTTCACTCTTTCTACCCCACCCCAACCCAATTCAGTCAGTAATGTGCCACGCTGTCCATTGTCTCTTCAAGTTACATCGAGACAATATACCGCGATGACTAACGATTGCACAACTTCGAAATATAGCTACCAACACCGTAACATCAATGAGCCGGCAATGCTCCTGGGAATGGCCCTGCCGGCTGATAAATAGATTGCATGCGTCTTCTGACGGTTGTGTGCCCTGTGTAAACAAGTGGTGGAAAGGCTATAGTTAAAGGGGCTTCAATCTTTTGCGAGGTTATATACAGTCATGCGAGAATTGGGCACGCGAGATCGATCAATGCTTTGGGAGATACGAGACGTATATGTGGGAGACGGAGATACATGTTGTATTAAAACGATGGCAATGTATATATGTGAGGGGCGAGAGCAAACTGGCAATTGATACCATCCCGCTATAGCAGCGATGAGTTTAAAAAGCGTCAAAATTCAAAGGACAATGCGATGCAAAATTCAAGCGTTCGTAATTTATCGAAGGCTGCAGCAGTGAACTGATATAATGTATACTTGAAACATTTCACAAAATGTTCACATAACAATGGTCAAATATATTTACTTTAGAAATCATGATTCATTCAACTACTTCAAAGCGTAATATCTAATGACTTCTCATGACACTCCACTAGAAATCTCTAACTAGCGGCAGGTGAGTACCCCTATCGACATATTGCATTTAAGCAGTGCCGACAGAGATACGGTGGTAGCCACCCTTGGCAGCGACCTCCTTCTGGAGGGCGGCCATGCGCTGCTGGTCACCCATGGGGTCGTTGGACTCAGCATCGAGGTCCCAGCCGAGGAAGCCGTTGGTGTAGTTGGGCTCAAAGTCCTGGGAGATGATGCCGAGACGCTTGGAGTAGTTGGTGACCTTGCTCCAGTCACGCTTGACGTTCTTGACGTCGCTGGAGAAGTAGGCGAAAGAACGCTCAAAGATCTTGCGGTTGACAGGAGTGTTCATGATGGGCTTAACATCAATGTACTCCTCGTAAGCCTGGCCGGGGTTGGCCAAGACGAAGTCGGTGGCCTTCTTGATGGCACGCATGAACTTCTGGACAGCGCCCTGGTTCTCGCTGATGAACTGCTCGTTGCCAATGTACAAGATAGTGCAGAAGCAGCAGCAGCCCAAAGCGGCGAGCTTGTCGATGCGGAGCATCTGGACGTCGTCCTTGGGGCGGCCCTGAGAGCCAAGCCACTCCTCGAGCTCGACCATCTGGACGTTCTCCAGACCGATACCAGCATCGATCTCGCCCTTCATGATGGCCTTGGAGACGTTCATGCCGCAGCGAACGGCAGTGTAGTCCGACGGGCTCATGCCGTAGGACTTGGTCAGCTCGTCAATCTGGATCTTGCCGAACTCGCCGACGTAGCCGATACGCTTGCCCTTGAGGGAGGTGAAGTCCTCGGTGATACCGCTGGACTTGAGGTAGATGACACCGGTGAAGGGCTCGTCGAGGAGAGAGCCGACGGAGATGACGGGGTAGCCACGGGCTTTGGCCTGGAGTTTCGGTGTTAGATTAATGGATTGCAAGAAATGGGGCCCGAAGGAGACAACATACGGCCAGAGTGTGGATCATAGCCTTGAAGCCCATGTCGGCCTTGCCGGTGCCGATGAGCTCAGTGACATCGCTGGGGTCGTTGGGCTCGGTGATGGCGACCTTGACACCCTCCTCCTTGAAGAAACCCTTGGAGTGGGCAAGGTAGAGAGGGGCATGGTAAGGGGTTGCGTGCCTTTTGACATTGAAATCGACATGTTAGTTTCCTAAAATTGATCGAAACCCCAAACAAGACAATAACGAAAGGGTCATGACTACCAATTGGTAAGGAAAGTGATCCTGTCGGTGGTAGCCATGGTGTTTGATGGGGGGTTTGATCAAAGCTGTTCCGTGTAAGCAACACTATCCTACTGTCTCTTGTAGGGGAAGAGAAGCATGTCCTTGCGCCGGAATTATCCAGATCAAGTCTTGACGGTCTAATCTCAGAACAACCGCCCCCCGACACGTCTATTGCTCCCAACTCGTAGTCTGTCTTGTCCCATCGTGTTGGTGTTGTCGTCGCTTTTGGTATACCGATACCAATTCAGGGTTCGGATGGGACAGAGACAGGAGTTGGGTAGACGGTCGAGCGAACAGTCGACACCCGTCATGCTTTCAAGGGCGTTACCTTAACGCTTTGATGCTTGATCCATTGATTACTCCATCGTAAGAACTTTCCAACAATGCTTCTCCTCTACATCGCGTACCGCTTGGAGGGTTTTGGTTCGTGAGGGAAGTAAGAATTGAGATAATAAAACAAATTCGTCTATAGACAGAAGGGAAAGAAGAAGATGCAAAACAGGAAGCTGGGCGGTTTAAGTATTGCTCTCAGAAGGGGACAAAGGAGGGGCAGAGATACAGAAACAGTCGAGAGATGAGGGGCACAGCTCACTTGCCCCACCATGATGGAGACTGAATTGGTCGATCTCTCAACATGGTTCGATTATGCCGTCCTCACGCCGTGCTGACATCTGCTATGCAAAGCAAAGACATGAATCATTAGGTAAGTCGTGTATGTAACCTTTCATTCGAAGACAGGCAATCGTTGGCTGATCGCCCTGCTAATAAAGCTAAAGGGCTACGAGTATCCTTGTTAAAGCCGTTGATGCCGCGGAACCAGTTTTGTTGCCAGATGATTGATCGAGGTGGAAACGTTGCTTCATGAGATAAGGACACATTATCCGTCGAGGAGATCATTTAACGCACTTAGTCAACTTCAGAGCTAACAAGCTTCAGTGAGTTTGTTTCGCCTGGTTCTTCTGATTCGCTAAAAAGAGGTGTGGAGATGATGGATTTGCAGCTTGGGCCAGATGCCACAAAGCCATGACGAATACAGCATTCGGAGTACAACACACCAGCTGGTTCGGCCGTTCCACGGAAACGAATGACTTTAGCTTAAGCTTTCCACCATGAGCACAACAACGATACAGCAAGTAAATCAGTATGATATCCTGACACCTCGATATCCTTCCAATCCAACAAGTGCCGGCCGCCATGATTCGTCTCCACCCACTCAACGCCCAAGGCAGAGAGACCATTTCACTCTTTTTGGGACACAGAAAGTCTTGGCTTGCGGCCATCCATGCCGATATCGTTCAGAAAGGGAGATGATCTGATTTGGTTTCCAGGGGTCATGGTCAGGAATGCCCGTGACGTCGGTCTTCTCACGGTACCCCCGAGTCTACCCGTCCCTGCCCCACTACGCGGAAAGCTCCTCTGAGCTTGAATAGTTGAAGTCAACATGATTTTTCGGAGGTGCTCTCTTCATTGTGGGACAGTCAGAGAGCATGGTCGTCATCACTATCATATCAAATGTCCATATCTTTGAACAATATACTCAATTGCATTTATATCAAGTTCTATCATATCAAGAGCAATTCCCCAATTGATACCGTTGAAGCCTGAATCGGAGCCCAGAGCATCTGAGTTGATGCCGAACGATCCGAGAGCGGAGCGGACCCCACCCCTCATTCGACGGGTCGGTGCGCAGACGAGGACCCGTTAAGAGTTGGGGCGGCTTTTCCACCAACTGCAGCTCCTAGCTGTCTGCCCTACCCAGGACTAAGGCCGACAAGCATATGGAGCCAAAGGTCAAGGAGTGTGCGTTAAGCTTCGAGCTTGGGTGCTGCTGCATTGGCTCTCGCAGGTCTTGCTGGGATCATGACTAGATGCTTGCTTCAATCTAGGATCATACGATTCTTGCAGTCTATAACCAAAGGCTATCCTTGTGATGTTTTATCTCCGATAACGGGTTCTTCACCCTGTTTGGTCGAAATCCAAATATTTCTTTCGTCCGTCTTGAACGGTTGATGGTCACTATTCTGGTGCTGCTCACCCAATGAATCCTCAGGATTCCCTCTTCAAAAGACAAGGTATTCACAAGGGAACACCGTGAACGATGTGTTTTCTAATGTCTTCTCGTACTGCCATTTAAAAGCTACAAGTCATTCTCTGAAGCTTCACTGGACACGAACTATTCACGTTCGTAATTCCTCTTCCCACTACATACACCTGGCGCATAAATACTTCGACTCCTGCTCCAAATGCTTATCTTTCGCTGTTGCTTTTTCTTGCAGCTGCTATCCACACCCGAATTTGCTTGATCTAACAATAGCCTGTTGCATATGATCTTAACCGTGTTCGAACTTGAAAAAAGACCTTGAAACAGAAATCCGACTGAAATTTCGTTGCAATGGTCGTGCAACAATCAGACTGTCAAAATCTTCAGCATGATTATTATTGCCACAATATGCTTTATCTCTGACTTTCGTACTCCATCTGCATCTGTGATAAATATCTTGTTTCCAATGACGGGAAAGAATAACGGTGCTCACTGAAGCAATTGGAGATCTTGGAACATTCTAAGAGCAAAAAAGCCCGATTATCGAAAGCGAAAATGTGGTGTCAAACAACAAAAACCCTCAGCTGTACAATAACAATAAAATCTCATTCGTCATATTGCAAGCGATATGAGAATCTTTGGAGCATATAACGCTGAATTCCAGCTCGAAAGCTCTACGACTGCGAGACCAACAGCTTCCACCACCGAAAGGAAGTTCGATGTTGCTAACATCGAAAATTAAAGTCTTAGACCCGGCAAGCTGATGCCAATATCGACAGCGCAAAAAAGGAAAATCCTCTTAAAAAAAGATGATGGAGAGAGCCAGTCGACCTCGTCGGCAGGGAGACTGTTGCAGCTAGAAACATCAGGTTAACATACTTCGCCAGATTTTTTGCTGAAAAATATGTCCTGTTCACGCTTTGGCATCTTGAGAGTCCAGAGAATCTGCGTCAAAATCGGTGTACCACTCCTTGGCCTCATTGTCGCCTGCATTGTTACAAGTAGGGAATAAGCACTCGTCTCCTTTGCTCAACCAAACAGCGACATCAATCGTCACGAGTGACTATCTCTTTGTAAGCCCTCCGCGGTGCAGAAGAGCCAGATGAACCTAAGAATGCCTTCAGTGATATCGTCAATATGCTCGCTCTTTGGGTGAGGCCAAAGATTACGCTGGAGATTTTTACAACATGTTATTATAAGGTCAAGGCTCAGAGAGTCCCCTCGAACGATATCCAAAAGAAGAGAGAAACAGACTGCGGCTCTAAAATCGTCGATGGCAATATTGTCATGGACGGTATGTCATCCATCCACTGGTGGCCGCTATCCTGGAGTTATATCGATGCGGGCTCATGTCTAACATGGGGCCGTGTTGATTCGATGGCTTGTGGACTCCGAATTCCACGTGCGACAAGTGCTACAGCCACTTCCAAACCCAGGATTTCGATGCCGGTCTTGGCCCGGAACAACCCTGAAGACTCAGATATTGTCATGTGGAATGTGGCGGTCGTTCGTGCTTGCTTCTTTTGTTATTCCTCTATCACTCCTTCCTTTCTTGACTACTGTGTGTTTTTGTTCGCACATCTACCCGTGCCTGGGACGCTTTAATACCCATCAGTGTCTTCAGCGTCGTTTGTATCGTTTTTGCATTCTATCAAGGAGTCACCCACCTCAATGATGAATATTATATTGCCTTCATGACAAATCGGAGCAATCTTCAGACCCTCTGAGGGGACCTACCAAAAACCTTGATCTCGAGATGCAACGCCAGAGCAGCAATGATCAGCACATCGGTTCGGCGGGGCGTCATTACAATTCCTCCTTTGGCACATCCACGTTGTGAGCAGTTAGTCGACCTTCAGATGAAGAATTCATCGATATTGAAAACATTACGAAAAGTTATGTGGACCGCCAATTGCAGCCGAATGCGCCTCTGAATCTGAGATTGTAAGCATTCTCAATCACAAGCAGAGATATGCAGACGGCTAATGCATCAACAGAAAGGCAATGCAGTGACCATACAGATCTCGGCAGACCAGTTGAGAAGAGTGATTTTCTCATATAGCAAGGTATATTTTCTACGAGGCCTCTCAAACAAGGCGGTCACAGAGCCAATCCTGGAAGTAATGCCCAGGATTGTGCAGACGGACCAAAGCTACATTGGTGGACGCAGTGAAGCGCAGAAGCACTTCAAGAACTTCAAAGCTGGCTCCCGGCTGGGTAATCCAAGCCTGAAAAGATATTGGAGTGATCCTAGAGATCCATGAACACACCGAACTTGATCCCACCAGTGTCTTTTATCCGCCGACACCCTCACCAGTACTCGTCAGGAAGTCTTGCCTGATTGCATGCCGTCACCGGTACGCATTCTCCAGCAACCAAGAGAACCCAGAAGTGGAAAAGGTGTTGAGCCAACCTTTGCGGCTCTTACTTCCCAAGACCAGTGGCTCAACGACTTCGCATGTCATCTTCTCCTCATCAGAGGATGGAACCAGCCGAATATATTGAACCAGCGAGTCTCCGAGAAAACACCGGAGAGGAAACCAAGTAATCAGCCAGATGATAAGGCAATGAAGACCGCTCGATTGGATCCCCAGACCCTTGATCCTGACTGGACAATGTTCGAGTATCATGGTCGTGTTCTCTCCATCCCCCTGATGGACAACCAAGCAAACCCTCACAGATAAAAAAGCTGTTGTGTCCAGAAAGAGGTGGAGATCAAAAGACACGACCTTGTGGTTCGGCTCACAAAGAAGAGGAAGAGCATGTCAGTACCGCTCGGCGAGTTGGTGAGAAATTTCAACGAATTTTAAGGCGGAGATGAGAAGTTAAACATAAACAATCGTCCGCCTTGAATCCAGAGATGCTGAAAGAAGCGCCGAACGGGCAATCCCATATATTCCCCTGAGGCTAGTACGTGAGATTTTGTATCTCAGCGCTGCTCATTGAGTCCAACCAGTTTCGAAGAAAACAAGACCAAGGGATTGAGGAGAGAAGAACGACATATTCACAGCCGAGGAACTTAGCATCCTCGTGGCTGAAGAGAAGCTGGCCAGTCAGCTATTTGTTGCTTAGTCCAGACCCATCTTGTGTTTTCTGTGGCGGATCGACAGCCTATCGTTTTGTTGCGGAGACTATTGCATTTAAAATTTACTTCCGTGGAAGAGCTTTTGAACGGCGGCACAATCAAGACGAACATGGGAAAGACGATGACAAGGTCGGTGAAGGCAAAATATGCGGTTCAGTCTTATGGAACAGCGATACGAGCGACCCATGAACCAGAAAGTATTCTCGAAGAAATCGACCAAATGTGGAGATGGGAGTCGCTCGAAATGGACGAAATGGAGCGAACGTGGAACAAGAACCCCGCATTCAAACCAAATCCCGGAACTGAGGATCATACTTGATGATCTAAAAGATTGTGAGCAGACAGAAAGCTTCTCCTGGAAGGAAAGCTCCCTCATCGGGCTCCTTGAAAACCCTGACGAGGAAGTCAAAATGAAGGGGGTTACTAGCTGGGTATCAAGGAAGAATAAGCTCTCTCCGGCAAAAGCATATGAAGAGAAAAGATTGTGCATTTGCATAGGAAAACTAGTACCCTTTTTGTTGAGCTGACACCACCACGTAAGGGGGCTCCCTTTGTTAATATGACTGCTGAAGGAGCATCTCAAACACCCAGGGAATACTAGCAACATGAAGCGAAAGGCCCCAGGACATACCCAATCGCCACAGTTGAAAAAGGCGAAGTTTTGGCCGGCCGAGAGCTTAGAGGATTCTGCACAACAAGACGAAAATGATCGTGCCAAGCTCAAGGCAACCATACTACCACTTCAAGAACGATTGAAAGAGCTCGAAGAGCAGGAAAATGTAAGTAGAGAATCATGGAAATATGATATCCTTACGCTGTGCCAAGCTGCTAACATAGAAGGATCAGCTTTTCCAAAGACAGCAAGCATGAGCACGATGTAGCACCAAACATGGAGAAAGATGTTGAGATGGACTCGAAATCCACCACCCAAAGAAGAACCGCAAGACGATGAGGGCTTCATGAGAACTTCTTGGATGTCTTGGAACGAAAAAGTAAAAAGTCCAATCGTTGGTTGACGGATCATCTGGTTGGAACAACAGGCGTTGAATGGAACTATCAGCTCCGACTTTCTTCAAATTGCCAGGTACATAATAAACAGGAAACGTGGCGAGGAAATAAAGATTGCAATGATAAAAGAGTGGAATGTATTTCATTTTGCTTGCTTTCTCACAAGCTCGGTGACTTGGTAGAATACCGGAAAGAAATGGTGCGTAAGAGAACTGAATTCATGGAGAAAGGCCAACAAAGTAGTAACACAATACAAGAAACCAGCTGGTAACACAGCTGTAGAGAGACTTTAGGTTACCCCAACGCCACGCTTGCTCTCAAATGCCATAATTCACCTAGATTGAAACCGAACAATATTTTCCCGAATTGCATCCTGTAAAAACGGTTGAATCCGTACGTGTTTTGCCCTCATGTATTTCCCGAAGCGCCGGCCCAGTAGCTCATTGTAGGTCAGATCAAACTGTTTCCCATGCATCCTCTTATTCGTTGTCAAACGGATCAAAGCTAACAGTTGGAGACTCTTCATCGCTATCTGCACGTCCCTTGCTCAAAGCATTTCGGAGCAGACCGCCTTCCTGAAACGCAGCTTCTCGGTCGCGCCTCATGCCCTCAAGTACAGCGACCAGACCGCCTTGCCGCAGCCGATCTAGAACAACATTCATGCCTTCCTTACTTTTAGCTAGAGCTTCTCTGGTTCTGCGCATCCCAATCAGCTCAATTGAGCCTTGTATAGAAGCTGTTGACCAGGATTTGAACAGCCCTCGTTTAGGCTGCTCTTCTTCTTCCTCTACCCGAGAACTGGAGGAAGCTTCTTCGATAACCTTTGATCTCTGCTTCAAGAATCGGCCTTGGCCGAGACGCGAGAGCAATGTTACCGATGCTGTAACATCCGTTCCGGTGTCTTTTGCATGCTCAATGAGGGAAGCAGTACCGCTGGAGGTGTCGCGTGACCCCACTTCAATGATCCCAAGTGGCCGACGATACATTTGTCTCTCGACAACGCTAAGTATCCCAGTCCACTCGAGGTTTCGAGACTCTGTCTCCATCCATCCTTCCTTGACATCAACGATGCTGGTCTCAAGAATATAACTCTGGCTCGAATCGTCGTTGGCATTGCCTAAGATGCTTTTCGGGAGAAGCTTGAGCACAGCCGGGGGCAATTTGGACTTTTTCAGATGCAGTCTTGTCGTATAAAGACGCTGGGTTTCTGCATCAAATCGCCGATCAATCACGTCGGTGGAGATAACGTGAGTGGCATAAGGGTTTGGATAGCGGAGAAAGTAGGCTAGGGCGACGGCGGGAAAAGAGTAGTCATAGCTGAAGGAATTTTCGTAGACCTTCACCATTGTGAAGAATTGACATGATCACCTTCCGTAATCATCCGTAAACATAAAAGCAAGCACGGATCAGTCACAAGAGGTGGTTAGTTTGAAGGGGGCAAATGATGGGGAAGCTCGGGGGTATTTCGATTCTGCCCCAGAAAGTCGAGAATCATTCCACAGCTTGGCCCGATTGGGCTTAATGTCATTCGCCCCCCAAAAGAGCTGCCATAGCTGCGCGTAAAGGCTTCCGTAAATTACTTACGTAATCATGGGATGCCCCTCAGTGCCCTAATGGAAGTCAGACGGTGACTCTTTCGGCGATATCTGTCTGTTTTACAGCAGTCTTCAGTTGACAAGGACCGTACTGGCGTGGTGTTGAATATTTTTAAATTTGACTTGTATAGATTGTCTTCATTTATACCCATTTAGACTCTGTCGCCGCGACTATTAATTCAGTCTTCTGCCCCTCCTCTGCCCCGCTCGTCCTTACACCACCATGTCGGAGGGCAAGCTGCCTGAAAATGTGCCCGCGCAGGGCAAAGATCTCCCTATCCGCGAACAACCGCCGCCGCCTCACCCGATTCACCAGGCGCAGAAAGTGACACCGTACGAGGTCTCTGGTGGTGTTGACGAAAATGGTGTTGCGATTGCGATCAACTATAACAAGCTGGTGGAAGAGTTCGGCACCAAACGCATTGACAAGACGCTGCTGGAGAAATTCGAGCGTGTGACGGGACACAAGGCCCATCGATTTCTCAGACGTGGCATTGTTTTCAGTCACCGTGAGCTTGATATGATTCTGGATCGCCATGAGAAGGGCGAGCCATTTTTCCTTTACACTGGCCGAGGACCCAGCAGTGACAGCATGCACGTTGGGCACACCGTGCCATTTGAGTTTACCAAGTGAGCGAATGAATTGCTAAATATCAGAAAAGAATCTGTGTCTAATTTTACCCAGGTGGCTCCAGGAAGTTTTCAACGTGCCGCTCGTTATCATGTTGACGGACGACGAGAAGTTTTTGTACAGCAAAAAGGGCCTCACCCAAGAGGCTGCCATGCAATATGCCATGGACAACGCAAAGGACATTATAGCTGTTGGTTTCGACATCAAGAAGACGTACATTTTCAGCGACCTTGCTTCCATGGATGCTCCTTTCTACCAGAACGTCAACCTCTTCTCCAAGGCTGTCACTTTCAACCAAATTCGAGGCGCTTTCGGTATGACGGATAGGTACGTTCTTGATCACCATAACTAATGTGATGGTGTGGACCTTTGCCCTAACAACCAAACAGTGACAGTATTGGAAAAATTCATTATGCTGCGATTCAGGGTGCTACATCTTTCGCTACTACCTTCCCTTACATTTTCGGCGACGACAAGAAGCGGGTCGCCAAGATTCCCAGCTTGATTCCCTGTGCCATTGATCAAGATCCGTATTTCCGTGTCACCCGAGACATTTCCAGTCGTCTAAAGTATGTGCGACCGGCACTCATTCACTCTATCTTCTTGCCTGCTTTGCAGGGTCCTGGCAGTAAGATGTCTGCCAGTGACGAGACCTCTGCTATTTTTATGAAGGATACACAAAACCAGATCAAGAACAAGGTCAACAAATACGCTTTCTCTGGCGGTCAAGTCTCAGCTGAAGAGCAGAGGAAGCTCGGAGGCAATACCGATGTGGATGTATCCTTCCAATACCTGACCTTCTTCCTCGAAGATGACGCCGAGCTAGAGCGCATCAAGGTTGCATACCAGAAGGGCGAGATGCTCACTGGAGAATTGAAGCAGATCTGTATCCGAGAGCTGCAGACCTACGTCAAGGGCTTCCAAGAGCGACGAGCGCAAGTCACCGACGAAATCCGTGATGAGTATATGCGGAAGAGGAAGCTCGAGTTCCGGAATAACCCTAACCCGGTCAATGGGACTGATAAGAAATAAAACGCGCGCAAACGCGCGAGCTGATGAGCTGATGACCTTACAAGCGACATCATAAAAATCTTTTGCATAACGGCGTATTTAATTCAGATACCGAACGATTTAACTGCATCGGCATTTGTAGACAGCGAATTCATTTCTTCGAATCTAAAATTTATAGATCACGTTTTGAAGATGCTTTATTGGAATATCCATCGCTCATGCAGGTCTAGCTGTAAAGATTTCATCTGGGCACGTGCAAATACTTCATGCCGCTGTAGCCTTTATTCTTCCCCAAGTCAATCCTCTGACCCCGTTGCTGATATAGCATTCCTCTCCCTCCTTTATACTCTTTATATCAACCACTTCCTCCTCGCATTGTCTCTGTTCCAGCAACCATCTCCTAGTGGTACCGACCTGCCCGCCCGATTCCACAGGCGGCGTGACCCATCTACCTCCCCGGTAAAAAAAAACGCTAGTCAAACTTCCCTCCATTGCCTCACCATTGGGGTTGATCAGCACGACCTCTGCTTTGTCCTGGAATGATTTGATTCCCGCTCGCTCACGTGCGCCAGAGTACATGGCTCGCGCTGTCGTCTTGAAACTAGTAAAAGGCGTAGGATCAGTGCGTTGAGAATCAATTATTATATCCCATGGTTGCAGGCCGCTGATAGCGCTGGTCCCACTTCCGACTTGTAGGGCTCCGCCGGTCTTGGAGGATCCTACAAAGGTGTCGTGTAGTTTGAGATCTTTCGGGTACAAGTCCTGCAGTGTTACTGCTGGTGTCGGGCTCAGTTCAACTGTGAGCTTCCCAGTTTCGGCGAGCAATACGCGGACCTGGCAGACTTCGTAAGTTCAAATTTAAAGACCGTTGGATATAAGACAAGCGGAGGAAGAAGGGTGGACAAGTAACAAATTAGAAAACAAAACAGAGTAGGACTGAATTATGGGGTTGCGGACCTTTAGCGGTGTTCTCTCATTTTCATGAATGCTTTTTCCAGAGTAATACTCGTTGACTTGTGCGGACAAGACCTCGTAGAGGGAAGTCAATCCCTTCTCTGCATCAAGCGTTTTGATAGCCTGCGGCCAGCCAAAGTGCGTTGCCGCAGAAAGCATCCGATCTCGGTGATATGGCAGCATATAAAATGCATTGGGGAAAGTTAGGCCATATAATTGTGAATTGGCCTCGCAATGAAGAAGAGCCGGGTCGTACCGGAGCGAGGAGAAGAGGTCGAATTGCTCTTCTGCAACCATTTTGATTCTGGAAGATGATATTTGGAACAAAAGAGACGACTTTATTTTGCAATAATAAAAAAGAAAAAATGATTGAAAAGCATCCAAAAGAAGACAGTCAAGGAAGCAAATAAAAAAGGAGAATTGATAAGACAAATGTATGAAAGATTAATATGGCGTGCTGATATAAAGAATTTTCACGTGATACCAATAGAATTGCAGGATTTAAAACACAAACAGGAAACAGCAAATAAATATTACTCTCAACCTATGAAAAATACAGTCTCTCTCTTGCTGAGGCTGTGGATAAGTTATAACAATTGGGAGTAGCAACAACAGGGATAGAAGTGATGAGATAAGCAGGCCATGTTGATGACCTCAGACGTGACTTCGGTTGGCGGTTGGTGACTGCAGCGAATGAGGTAAACTTTCGCGAAATCTTCCCTCTCGAAACTCGGAAGCTTCCTGACAATATTGCGACCTCGTGCACGTTGCAAATCCCATCGTCAACATCGCCAGGCGACCGTCTTCCCTTCAATCCGGACATTCATTTTGGTCCCAATTGTCGTCCTGCCTACTTTGGCACCATTTTTAAGTCACTTTTCACATCATGTCTGGTGCTGAATCTGTACCGGCCGTGCCTGCGCCCCGTGTGGCCCTGGACAGCTCCGCCGTCTCTGCGCCTTCGTCATTATGGGATCGCATCTCGAGCTGGGCTTCTGAGCACAAGGCTGTAGTATACACAATTGCTGGTGTTGCTGTGGTCGTCACTGGAGCTGGTGCTGTCTACTACTTCTCCGAATCCAATAAGGGATCGAAGGCTGGCGAGACCAGCACTGCTGCTGCCCCGGAGAAGAAGAAGAGCAAGAAGGACCGCCGAAAAGCTAAGAAGCAGGCCGAGACTGCTGCAAAGAAGGAGGGTAAGTGACACCGCAGGTTCAGGAATCTCAAAAACAAGGATATTGAACTCTCTGCAGAAGAGGCCAAGAAGAAGCCGGGTACTGCTGAGACGGCTTCGGATGACCTGCCCGAGGTTGACGAGGCCTCTGTTGCCGCCCTCTCTGAGCAGGTAAGCACCAAGATTAGAAATATGTCTCATGTAAGGCTTTAAATTGACATCATGTTTAGGAGCGCAAGGATCTTGCTGCCAAGCTGAAGGCAGCTGGCAACCAGGCCTACGGATCCAAGAACTACATTCGTGCTATTGACCTCTACGGCAAGGCTATCATCTGCAAGCCTGACCCTATCTTCTACTCAAATCGTGCTGCCTGCTACAACGCTCTCGGCGACTGGGACAAGGTCATCGCTGATACCACTGCCGCTCTTTCCCTCGACAACGAGTACGTCAAGGCTCTGAACCGGAGAGCGAATGCCTATGAGCAACTCGAAAAGAACAGCGAGGCTTTGTTGGACTTCACTGCCAGCTGCATCATTGATGGCTTCCGAAATGACCAGAGTGCCCAGAGCGTGGAGCGACTGCTCAAGAAGGTTGCTGAGACAAAGGGCAAGGCCATTCTCGAGGGCAAGGAGAAGAGACTCCCCAGTGCTACTTTTGTGACCAACTACTTGCAGAGCTTCCGAGCTCAGACTGCTCCTCAGGGTCTCGAAGAAGCGACTGAGCTTCCGGAAGAGAGCGGAAAGGGACAGCTGCGCGCTGGTCTGACCGCCATGGCCAAGAGAACTGGCGATGGGTACGCTGAAGCTGCGACCGCCTTCGACAAGGCCCTTGCCCTTGGTGACTTGGGTGAGCACGAGGCCCTGGCTTACAATCTGCGAGGCACCTTCCGGTATCTCCGTGGTGAGAATGCCGATGCCCTTGGTGACTTAACCAAGTCTGTCGAGCTCCAGCCCGCTTTGACCCAGAGCTACATCAAACGCGCCAGCATGTTCCTCGAGATGGGTAAGCATATCTAGTGACTAAGAATTGATCGAAGAGCCAAACTGACATGAATTTACAGGCGACAAGCAGGCCGCTGCGGATGATTTTGAAAAGGCTGTTCAACACAACAAGGATGACCCCGACATCTACTACCACCGCGCCCAACTTCACTTCATCCTGGGCGAGTTCGCTGATGCCGCCAAGGACTACCAAAAGTCGATCGACCTCGACAAGGACTTTATCTTCTCATACATCCAGCTCGGTGTGACACAGTACAAGATGGGCTCCATTGCTTCCTCGATGGCTACTTTCCGTCGCTGCATCAAGAACTTTGAGAAGGTTCCCGACGTCTACAACTACTACGGCGAGCTTCTGCTCGACCAGCAAAAGTTCCAGGAGGCTATTGAGAAGTTTGACACCGCCGTTGAGATGGAGAAGCAGGAGAAGCCCCTTGGAATGAACGTCCTGCCTCTGATTAACAAGGCTCTCGCCGTGTTCCAGTGGAAGCAGGACTTCCAGGAGGCCGAGAAGCTTTGCCAGAAGGCTCTCATCCGTAAGTTTGCTCGAATTTCTAGCCATATAGTTTCGTCTGCTGACCTAAAAAAAAGTCGACCCTGAGTGTGACATTGCCGTCGCCACCATGGCGCAGCTTCTCCTCCAGCAGGGCAAGGTCACCGATGCCCTCAAGTACTTTGAGCGTGCCGCCGAGCTCGCCCGTACCGAAGGCGAAATCATTAACGCTCTATCCTACGCCGAGGCCACGAGAACTCAGCTTGAGGTATGTCGCCCTAGGCTATGTTAAACATGGGCGATTTTCTTTCTTCGTCATTCTAACGCGTCCATCCAACAGGTGCAACAAAAATACCCTCAGCTTGCCGCCCGCCTTTCCGGCATGGGAGCTGGCATGGGCGGTCCCGCCATGAGATAAAAAGTATCAAGTTACTGGTCTCAAGGGGTGCTGAAGTGGCGGTAGGCGTGCTTTGCCTCACCGCTTGACCGTTTTATGTTCACTGTCCTCTAATTTACCTTCCCCTTACGATTACATCCTTTCCTTTTCGATATTGTCATAGTGAGACAGCGCTCGTGGTCTCCGAGTCTGCAATATCTGCGCCTCTTTCACTTTGTTCGGGACTCATCGTGCCACAGTCATACCAGCACGTGTTGGGCTGATACGCTCTCGTCGCTGATTGTTTTCAGCGTCAACTACCTTCTGTTTTCCGTTAGTTTTGGTACAGTACCCTTGGTACAAAAAGGCTTTTTCTACTTGTTTTATTGTAGTTGTGGTCATGTTTTCTTAAAGTGTATACATCTCCACTTCTGTGTTGTTGCTTTCCGCTGGCCCTTTTTCCTTTTGCTCGTCGTTCCTATTCTTGCTCCGCAGATTGGGTTTGGATCGGATGTGTCATATGGTTCACTGGCGACTTTCATTCGTTTGCGCATTATTCTTGTTTAGGGATGTATCGACTGCTCACGCGAACGAATGGACGCTGGCTTCCGCATATATTTTCCAATGGTTTCTTGTTACCTTGATGCGGACTGTTTTACCGGAAGGTACAGCTGACCGTGTTCCTTCTGTATGTCTTCAGAGATTTTTGAGGACACTGGTACCTGCCTCTGGTTTGGCAGGCTTTCAAGCTACTGGAAGGGGAAGTATAGGATAAGCAGTAGGGCTGGGGGATTCATGTGGTTCCTGTCAAAGGAGCGCATTTGTATGATAGAAGATTCGTTGAAGGAAATAGTGACATGGATATGGAGGATTATTGATCCGGCAGGTCAGTTAGGATTAATGGATAGCCATGGCATATTGTAGCATTATACTTTATTGATTCAGTGCACCTGATCTAGCGGACCAAGAGACATTTGAACCTTGTAGTGTTTCCTAATCTTGAATAATAGCCGTACACAACGCCGGAATTGGTCCTGGGAGAGGTTGTCTCGCAGGTGCGTTTTCCGTGAAGCAAGGTTCTGGATCGGTCCTGTATCATTATCGCCGAACACATAAATCGCTTCGAATGACCCATTTTTCGCCCTCTTTTACCTCCAGCCCTTCATGCAGCATGCAGTCCTCCCCATGCTTGTGCAGGAGCGCAGTGCCAGTCTCGAGCGATACGACCACAGATTTACCGCTGGTGAGGCCATTGCTTGATGATGACGTTGACGGGTCCGGATAAAATACTGTTTCTCCACCAATGCATCCGGATGAAGGAGATGTTAAGTAGATGAGTAAAGTCCAAGTGGTTTTGGCGGGGGTCGCGGTGGGTGTAGTCGGAAGACTAAGTTTGTTGGACTCGTCGTCTTTTTTTTTTGGTGTGAGTTATAAACAAAGGAGTGGAAATGATGAAGTGACGATGAAAAGCCAAAAGAAAATGGAAATCAAAGCGAAATGGAAACCGAAATAAAAAAAAAATGTTTTTCATAAAAAGAGAAGAAAACGTACAATGCTGTGCAAAAAACTGCCCCTTTCGATAGCGGTAGATTCTGATATTCGGATTTAATCCGACGACTTCTCCGCCCCATAACTGGCGTCTGGCCGCTTCAGACATACCCTCTTCCGCATAATCATACTCTGATATAGCAGATCCGCAGACCAAATCTTTCAAAGCGGTAGAGTTCCATAGCTGTTCCGCAAAAGCGGGATCTTCAATCTGGAAACGGTCATTGACACGTACAGCATCGCCCTTTTTGGGCTTAGCGGGAGTCGTGAGAAATGGTAGGCTTGAGAGAAAAGACACGTAGGTCTTGCAGAGACTGGCGGTGAAGAAATTAGGGATAGTGATTATTTGATTCTCCACGAGAGTTGACAGAGAAAGATCGCAGTTTGGCACAAGTGGTTCTAAAGGTGGCCAGTTGGGGCGAGCTGTAGATTTTGCAATAGTCGTTGTGGCTGATTTGGCTGAAGATGCCGGAGCGGTGTCCTTGCGTTTGCTGCCTTTCGGAGGCATTGTATTTCTGTGTTACTTGCCTTGATTGAATGAAAGATTGGTCACAGTGATTTGGAGAAGAGAATTAGGAGAGTATATGCGGAGAAAAGCAGACTCGTATATGTTGGGCGGGATGAAGTTTAAGTGATCTCTGTGACGAGAGGGAGATATATGTGTAATTATGATCAAATAATGCTGAGAAAAATATTTTTATTTGGAACACAATGACTAAATTACAGAATAATAAACCTGATGAAACACAATCAAACAAGATCATTTTATTTTTTTTACAGACCTCTATAGACTATTTGATAGAGGATTATTAGATTTATGCACCGTAGAATATGCAGCGTTGGATTAAAGTTGTGAAAAATGATAAGAGATTGCATATATGGCCTTTACCGGATAGCGTAAATTTCCCCCGCGAGTCAAGCCGCCAAGATTTTCTCCGGCCAAGAACATAGACCGGAAGTGTAATCTCTCCTCCTCTCACCCCCAAACTTGCCATCATCGTCGTCTTCATCTTCACCGCCCTCTAGCGCCACCGACCGCTGGGCGACAACATCTCGAGCGCGAAGGACGTGGTGTAGCCTAATGATGCCATATTTTGGCCGGCGCGATTGCACTGCAATTTCATCTCGATCGCGACCTTTGCTCACTTGCGATATCTCAATCGACAATCGCGCGAATCCGCTTGAGAGAATGCCGAACCCCCGGACTTAGCAAATATGGATCACGACACGGAGTATAACAGCGCCCCTCCACAGGGCGACGACGAGGCTGGCGGTCTCGTTCAACCGTCCATTCAAGAAGAAAATCCGGTCGACGCGGATCAATCGCAAGAGCCTGCCGTTCCCGAAAGAAATCTAGACAGCTCTTTTGACGCGAATGCTTCCGAGCCTCAGGCAGCAAAGGCAGAAGAGGATTTTGACCAATTTCCGCCTCAGGAGAATGGTGAAGCGCAGAACTTAGCTATGGACGCATTACCGGATAATACTGCTCTGGCTGACGCGACTCCTGATCGTTCGTCATCGCTGGACGCGACTCCCGGCGATGCGACCGGCCTGTTAAACGGGCAAATTGATACATTAGACGACACACCAATGGTGGGAGCGAATGGACCTGTTGGCGGCAATGCGACCGCCAAAAGACCTTCTGAACAGTTTGGTACTCCTGTAGATGCCGCAGCTCAAGCGGCGCCGCTCTACGATGGCTCGATTGGCGACCCTATGGCGCTTGATCCTGCTCCAGACATGTCGATGCTGCCGCCCGACGCGACAAATTTTGACGACCCCTTTTTAGAACCAGCAGCTCCCGTTTCAGAGCCCGAAGCTCCCCGCATTCAGGCTTTTGCTAAACTCGAATTTGACGATGGCCAGTTTTACATGAATACTTATTCCGTTGAGCTTGGTCGAGATATTCGCGCTGCGAGATTGGCCGTGCAAAAAGACAAGGATCAGGAGACTAGTCAACCACCCGCAGTCAATGGCAAGCGACGCAGTTCCAGTGGTGCTGATGGTCCCCATACCCCGACCAAACTCATCAAATGGGAAGAACCAGGGAAAATGGGAGCCCCAAGCGTTATCAGTGAAACGGGCGGCATTATGGGTGTAGACGCGCAAGACACAGAGAAGCGCAGGAAAAAGAAGAGCAAAAAGGCCAAGTCTACAAGCTCTTCTTCGCAACATCTCTCGCGCAAAGACTCTTCATCCCACCCCAACATGCATACCGACTATCAATCTCTCGCCATGGCTTCGCTAGCAGATAATACCGGTGGACCGCATCCGGTGGACCCTATGTCACTTTTGCCATCCCCAGATGAATGCCCGCTTATCCCAATCCACCCTCCGACTGGTGCTGCAGGAGGTGCTGCAGGGCACAAGGGCATTTCGCGAAAGCACGTCAAGATCGCGTACAATTTCGACAAGCATCTCTTTGAGGTCGAAATCAAAGGCAAGAATGGAGCTTTTGTTGACGAGCAATGGTATGGCACGGGTGAAATCAAACCGCTAAAGAGCGGTAGTTATATTCAGATTGGTGGTGTGGGTGTGCGATTCGTGCTTCCCGAAGTTCCTCTAGGAGAAACCGGCGCAGAAGATCCCAAGGATGCTGCCGCGCCTCCTTCTGGTAATAAGATGAGCTTCGAGTTCGAAAATGGACGCGGCGAAAGCGTCGCACTCGAGGAAAGCAGCGCCGAGGGAGAAGAAATAGGAGAAGAAGATGAATCAGATAAAGAAGGTGCAGGTTCAGACGAAGGAGAAGAAGACGACGGAGAAGACAAATCGCAGGCAGCTGATGAAGAAATCCCGTTGGATTCGTTACCTCCAGAGGTGAAAAAGGAACTTATGGAATTGCCATTTGAATTCAGACCTGTCAAGAGGAAGGGCCCTGGACGACCGCCCAAGAATGGCATCATTTCAAAGAGAGAATTAAAACTTCGAGAAAAAGAAGCCAAACTAGCCGCACTCAGGGCTGCTCAAGAACAAGGTCTTGAGTCGCCTACGAAGGGCAAGATCGGCACTACACCTCGCAAGGATTCCAACGTCGAACTGTCACCGAATTCAAAACCGCAGAAACGTAAGTACACGAAACGAAAGGGCTTGGACCAACCAGGAACTGTTGGCGAGGCTATCGAAATTCAGCCAACACTCGAAGGATCCATTCCCATCGCACCGGAATTAGAACTACTGGATGCTCAGCCACTGAAAGAGAAGAAGCCTCCGAAGCCTCCCAAACCCGTGCGCTCGCCGTCGCCTGTCTTTGACGAGTCGCAACTCACGCCAGAGCAGCTGGCTAAGCCGCAGGCATCCTATGTCGTTCTCATTCATGAGGCACTCTCAAACTCCAAATCCGGACCAATGTCTCTTCCGCAAATCTATAGGGCCATTGAACGAAAATATCCGTTCTACAAGCTCCGAGTTCAAACAAATGGTTGGCAGAGCAGTGTTCGACATAATTTATCCCAACATCATGCGTTTCAGAAGGTGGAGCGAGATGGCAAGGGATGGCTATGGGGTATCGTACCGGGCGTCTCTATTGAAAAGGAAAAGAAGAGGAAGCTCTCCCCTCCGCCGCCGCCTCCCCATCACTATCTCCAACAACAGCCCATGATGCGTCCTCCCGGTTATCCTTTGGGGTATCAAAATCCAAGTGCTGCTCCAGGAATGATGAATCACCTGCAACCCGGAATCGCTCCTGGAATCGCGCCTGGTGGTCAGCCTCCTGGTCCTGCTGCTGCTGCTCCTCAGCCATCACAGCATCCTACATACCCTGCTGTACAGAATCCCCTCCAACCATCGAATCCGCAATTCCCTCCCGCGAGACCCCCAGGTACTTATACCTCTCCATATGCTCAGCGGCCATCCCAGCCACAGCAACAGGCTGCACCCCCTCCGCCGCCAGCTGCGCAACCTGCACCTCCTCCTCAACCATCGCCTCACAGTGGCGCCAATGGTTACTATGCCAATACCGGCCGGCCTTCTCAGCCTAACGTATACGCGCCACAACCCCAAGCTCCAGCTCCAGCAGCGCAACCTCAACCGCCGGTCCAGGCTCGTCCAGCTCCTCCCCCACAGCCGCCTGCGCAGCAATCCTCTCGGCCTAGGCTCACCGACGATATTTTACAAGCCGTTGGAAAATTCAAGACTGCGCTTGTCAGCCAGATGAATGACAAGGTCCGCGGCGAGTTGATCGTAACATCTGCCATAAACCGAACGCTCGGTATTCAGGACAAGTCTAGTGTGCCAGGCAAAGAGGACCCGCAGGAGGCAGCAATTATGAAGGCGCTGGCTGGTATGCTTGAAGCAATGGGTCGCAAAGCCGAGGCTGCTCGTCACCAGCCTCCGCCGGCGCAACCACAACAGCAGTACCACCAACCTCATCACGCGCCCATACCTGCACCAGGTCAGCAACAACGGCCAGCCCCACCGGCATATGCGCCTCCACAACAACAAGCTGCACAGCAATCCCGTACTCCACAGCCTCAATACGCGCAACCAGCGCAGACGCCGCGACCACAAATGTCAGCACAGGCGCAGCCTCAGCCCCAAATTCAGCCGCAAACCTCTCAACTTCAACAAGCTCCTCCAGGGCCAGCTGCTCAACACCGGGCATCTGTGCCTCCACCACCGCAACCGCAACAATCGCAGCAACCAACGCTACAATCATCGCAGCAGCAGCAACTTAACCCTCTGAGTCCCAAAGCGCCTCATGTCTCTGGCCAGCAGCAGCAGACGCCACAAGCGCAGTTATATCAAATCCTCCAGCAGCTAGGGCGACGTGCGTCATCCTCGTCAAATCCTCCGCCGACGCAGCAACCTCAACAGAGCCCTCCAGCACCGAATGCCCTCCTGGCTAATGGCGCAAGCAGTCCTTTGCTGCCTGCTCCGAGCGCGGTATCAGCGGTTAGCCCTAGCCCTGGATTTGCTACTGCTCAACTTTCGACAGCATCAGTGTCACCAGCCAATGCTCCATCTTCTGCGCCGGTACCTCAACCGTCAGCTGCAGCAACGCAAACTCCTGCTGTTTCGGAAGCACACGGCTCTCCTCCAGCCCCTCCGCAGGTCGCGCCACAATCGCAACCGCTTGCTCCAGCACCTGTGCAAACACCCGTTCAAGCGCCAACGCCTTCACCCGCGCCAACTCCTGCTCAAGCTCAGCCTCCGCAACAAGCTCCTGCCCAGCCCGCACTGCCGAAGCTTTCACCCTCGCCCACATCTCTGGCAGGTACAAAGCGGCCTTTGGAGCCTATCGTTCCGGACCAATCATACCTCGGATCGACCGATGGTGATGCTGCTTCTGGATTAGGTACGCAGTCTACGCACCAGGACGGTCCTGAACCAAAGAAGGTCGCTACAGGTGGTGATATCAATGCTTGACAGTGCTAGGCATTTGGAAATAATGCTCGTTGGTTGCTTATTACTAGCTCAGTGCCTACGCCCTTGCTTGCTTAAGCGCCTCGAGGCTGCATGGTGCACGTGCTCAGGATGATAGGTTCTCAGTGCTAGCGCAGTTGCGCGAATCTATATAGGAGGCCAGTTACCTTTATGATTCGGTTTGCAATTGGAGGGAGGTGAGCGGTTACGATTCAGATTGCTCCACTGGCTCAATGCATCGTGCTTCAAGATATTCAATCGAACTTCACCGTGGGCTACATCAACACGTCTCTCTTGCACTTTCAGCTTCGTCTTTACCAGGACTCTCAATAGAATGGACCGGAGTAATTAAGACACGGCGCCCAGAGACGGAGACAAACGGCGCGGACTCGCGGGGTATATAACGCGGTTTCGTTTTACTCCCAATTAAAACATACGAAGACACCATTTCTTTCAGAACGGGCCCTATCATATTTTCTTACCACACTTGTATGGGCCCAAAAGGACGTTACATAAGGAAAAAGCAAGGGACGAACCCAGAGCGACAGACCTGGGTCAGGAGTACGGACCATTCTTCTTTCTCATCTTTTGATCTGACTTATTTATTTCTATTCTTACCTTTTTCTATTCACTTCCATCTTGTGGATCTCTTTACCTTATTTTCCCTTTTCTTCCTACTTTTTCACTTATTCTTCTTTCTTACTTATCAAGTATTTCTTCCTCTGCGACTCTCATCTTGAGTGTCTTATTTAGTAACACACACGTACGGTGCGCTTTAAAAAGGGGTGGTGTATAATGGGTGCTTTTGTTGCTTTTGCTTATTTCCTGCCGCCACACTTATTTCGCTGCCACCAAGTTGGTTCCTTTTAAAATCTTCAATTCCTTATTTATTCCTTCCCCCCCCCCTTTCTCTGTTCTCTATTATCACTGTACTGCTGTACCGGGGTTTTTTTCCGGATAATTTTTTTTTCTCTGTGGCTAAAACAATTGGTGATGCTGAAAGCTTTTTTTTGCACTGGTGGTGTCTCGGGAATATCCTTTGTCGGTGTGTTTGGCGTCTTCTATCGTTGATGATGATGGCGTACATGAATATATTGATATCGATATCTAATTAGTATAGTTATCTTTGTCGGGACAATTTCAAGACTTTCAGTGGTAACATTCGTTCGTCGTCGGTGTTGTAATATTTGGTATATGTATGTATAACTAGTGAAAGATTTGTTGTCTGTGCAGACCTATCTACAGTATCCTATCTTATCCTTTCAACGTAAACTAAGCAGAACAGCAATCTATGAACAGCCTGCGCCTTCCGAGTGAGATTGAATGTGGTGATAGTACCCTCAAATCCATACATATCAGATCCATCGGTTAAAAGTGGCGTTGCCCCGCCGGCCATCAGCACAACAGCGTGGCAAATAATATCATTTCCCGTCTCTAACCACCGCTATCATTGCTCAAATAAACAACGTAGTCAGTAGTTTCTGCTGCACGTTAAGAGTATTAGGAACTGACGGGAATAGACCCTGACGCGACCACGGACCGAACCATCAAATCAGATTGCCCCTATTTGAGGGGCTACTCCGATATCCGACACCGGCGCTTATTGGACAATTCGTCTCCAAGGAGATGCTCGGTGATACCCGAGAAAAGCATCATGCGTCATTGAGGGGATCATCAGCACGGTCCTTATCGCACCGCGAGTGGGACTCGCACTATCAAGAACGTTGCTTATTGCACATGTGATCCCCAAGAGTAAGACCCCAAACCTCCGGAGAATTATTCTTCTTTTTTTGTCTTGCCGCGCCCTTGTCTATCCTCTAGGCAAATTCTTAAAGGCCACTCAAAGGCTCGATTGCAGGGTTAGGTGGAAGAGATAAGGGTTCGTCCATTCATGTTGGTTTGCTGCAACCTCGGCCGCAAGGGACAGCAGGTCGCTATAGACTGTAACGGGTATAGAATGTGGGTGGTCAACCCCCCTAACGTTAATTGAATCTTAACTGATAAGCCAACAACCGTCCCCACCAATGGAGTTATCTGTTCCTCTGGCTATCTCCAACAAGCGGCCCTTTTTTGTAGCAATGGCTTCCATGCTCCTAAGAAGAAACTCTTCAATCTCCTGCCATTAGATCTTGCAATTAATTTGAAGCTTGAATTTTGTTCTTTCATATGCCCATGGCGGATTTTGCAAGTCTGTCGGCCCGTCCATTTCGGTGCACCAAATGCCAAAAAGCCTTTACTAGACAGGTTAGTTGTGACCGTTGTGGCAGAAACGTTTCGACGACGTTGCTGATTCTCTGATCATCTCCAAGGAAAATTTGAAACGCCACATTGACTCTCGTAAGACGATTGTTCCTCTGCCAGAAATACAGCCATACTGAGTTGTACTAGGTCACACTGCATCAATTGCACGGAAATTTGCCTGCTTGCTCTGTGAAGCTCGCTTTTCGAGAAGGTCTTACCCCCCGAGCCGATGGATGAACTGTGTCCGATGTACTAAGGTCTGGCCAGTGATCTTTTGAAGAGGCATATTCAGAGCTGTCACCCGTCAAGTCAGTCGTCACAATCAGCTCCGGTTGCACAACCTGCCCCAGAATTCTCGTCTCTCTCCCTCGAACCTGAAACGTCAATATCACTTGAGGATGTAAGTCAGGCCGATTCTGAGACCTTGTAAAGCAATGCTCATTCAGGAAGGCTCCGATACCATCCGAAGATGGTTCACCTCGGTAATTGGACTCCCACACTATTTCCACTATCTCCATGTTGTCCGATCATACTGACTTGCTTTAGTGCTTTGAACCTTGTGTCTCGTTCAGCCATACAAAACTTCTTTGACAAATTTCTCTGCAACTTTCCGATCATCCATGAGCCTAGCTTTGAGCTAGAAACATGTCCCACACCGATGTTGGAAGTCTTGGTCTGTCTCGGCTCCATGTACAGCTATGCAAAAATGGACTGCCCAAGATCGGATATTTACCAGTCGGCATTGACTGCCATGTATAAATATGTATGTATGCCATGCTGCTCCAGCTTATGAGCTCAATTTGCTTTCCTTTAGCTTTAGGCTCGTGCGTTTTGGTTCAATAGCAGCTGACCTGCCCTATAGGTCGAGCAAGATAGGTCGAGATACCAAGAGGGCTGGGTTCTCCAAACATTTCTGTTACTTGAATACTATGGTATCTACTCAGGTGAGCACCCCCTTAAGACCGTATCTCGTTCATTTGCAACAATTGTGAGAACATATTTTGACCCTCAGGCAGGCGAAGATAGTTTCTTCTTGAAGGCGCAAAGAATACACCGGGATCTCGTTGATGCAATGCACGAGCTTCAGATGTCGCATGATGGCACATCGAGCTCTCTATATGACGATTACGACGAAACAAGGAATAAGACATGTGGTGGCACTTTTGATGAAATAGACTCGCTGGAACAAAAGTGGAAAACGTTTATTCGATTAGAATGCCGAAAAAGGTGAGATATTCACGGCGAAGCACATCATGCAAATATTGTGCTGATTAATAAACTCCAATTGGATAGATGTATTTACGCAATATATCTTCTCGACTCAGAGTTTTCAATCCTCTGCAACCTTCGTCCAATGGTCTCAGCACTCGAGATCAAGTATGAATTGCCTTGTAGCGAAGATCTTTGGGGAGCCGCCTCTGCCGAGGATTGGTCACGTATTGAGATGCAACAATTTTCTTCTTTCAACGACCACGATGATCTCTTTTCAGAGGGCGATACACCACCGCCGCAGGGCGGCTTTTACCTGGCGATGCAGCATTTCCTCAATCCTGATCGTCGAAGAAAAGGGCCTCTCACACTGCGCTCATTATGGTCCAGCCCTTTTGCTGCCCTAATTCTTGTTATGCAACTTCAAGTCTGCTCTTACCTATTCTCTATCTGCCCAATTGAATTGCTAACCGATTTATACAGATGATGTCGCGAGAGCTTACTCATGCCAGTTGTCTGCTGGAACGACCGAAATTTCAGCAGAGAAATCTTTCCGTCCTCACAGACAGCCAGTACACACAAATATCGCAAGGTCTCAAGAACATAGCTGAGCTGGTTCCAAAACGAAACACCAAGGCCACGACAATTGAAGAATTTCTGGGGCTTTCAACGCGCCCAGACGTTCATAATGCCAAATCAAATTCACCCATGTGGCATACCTTTTGGATTCTGTGGCATTATACGGCGATTTCGCTTTCCCACCCCGACTCGCTGCTTGTGACTGGGATTGTGGAGACAAGTTTACCCTGTGCTGTGGCAAGTATGTATTATATACGCGTCCACACCCGAGAATTTAATCCGCGAGCTAATATTGGAACAAATACAGCGGCTGGGCATTTGGCTATGCCGAGAAGGCGAGAGACACGAGACATTTATGAAGATCGTGACGTGTTCCGAATCGTGCGTCCGCCTCAGAGTCTCAAAATGCTTTTTGAATGTGACTATGCTGACTCTCCAAAGCTCGAAAATCTCGAATGCATCATGGTGAAACTCCGCGGGTGCGACAGTCATGACCGAGACTTAGCAAAAGACATGGGCTCAAGAGAAGACCCATTCACTACCATTCTCTGCTACAAAATTTGCTTGGTCGGATGGCGATTGGTCCGGCTTACAATGAGCGAGGCGCACTTGCAATCGTTGGATGCGGATCCCGACAGCCTTGCTCGCAAACCCTCCATGTTCGTGCTGAATGCAATCATGTCATGCCTTCATAGCGTGCATAGCAACTGGCTGCTCGATGCGGATGAGCTGTCGTCGGTATCACATCGTCGTCTAGAGCCAATTGTGGGTTGTGAAATTGAATTTCTCGAATGGTTTTTGGCGACATTTCTGGTTCGGGAGACATGGCCAGTAGGAGCATGGGTCCAGCTGGTGATGCAAGAGAGTTTAGAAAAGGCAAAAGAGCATTACGAACATCTTTGTAAACAGTGATTTACTGTTGGGATGAAATACGATACGAATTATGATACTGGTTAAGATGTATTACTTTGAAGGCGATCACAACTCTCAAAGGATTCCCCTGTATCTATACAGGCTTTACAAGCAACTCATTGAAAACGTTATAAAAGATATTTCCCTCATATGACAAGAGAATTAAATCATTCTACATGTTCGCTAAATAACAAAATGCCAAATATCCCTTTTTTCTTCCCAATATATGCATCATCAAAATTATTTCTTAAAGGCAATCTCGTCCAATACATACGCTTCTCCATTCGTCTTGACATATTCCGGAATGGAGCGCACGCGGAGATAATACTCGTGGATGTTGGGATGCGCCTCGGCGAACTTTTTCGTGAAGATCTGATATCAACCCATGGTTAGCTCGTCTGTGCGATTTAATCTCGTTCGGACAGAAAGGCAGAAGAGGCAGTCGTCCAAAAATGCTTGGGGGTCTGGTTTCGGGTGGAGGAAGGGGGTGGAGTGGACGGCTGCCGCTTGGGGGCGGTTAAAAGGGCAGTCTGAGCCCTGGGGCCTGGAGACAAGACAAGAAACTCACAAATTGATATCCACGAGCAAGCGCCGCGACGACAAACAGATCGGCCAACGTGAGATTATCACCGACCAGATACTTTTTGCCGTGCAGCGTCTTCTCGAGCACGGAAATGAGTTTCTCATTGTTGGCCTCGGCGGCGGCGAGGATTTCGGGGCTCGAGGGCGCTTTACCCACGACGGGATTGATCCAGGCCATGATGGGCGGGAGCAGCTCGCTGTTGGCGAACGAGGCCCATTGGAGAATTGACGATTCTTCTTCGAGCGATGTGCCTAGGAGTGTTGTTTTGGGGTTTTGCTTGGCCACTATTACATTGATGTAGGTTAATATTCATTTATTTTTAAACAGAAAATAATTGAAAAAATAGATAGAGGGAAAAAAAAAAATACAGCAAATGTATATGAAGTACTTAGGAAAAACAGCAAACGTTTATAAGAGAGACAAAAAAAAAAAAACTTACGGTAATATGCCACAGCGATACATTCATACACTGTATATCCATCTGGTCGCTCCAAGGCCGGGACTTTGCCCGTGGGGAACTTGGCAAGATAGGTATCGCCCACGCCGCCCTTGGACGGGTCGACCTTGATGGGCCAGGCCTCGACCAGTTCGACGTTGAGCCCGTTCAAGGCGGCAACGACCAAACACATGGTCGCGCGCGGCGCATTCGGGTAGTGGTATAGTTTGCCGAACGACATTTCGATAAGGTACGAAGTAAAGTACTCAGTATAGCAAATGGGAAATAATGGTAAATTGCAGAATGAGTCTCAACAGATAGGACGAGAATATGAGTATATATTATTTGACTGCAAGGATATATCAGAAACAGATCGGAAACTGGAAATGTGTGCTCTTTAGTAACAGGACAAATGGACAAATGGACAAATATAATAATAAAGTCCTCTACAATACTCCGTACACTCTAATAAAATCTCCGAGACAATAGCTCCGATATTGGAGGAGGAGCTCCAACGGCTCCAGCTCGGCTTTTCTCCACCCGCCGGCGGCCGTGGGGCTGGTAAGAGGGTAGCGGTAAGTTAACCGAACGGACCGAAGTATTATAGTTGAGGACAGAAGGTGGAGGGTGGAGGGTGGAGGGTGGAGGGTGGAGGGATGAAGTTCACTACCGTAACGTACTCCGTAGCCATAGAAAGCATGTAAACAGTTCCTTATCTATAGGACGTGGCGGACATACTGCGGGATAACCGAAACGTGGGTGCAGATTCTTGGAGTCAACATGGGCAACTAGCTGCATCAATCACAATACAGTAGCATTTCCAAACGAATTATCCCCGTTATTGTATCTTGAACTATAATTGCACAAAGCATATGACGGAATCTCCGATTCGCCTGGGTACAGGACCTATGATACCTGCGCATGTATTTCCTTATCTTCCCTGGTGGAGCGCCACTTCCCCGAAGCACGCCCAGAAACCCAGACAGCGCATAACACAGAACAGTACGCAATTGATCAGACATATGTAGAATGGATCCTTATTCCAGGGTCCATGGATAATTTATATGCTTTTTATTAAAAAATAATTTTTATCATCTCTTTCTTTCGGGTCATATACTAAGTACAGTATACAGTATACAGTATACCGGTCAATACTCTCTTCTCTGATTTCTTGAATTATTTGTGCATCTGAATCCTGCTGAGTGTAAAGAATCATAAAATCATCAATCATGACATCAACATTGAATACGGACACCAGACTGGGCTGGATCGGCCTTGGCTCCATGGGCATCGGCATGTCCAAGAACCTGCAAAAATATCTCGCAGCTTCAGGTGCGCCGCCGCTGTCATATACCAACCGGACCTTGTCGCGCGGCGATGGCCTCAAGGCTCTCGGCGGAGTTCCGTATGAGACTGTCGGCGGGGTTGTTGCCAATTCGGACATTATTTTTACTTGTGTACGTATTGTGTATTGTATTCTTGGTTTAATACCGTATATATTAACCACTTTTTCGGCTCGTCACTCGGGTACGATAAACAACACGGTCACACCTCTTTACAATATTTCCAATGCTCCATTATGCAGCAAGTCGATTGCTGACAACGGTTCTATGCAGGTCAGCAATGACCAGGTTCTGAACTCTGTCATAGACGAAGTGCTTGCTTCTGGCAGCAGTGGCAGTTTAAAAGGAAAAATCTTTGTCGACTCCACAACCGTTCATCCCGAAACGACAATCAGTGTTGCGAAGAAACTTACAGATGCGCATGCAGAGTTTGTAGCTGGTAAGTAATATGCTTTTCATTCAAAATTTCTTTCCTTTTTTATTCTTCATGTGTATCACCCTTGTATTTATTTTCTTTTTTTTTCCCATGGTCTTTGCACCATTAACGATCAAGTGCACAACCGCCTTGCCATGCAGCATTTGAGTTTAACAGTTATCATTTAATTATTTACTAACATACAATTATTTTCTAGCACCAGTGTTTGGAGCATCCGCCATGGCAGAAGCCGGCAAACTGATCTTCACACTTGCCGGTCCTGAATCAGCCACATCAAAACTCTCGCCCTATCTAGTTGGCGTCATGGCCAAATCCATTATTCCCATGGGAGAAGACGTTTCGAAATCTACACTGTTGAAAATAGCCGGGTATGTTCAGCTATTCATATTTTACCGTCCATTGAACAAAAAAAACCCCCCCCCCCCCCAAGATCGAAGGCGCCGGAAAAACAACAATGCATTCCATCAACATTGTTCGGTGGCTGATTTCTCGTATAGAAACGTCATAGTCATAAGCTTCATGGAAGTCATTTCGGAGGCGCATGTCCTTGCCGAAAAGACCGGTCTTGGTTCGCAAATCCTCGAGACCATGCTCGGCGACATGTTTGGCCCAGTGGTGTATTCGTATTCGAAACGTATTACTTCAGGCGCATATGCGCCTCCGATAGGTATATCCCCTCCTTAACCTCTAATTCCTTCTGACTCCCAGGAATCATTTCTTTCAGAACATGTGGTTGTTTGCTGTTTACTATTTACTGACTGAAAGCAGACCAATCTGCTGGGTTCGGGGTGGATCTCGCATTGAAAGATGTCCGACACGCCTTGCGCGTGGCGTCGGAAAATGGAACCACCCTCGATGCGCTCGAGGCTGCGCTCAAACACATGCAGCGGGCCAAGGCCTTTGCAGACTCGCTCGGTGGCCGGCCCTTGGATAGCTCGTCCATGTATGGCGCCATCCGAAGAGATGCGGGCTTGGACTTTTTCTCGGATGCGATCAAGGCGAGAGATGCTTCTTTATAGAACGGGAGAGCGGGGGAAGGAGGGAGGAGAAGGGGGGGGGGGGGGGAGGGATTGGGTTGAGTTTCTTTTGACGTTCCTTTTCTTTCTTTCTTTTTTTTGTAGAACCTGGTCTATCTTCCGTATTGTATTATAGCATAAAATTTTGAATAATATCATTGATCTGGCTGGAAGGTTATCTATTACGGTCTACAAGTATCAGAAGTGCTGGGAAGTAAATATTTTAAGACGCTTGTAATAAATCTCTATAAGATATTTATTTCCCTAAAATATGGTCCAAATAAAAAATAGCATTGAAACCGAACTGGTCTTCAGATCTTTCGCATTGTACATTCTTGAGAGTTTTAAAGTGAGAGGATTGTGTCGCTACAGCCTTCGCGTTCTACGGTACTACAGTTAAGGAACCTCGCTATGGTCCGCCTACTATTCGTTCATCAACCCTTGGCTACCTACAGTACAGTACTAGGCTACGAATGAGTGCCGATCACGGATCCCGACTACCCACAATATTTAATTGTAATCTGATCCATGACCACACATGTAAAATTTGTTCTGAATAAACCATTGGGATGACTGAGATTCTGTAGTATAATTCATGAAATTTCTAATATTTTGTTGGCCCCCCTTGTGCATCTATCACTGCTTGAGAGCAAGACCTCATGATCTTAATAAGACTGTTGAAGAGACTTTTTGGTAAAGCAAAGCATGTAGTTATACATATATCCCCTAAATTGTGATAATTGATTGATTCCATATCAAAGTCATCTATTTGCTCATCATCTATGTTGTAGACCTCTTTTTTTTTTTTTAAAGAAGAAACCAGCAATGTTCTATTGGATTTAGGTCTGGAGAATAAGGTAGCGAGTTTTTGTAAGTAATACCAGCATCCATAAGCTATTGTTAGACCCTTCTAGCAACACTAAGGAGAGTCACGGTACACACGACGAGATCAAGGCTGTGAAATATGGATGGGGCGTGGAGAATCATTTCCCGGTGAGGGGAGGAGGAGAAGAAGAAGAAGAAGAAGAAGGAGGAGGAGGAGATGATGCAGGAAAAAAGAGCGGGGTTCTGTTTGTAGCGCTGATCGATTGGTCTAGCGGTGATGCGCACAGAAAGTTTTGCGAGACAGAGGCGTTCAAGGAGAGCGTCAAGTTCATTAGAGATATGGATGGGATAATCGAGTTGACGGTGCTTCATATCTGTTGAGGCAACATTGGAAGGGTGACAGGATAGGTCTAAGCATTAAATTGTTACAAGGTTGTATCATCGAGCTGGTCATGCTACAAAAAGTGCTGGCCAGGACTATGAGTCTATGATGGCAAAGTTTCCGTTTGTTTAATTGACTGAGTCTATTTTTGATACTGGTCTCAAGTTCACAAGTCACAATGTTTCCGATTCTGAACACAAAGCTATAGATTGAAACAGCTCGCTGGTAATCAGGAGTACTATAAATGTTCATTGCTAAAACAAAGGCTGTATGTCATATCGAGAACGAAACCAAGGATCCCCAACTGACAACCCCGGGTATCTTAAGTGAAAAGACAAGCTATGAAAGCAACAAGAAAATAGAAAAAAACATAAATGAGGGGCGGGGAGAAAACATGAAATCAAAAAGATAGAACCCTGAACAGCACTACTTGACTTTGGTTGCAAGAGTCCTCAACTGACAACTCCCAACACCAATTGACCACAGACCGATATCGTTAATATCCATTTCCAAAATAGTCTTACACTGCTGCGAGCTTTCCCACACTTAGCTTAGCCATCCATCGTTACGGCTCAATGTCCTTTTTGGTGGTGATTTCGACCGAACGTTCGTAGTCATCTCCAGCAGGACTATCTGTTCCTTCTATGATTTGAATCTTTTGCTTATCGCGCCGGTAGAGGAACTGGATGCCCACAACCAGGAAAATTTGAGCAATATTGTTGGCCATGACCCAGTACCATCCTGTAGAGTTATTGTCAATTCATGTTGGGATAAGAAAAAAGTCAACGAAGTGAAACATACCAAACTCGAAGCGAGGAGCTTTGGGCGTGGGAAAGGTTACAATGTTGAGACCGGCAAGCAATGCTTGACCGAAAGCATTCATGCTGGCAATGACAATAGCTCGTTCCTCGGCGGAGTTGATTGTCTAATGTGAGATGCTATTAGTCTTGTGTCATGTGTAAAAGTATTTCTGACTTGTGGTGTGTGGAACTTACGACTTCGGATGACCAAGACATGAAAAGCGGATTCAGGGCACCTCCCATTCCGGCAATATAAAAGGCGAAAAATTTGAGTCCGACGGGAATATGCCAGACCGCCATGCATATGGAGCCAACAGTCATGCAAATGCAGATGCAAAAAGAAGGGAGCCAGCGAAGCCCGGACGCGTCAGCCCAGTAGCAAGCAATGAGCGCAGTAATAATGGATATGGCGCTCTGTCCAGTGGGTAGATCGTTGATCTGCGTTTCCGAATAGACATGGTTGTGTGCCTTCAGATACAGACTGAAAGGTTGACCGTTGGTAATCATTGCCTGGTTGAAGACAATGTAGAGCAGCACAAAAGCATACCACCGCCACGATTTGAATGTCTTTGCAATGGCCGCTCCGCTCAATTTGACCTTGGGCGCATTATTTCCGTCCAATGCCATTCGGCTACGCGCCAGATCAATCTGGTCCGCCGTGAGCCACCAGCTCGGCCTCGCTGAATCCGGGCGGGCTGGAAAGACAATGGCACCGAAGATAGCAACAGGCAAGGTGATGCATCCGCAACTATCGATTGCATGGTTAGCACTTGGTAGACCTTTGAATTTGGTTCAAGAACAATCATGACTTACACAATAAAGAGCCAACTCCAGCCCTCAAGACCTATAATTTCAAAAATGTAAGCAGAAGGTCGATTGAAAATAAGGGTTTTTCCATTCATTTTAATTCTTACCGTTTTTGCCATTGAGATGAGAGTAACACGCAGCCTGAAAATAGCCAGCAAACATGGTACCAAGAGGTCCAGAGATATAGAAAAGGCTGAGGCGACGAGAAATCTCTGAACGTTTGTACCAGCAGCCAATGCAATAAATGACGCCTGGATATGCAACACATTCAAAAATGCCACTAAAGAATCGCACAATGTACACGTGCTTGACGTCTTTAACAAAGGCCGTAAGCAGGGTCAAAACACCCCAGACCAATTCAAATGACGGGATGAGGATGTTCGGGCTAAAAGAAAATAGAAAAGAGACAAAATGTAAGCAATTTTTCGAGGCGTATATTTTCTTGATTTTCCTGGATCGAAGGAAGAACAACTTACGGGACACGTGTGAGCAAGAGATTTGAAGGGATCATGGCCAAACAGTAGCCAGCTTGAAAAACACCCGTCGTATACTGTAGATCATTACCCTCCATGTGTGTCGTCTCCTTCATGCCCGTGACATAGGCATTTTGGAAAGCTTGAAGATCAAGAAACTATTTGATAGAGGTTAATGATCCGACATTTGCACATCTGTTGATAGATCAAGCCAACCTTGGTAAAGAATGTCAAGCAACCAAAGGTCAAAATCATCAAATCCAACTTGAACAACAGGAGTTTCTCTGCCTTTGACATGCCCGGTTCGTACCAGGCCCAGCGGTGATACCATTTTTGAGACTGGTGGGGGACCATCTCCTGGGAGGTGAAATGGTGTCAAAAAAATCAAAGACTGTTTGGGGGAGCAAATTGAACAAGCGTGTACGTAGATGAGGTGATTCAAACAACATCTTGAAGGGTGAAACTGAGGACATTATATCAAGAATCTCAACTTCTTCACTATCATTATGGAGGATACTTTGTGGGGGAGGAACCATTGGCTAGGGCAAGAGACGCTGTCGGCCTAATTAGATGGGGCGGCCTATCGAGATAGTGAGCGGGAGCCGGATCAATTAGGGTCTCCAATAGCGGGTACGTACCCTTAGTTGGTTAGGGAATACTCGAAACGTCACCAACAAAAGGTACCTGTAATAGTATACCTGGGTACCTATCGTTAAGGTGGAGCTCCATCAGTGTTTCTCATTTACAGTTAGCGTGGCGATGTTCACTCCACCACACTGATAAGCAACTTCCAGACCCACGGCGGCAAGGTATTACCTAACGCTAAACTCAATTTAATCCTTCAACAGCACGGCGGCGATAGGACAAACATTCAATGGTCAAATGAGAACGTCTTGCACCGTTTGCCTTGTGGCGAATACCTTGTCTCTGCCTGGCTTGTTAGAGATGCCACGGCATGCCCGTGATACATGGACCAAGGTGGAGCTCAATATGTCCCGCGGACACTCCATCGATGAGAACAGCAATGCTCCTCTGGTGACCCCGAATGAATAATGCCAGTGTAGATGAGTTATCGAGTATGTGCATATTGCAGAAGGCCCGTATTCAGATTGATTTAAAGCGTCAATTGTCGTCACCGAATATCCGCTGTATCAACGATAACCCACGAGGAAAAGAATCAAAATCAACAAAGTACTTGAATATCATTATACATCCATCATGCCTAGCGCCGTGTGCCCGTCTGCTGTGGCAAAGCCAACTATTCCCAAATTCATTCCTGCTGCTCCCACCAAAGAGAAGTGTAAGCCATATGACATGAAGTTATGCATTTTCTTTGCCGGAATAAGAGTTCATATACTAATGACTATTCTTGTTAGTGGACTATGTCGAACTCGTGAACCTTGATCTGTCCAAATTCGAAAACCCAGAGACAAGAAAGTCTTTGGCAAAGGAGCTCCTTGACGGTGTCATCAAGCACGGCTTCTTGACCATTTCAAACCATGGAATTTCAGACGAGTTGTGTGAATCTCAGGTCAACTTGGCTCATGCCGTAATGACCCTTCCCGCTGAGGAGAAGGCACCCTATGAAGGTTGGTCGACTTCTTGTTGTTTCGAACATTTCTTGTACTCCTGCTGAAAATGCAAATTAAAGCTACACCGGAAGAAGACGCGCTGGGCCGATATGTTGGCTTCAAGCCAGCAGGAAAGCTTGGAGCCAAGGGTGGCTTCCACAAGACTGTAAGTACTGTTTTTCCTTCCCCATGACTGTCTCGCTCTCTCATGTCTAACGCCCCTTACCAGCTTGACCACTACAATATCCTCACCTACGACCCCGAGAACCACCAGCACCCCGAGGTCCTCAGACCTTATGTGGATGAGGTTAATGAAGTCATTGGCTTTATTCGACACAACATTCTGCGAAAACTGCTCGCGCTTATGGCAATTATTTTGGAGGTTCCCGAAGAGACCATTGCTTCCACCCATGCATTTGGCAAAGAGAGTACCGAATATCTTCGTTACGTAAGTTTTATTTTCCTGTCCCGCTAAACCATACAATGAAAACATTGTCCGATTTAGAGGAATTGAGCTTCGTTCAGCTGACAAAGCATGTGAAGATGATCTATAACCCGCGCACCGATGAAGACAATGATAAATACAGAGATCTCTACCTTGCCGGCCACACGGACTGGGGAACTTTTACCTTCCTTTTCAGCCAGCCTATCTCGGCTCTACAAATTCTTGAATCTTCCACTAATACGTGGAAGTGGGTGCAGTACCTTCCGCAGTCTCTTGTTGTCAATGTCGGAGAGGCGCTTGAGCTGCTCACCGGTGGTCTCTTCCGTGCCACCATCCACCGTGTCGTTAAGCCACCTGCCGACCAGGAGAGACACAAGCGCATTGGCGTTATTTACTTTGCCAGGCCGGTCGACGAGGTAGAGTTGAAGCCAATTGACAGCCCATATCTTAAGCGACTTGGTATTGATAAGCCACTGGACGAGAAAGTGTTCAACATGGCCGACTATTTGGAAGCTCGAAAACATGGTTACAAGCGATTGGACTTTGATCATGACCGACCTCGTACTGACGGATACCACATGGACCCATTCCATGGAAACTACTAAGAGTTTTTGATTGAGAGATTCCCTTTTTAAGCAGACAGAATGTTTTAGAATTTAGCATTTAGTAAATAAATTGAATTTCAAATAATCCTTGTAACAGTGCTCATCCACCTTAGTGAAGTTATCCTTGGCAAGCAGCCCACCGAGCTGCCTGCATAAGATTTAGCTATGCTCTACCCTGTACAATTTGGGCGTCCGTTGGTCTGGACCGTCTGGTTTTGGTCAATCTTTGACTGGAATTTCCACACCAAGCTGGTCTGTTGTCTGGATTGGTCTTATCATGCCAGCAAGGTAGTGGGCAGCTAAAGGCTCCCAATCATTCCTTTGCAATATCGTCGGCACTTTTCCCGTATACAAATTCAAAAAGGTCGGCCCAAATTTTCCATTCTCCATAGGGGTCTCTATTGACCCTCTTCTGAAGAACTTCGGCAAAAATCTTTCGGGTGTCATGTGCGGCCTGGTTTCTCCCTGCAATGTACTGCACATTGGCATTACTTATTAGTTCTGAAGCGCCACGAATAAGGAACAGTGACCACATACAATAGATGCATTTTTGATGATTTCCTTGCAGTCTCCTGGAAGATTCATCTTTTGCAGGTCTTTTGTGGTAATGAGTTTTGCGAACTGCTGAAGCGTGTGGGCTGAATGTGCCTTCTTGTCTTGCTCCTGGTCCTCTTGTTTTTCTTTGGACAGGTTTTCCTTTTCCGGTTTCCCAGAAGGTCCACCAATTTCTTTATACTTGCTTTTTTAACTTTTTGAGGAAGTCCGCCACAAAATTCCCCTGTAAGAGGGGCAATTCCTGATCCTCCAGATTATAGACCTTGTCCCTTAAACACAGAAATTCAGTCTCATTTCTTGAATTTGATCTTCAAACCAAAGCTTCATTTTTTCCCATCATGTCGGTTATATTGTTTTCACGATTCTCAATTTCACTTTTGCTCTGCGGCTGCCTTATCTTCCGTTTTTCATGACATATGTTTGTCTTCTGGTCTTGGATATTTTGCAACTCTTCGGTTCCCTTTATTAAGACCAAATTCTTTTCCCGATGTCGCGGCAGAAAGAGCTTTCACTTGTTCTGTATAGTCGACCATGGTAAACTCTGGCTAGGGTGTCCGTTGGAGCCGGTGGAAACTGGTAGTCTTTGGTCTCTTACACAGTAAACCCGGATCAAGTGTGGAAATTTGAAAGTAGGACCAGACGGCCTTGGGTTGGTTTGCCTTTGAGAGCATTGGGGTCCAGGCGGGCGGATTTTAATGCTCGTTCCGAGACCGAATCTCGGATCTACCGTTTCATGTTCAACCGTGTGACGTGTCTCGGCATCTTCAAGGTAACTCTCTGTTGTCATCAATGCAAGGTGTGTGCCCTGGTTTGAGCGGACTTAACTCCAATGTGACGTGTGCCATTATGCTCTTATATGAAGCAGCACCAGAACGACAGCAATAAGCCCGATTCAATCTTCGATTCTGAAGAAAATCAGCTATCAAATAACGATGACGATAAGATTATTGCAAAATGTCAACAAGCCACGTATATTTATACAGCTCTAGGTACTTACTGTTCTTACCGTTTGTACTTTCTGAGTGGCTCTTTCCTCTTTCAACAGAAGACTCTCGCGGTTGCAAAGCCAGAAGCAGGTTCCTTCAAGTTTCGTCTATTCTGCTTAGGGTGTCCGTTGGTCTGGTCTGGGTCGGTCTTTGCCCGAAATTTCCACACCAAGGTGGTCTTTGGTCTGGGGTGGTCTTGTAAGGTAAAGACCAACCTCCAGACCGGACGTGGGCGGTTTCTTAAACTAAATCCATCCATGCATAAATATGGTATAAATGTGCATATTTTGGGAAATTCACCAGCATAATTTTGGTGACTGATTATTGATATACTTCCTAACAGGGTAATGTTGGTAGTGATCACAGACCGGTGGAGGCATGTTCAAAAGACCAACCAAGGTGGTCTGGTCCCTACTTTTAAAATTCCACACTTGGTCCGGGTACGCTGCATAAAAGACCAAAGACCAAAGAAAACCGGTTTCCACCGGCCCCAACTGACACCCTAATTCTGCTGCATTTTGTAGACGTAATAATACTAATCTGATGATCGAATTTTTGGTCTCAACTATTGAAAAGAAAAGGAACAGGAAGGGACATTTGTCTGTCTTTTCACAATATTTGAGGGGTGGGATGTGAAGAGCATAACTATATAAGCAGCCTATTTCAGTTCTACTAACATATAATTGACACTCAATGGAATCAACATTTCTTGAATTTATTACATTTTAAAAATGTTTAAAACCAGAAGAATATACCTACAAAAGGAGAGTGGCAAGATGAGACGTCAAAAAAATTGACGGTGGATATCTATACGAAAAAATAGAAAAAAAGATGCGTCGACCGGGAATCGAACCCGGGGCTCGTCGATGGCAACGACGAATTTTACCACTAAACCATCAACGCCAGTTGATATACGAATATTGTAATTGGCTTATGTTTCTCACATTGTCGACACTAGAATTATTTAATTCTCTGGTCGGACAAGTATCATGGGGGTGCTGGTTATGTACCCAACACTTGAAGCTGAAGTCCTAGATACTTCCTTTTCTTTCTTTTATTTTTAATTTAACTAATCTCGTTATCTATATTCCAGGAGTTCATTGGCGAGAGCAGGGATATTCCCGGGGTGATACGCATTATAGTTTATTGGATTTTGTCTTACTATTGCCGCAACGCTGGGGCACAACTGACTCTCCTTCCATTTAGAGAATCAGTATCATATAGTCATGTTTTTATATTATTATCAATATCCTTGATGCACGGTAATATATCTCCTTTCCTTTTCTTTTCTTTTATCATTTTTTATTCTTATATCACTTTTCTAGTATCTGCTGATAGGAGGACAGGTAATAACACGAAGTGTATAGAGGTGGGACTCTGGTCCATGGTTCTTCAAATAAGTCCGCGCCAATCTTGAGGGTTACAAAATCATCGATTTGCTAGATGATGTGAGCGGGAAATGACTTGATGCAGCTTGTATACTGTATATGATTCATGCATTGATCCTTGATATAATAAGCGACATTTGAAGCTGAATGGATACATACAAACAACGGTGACAGGAAAAAGAAAAGAAAGTTACGCCCTCCATAGAAACGCCTTCCGACGATTATATAAAAAAGAAACTAAGGACCTTGGACAATACTAGGTATTCGATACCCGGCCGGCAAACGGAGACGAGACAGAAGACAGATGTAAAGTTAGGGTGAGGGAAATGTCTCGTTATGGTTTGGCGGAAAGGGAGCGAGCCAGACAAAGTAACCTCAGGCATGGTTGTAATGTGAACGATATCAGAAGGTCAGATCCCGTGGAAGCGACAAGCAAAAAGTCTAGAGAAATATGACTTGAGATAGAAAGATGAGAAACGCCAAATCTCCTACAGATGGGAAAGGCCCAGGTTGATTTCAAGGCCACGTAGAGGGAGATTACATGGCCATTTCCGCTTGCAACTTCCGTAATTCGGCTTCTTCGTCGTCTTCTTCCTCGATATGGGCGGGAGCTTTGCCAGCGACTGTGTAAGGGAAAGAAATGAATTTAGTTATGTTTCCATGAAGATGATACTGAGAACATTGGACTCACGTTCGCCGCTTGCAGGGGTGGGCAGTCTGTGCACCTGGTCTGACACAGGCACAGTTCCTGTCTTGAGCATCTTGTTGTCCAATTCCTCCTGCGCAAGATCGTTGAGCTCATCCTCAAGCTCGCCTTCGTCAAGTTGTTCGCCAATCGGCGCGCTTGTAATGGCAGTCGCAATTTCCTCGCCAAGTGCATGTTGCTCTCTTAGTTCGTCCCTGAAATAATCATCAGTACCCTGTGGACTTTTCAAATCTGTCTGTATCGGGCCAGGACATACATTGTCGAGTCGACCTTGTCCATGGTAAGACCACCGTGAATCCGCTTCATTGCGGCACCTGCATTCTGCATGGCCTTCAGGGTCTCTTGGTTGATGTTTGCGGCTTCAATCGAGTAGATCTGCTGCTCAAGAGTGGAGATTTGTGCGCTGGTTTGTTCGAGAGAGTGTTCATGCTGCTTCTTCCTTCGGAGCGCACTTTTGGCAGCTAATGCGATGGCAAGTTAACAAAAGGTCTTTCAGATCTTAAGTGCCTAAGTCGTTTCATGGGTGGGATGCGGGAGGTGCAAATGAAGGTACTCAACGTGCATACCATTCTTATTCGTGCTGACAAACTTTCTAGCTGCAGCATCTTGTTCGGCCACAAGGTTTTCCAGATGCCTTTCTCTCTTCTGCAGCATCTCGAGCTGCGAGCGCAGACCGATGATGGCATTCTTTGTCGCATCGCTCTTCTTCTGGCCCCCGCCACCGAACCACGACAGCATTTCGACGATGTATGGTGAATGAAAAATGGGTGGCAAATGAGAAAAGACGAAGCTCTAAGCAGATGAAGGCGTAGCGACTATCGCCTCTTGCAAATCCTGGTTTGGCACGCCGATTTGCGTGAAGAGTATCTACCAGAAGCTGAGTTTCTTGGCGGGGTAGATGTTCGACAGATGTCGGCAATGTGGGGCGCAGCCACGGGCTCTAGTCTAAACACTCGAGCTGCCACAAAGGTGTAGAGGCAAATACGGTGATCGTGATAGATGAGTGCCTTAAACACGAATATATTTCGAGATTATCAGCAAGCTTGAGAAGGTGAGCGAGGAGCAGGTGGAAGGTCGAGGTTGAGCCTATGACGACGCTAATCGAGTTCCAGTCACCACGTGACTTATCAATAGATGGATCATCTGTCGCGTGCCTGACAACCCACTCCACAAGGGCAAAATGTAAACATATTTGGCGTCATGAGCTCTACGGAGGCCCTTTTGCTGCTACAGCTCTTTCTTTTGCTGCTTCAAGTCTGGGGATGAATTTGAAAAGGCCCATCACCCATAGTTATGCCATTGTGACAATTTGAGGGTCTTCTATCATTGCCAACTAAAATCCGGTCCAATATGGATGCCGGAAATCTTGGCCCGGTATCCTCAGTCTTGGTAACATTAGAAGAGCTTCCCAGAAGAGCTTTAGGAACAAAAGTACGATTTTTGGGCTGGTATGTGCTCAGCTGCTTCCTGTGCTCCTTCCAAGCTACCTGTCACTTGGCTCTGACTTTACGGCTAGCGTGTCACAATACCTGGTCCCTTCGGCGACTCTGGTTGTAGATCGTGGCCGCAAATCAATTGAATCATCCTCATGCGTAGCATACGTGGATGTGGGGCTTGTTCTATCTTCTCTTCGAGCCACAGATATCCAAGTCGGCGAATGGATTAATATTATCGGCTACATATTGGCCGCACCGACGCGACCGGACACTCAGAAATTCAATGACTACGCTGGAAAAACAGTATTTGTGCAAGCTATCATGCTTTGGTCTGCAGGATCAATCAAGACTGGGGAATATGATCGAATATTGCAGGAGCGAAAGGAAGCGGAAAGGCTATCATAAGCGTTAATTCGACGGGCTGCGTTTGTTTGATACACGATAGCTTCTCGACATTTATAAAGATTTATCACCTCGGTCAATACAACTTGTGAAGAGACCAAAGTAGACACAGACTGCGTTTGGTCGCTCAGTGTATGCGGAAACTTTTGTCTTGCTCTGTTCGGCTCGGGATACCTACCAGTCTTAAATCATGCCTCTTGACACTGATCCTGACTACGAAAGCGGAAAGACGGCCCGGCGATGATGGTTTGGCTCAAATTTGTGGGTCTTCTGCGGGCAAAGAGCATGGCAGAGTGGATCTTGCATTATTCTCTGGTCGGACAATAGCCGTTTTGTTATCAAATCATCCATGGCCGGACACAACTACAGACTGGCCAACTCCCGGGCGAAAGTCTTAGATGGCATTTTTCAGGGTTCCAATAAGCTGCATCAACTTGACGCATTCGAAATTCGCCATCTTTGTGCAACGTATCTTGCATGGTTATCAGTGGGGATAAGATTAGAATACGAACTGTGTTGAATTTAGACCCCAGTCAGCTCATGACTTGCATCGTTTAGATGTCGTGGTGCAGCATGCCTCAGCACCTTCCTGACTCAATTTACTGGGAAGCCAGAGCTTTGGAAAGGGCCAGGTTGAGAGCCATGTGGGTAGTAGAATGAATGATACAATGTAACACTACACGAGGAGCAGTCGCAGTTTCGATTCCGATGATGAAAAGTACAAAAGTAACATGCTTCTTGGCATACTGTATCACGACAGTTATGGGAGCCCTCGTGCGGGACACTTTGTGGTATGCAATGGTATTGAGACTCCACTTACGCACATTCAGGTGGCGCCATCAATAAACTTAACACTTGATCCCGGCTTTGGTTTCTAGGCCACGACGTCGTTGCTTTAGTACAGCAGCCACAAGTCGGCATCGAGCAAAGGCCAAAGCAGCCACGAAGGGACTCAACCAAAGGCTTATCGTGCGCCGGAACAGGACGGGCCCGGGAATTTGCAAAGCCACATCCGAGATGCAACACTTGACACTGATCTGAAGCATGAACAATTGTTGGTCTTAGAACCTTGGGTTCCAAGGTTCAGTTGAAAAAGTGTACCAACTTTATCTACCTTTACCTGGGCGGCGTCTCAATCGCTGTGAGCAACGTGGGTTGCCTTACTTGCCTTTAGGGTCCCACCGACTCTATGTGCCGACTGCCCGACGAATTCGGTATGGCAAAGGCGACCTAGAGCCCCCATGGAGATATCGACCGTTTCGGTGGCCCTATCATTCAATATTATGTATCTACGAGCCAATTATTTATTCGCCCACCACTTGACGAGTTGCCCAACGCAATCGTTATCCCCTGCAATGGCGAATGTGGCGAGGTTTCTTTTAGCATTGTTCATCTGGCGAGTATGGAGATTGGGATTCATGATTCCGCAAGGCTATCAATAAAGAGATCCTTGCATAAGTTGATACGCGAGTGGCGCCCTTGAGCATCCACAATGGTGTCCAAGGAACCCGATTCAGGACATCGTCAGCTCCCAAGTATCATGCAGCGCCCTCACCAAATGGGCTGCATTAGAACACATGCAGGAATTCTTGAAAAGCGAAAAGAAGGTATTGGAACCGAAGTGTGGCAGTACGAGAGGTCTGGGGGGCAGAGTTCGTTGAGTAACTTTGGGTGCCAGTGTGCCGATGAGTACCTACCTTACTCAGAGTGCTCTGTACAATGACTGAAAGAGTAGAATACGAAGGTATTCTTTTCCAAGCATAGCCCGGGGGGGGATTCTGAGAGATATTTCCCCAAGAACGGCTGACAGGTCCCCAGATCCCATTCGCTGGTTGACATGTCCAATAGCCTTGGCTCAACATGGCAACCTTACCGAAGCGGGGTGGCCGTTTTCCAAATAGGCAATCCTGGCACTTCTCTCGACCCCCGTTCGAGAACTTGGGTAAGGGCCGCGACCGCCACATGACAATTAGAGCGGTTGCTTAAACGTGGGTACCTGAGGCCGGTGGGATTTATCGACCCACACCAAATGGAAAGATATCCACCACGCCTGCTGTGGAAAGGAAGACTCTGAGTATACCAAGCCGTCTTTGGGAAATCATTATCTTAATCTTTGGCTACAGTTGGGCCGGGATTGGTGACATGCACAAATCAATCGATGCAAATTCCATCAACACACCCCCCCCTTTTCCAACGTGCAGAATTCGGCTTATCGCCCGACTTCAGGAGCTGCAAGACTGTCCAATGCATGTCGTGCTTGCATCCATGCCGAAAATAGGTCAGACTCGTGTTGCAGTCGATGAACTCTTTTTTCTGCGCAAATCGCTCGGATTCACATGTTCCGGAGGTACACAGTGTTCACCAGCAGTGGGATCTGCTTAGCGGTGAAGGGATGGACTGCTTTTCTATGCCGACAGCAAATTTCGCGACATTCGTTCCAGTCAAGTCCCCTTCTTTGGTGTGGAGTACAGAGGTACTTGGTACATATCGAGCCCCGGTGGGGATCGATCTCTTGAGAATCGAGGCAGTCAAAAAAATTGTCGTTAGGCGAGCCGAGAGTCAATCTTACGATCTTGTCGCATGGCTAAAGAAGGATCACTGGCCGGCTTTAGGACTAAGGCTGGCGTTGTCCGAGGCGAATGGAGTCATTAATTATTAACGGGAACAGGGAAAATGAGAGCAAGAAGCTCGGTCGATTCGGGGTGCATTCGAACTCGTTTAGAGCATCATCGGTTGCTAATGGCGGACAGGGGTTCCTTGGTGTGAAAAGCTGGCTTGGGAAACTGAGAAGCTCTTGGGACTTTTCCTTGCAAATGCCAATGATGCTGCATATGATCGACCAAACCCTTCGGGGGTGGGGAGTCGTTTCTAGCTCTTGTCACTTGAACACTAACCGTGGCACAGGTGCCTGTCACCACTGAAAAGGGGAAAGTCTACATATGATGCGCCAAGCTGGTCTTTACCAAGCTGGGCGGCTGTGACCGTGAACAAGCAGGGGTTTTCTATTTTGTAAACCATGCCTGTTGGTTGCGCATATGTCAGGAAAATCCACAACCCCTGCACGAATCTAAGGGTTACCGGTGCCAGCACTGTATCTGGATAGAGCTAACGCCAATGGCTCGACCTCTCCAGTCCCGACTGGCCAGTGCAAAACGAGAAGATGTCTACAATGGCTAGGACCCTCTGCTATTCATGCTTGTTGACCTAAGTCAAGGCTTATGTATAGACCCGCGCCAGCAATGGAATCGTTTCCAAAACGGGAAGAGCAATTATTCCACTCTGGAACTTTCCTGCCTGACAGCGACCAAATCGGTGAAAGATCCACGAACATCACAAAGCTGGTCCCTTGCACAGACCAAGGAACCCTTTCCTCTTCCCGCGCTCATCGTGGCCACGCCGAGAATTGCCCAGCCAGCCGGCTCGAAGGGCATTGCATGGGATCCATTGACTCTGAAGGCTAGAGCAATAATTAGAGACCGCTTTTGGGGATACCACACGTCTAGATGTCCCAGACGAGTGAGGCCAACACGCCTTTCTGGGATGGCCCTATCGCCCGCGGCGGCCGGTGCTCGTGGCTGGACCTGACCCAATGTTTTTATTCCGGCTCGACAGCCAGCATATATTATATGCCGACCTGCTGCAACTGCCGTGTGTTTCCTCTTGCTGCTGGTCTCTCGTGTCTTTCGTTTTCCACCACAGCTGTCCTTCGCTTTACCCATTGACGAGGCCCGTGTTGCGGAAGGTTGTCGTAGGCCGCCATATCGAGCCCTTCGCCTTACCGGCTCGGAGCCCTTGAAAGCACGATTATCTCTGCGGACTATTCAGTGTCAACTGACTCGATTCCTTCCCTCTTTGCCATACCTGTTCCAATTTTTCTGTTGTTATTAATTGATCCATCATCGCCATGAAGTCCATCAAGTCGTATTTCGCGCCGGCCTCTAAAGAGAGCGCACCGACGCCTGCTACTGCGCCAGACCCAGCTCTTACGACCCCCAGAGCTCAGTCAACTCCTGGCGTCTCAGGAAAAGCGACACCAGCTGGTTCAAGGCCGGTTTCCATCTACCCCGTCGGAGATTTCAGAAATTCGACGATTGACGACATTACCGAAATCAAGAGCGATGTTATGGTCAACTGGCTTCGACAACGCCAGTTGGAAAAGCTCTGGGCAGCAGACGACGTTGAAGGCGAAGGTGTGGTGTTGAAGAAGGGCAAAGGGTCGTTTACCTGCTGTCCAGCCACGCTTGCTGAGGACCCGGCTGGGTTGTATGCGGCCGTCTCCCGTCTCAATGTAAAGGTTAGTGGACAACCGCCATCACGGAGCGCATCTCCTTTTACCTAGCTGACTGTGACACCCAGGTTGCCATGACGGTGAGCACCAGAGTTATCAAACTCTTCCTTCGCCGCCAGGATATCGGTTACGTTCCTCTTCCCGATGGTCTGCGTCTGCAGATTCTCCCTAGCATTGCTTATTTGCCAGAGTCTCAGAAGCATCAATTCGCGGCATTCATCCAAGATGTTGGAATTCTCGTTGTCTGGGACGACGTTCCTCGTGACTTGCTTGACCGCGCTGAACGGATTGAGAAGCAACTGATGCAAATGATCTGGCGCGAAGAAACCGACGAGAAAAAGGACGAAAACAGCGTCGTCGTCACCGAGATCCCTGGAAGCGATATTGATGGCTACGACCTCGAATATGCTCAGCCTGAGAAGCCTCGTGAGACTGTATTGATCCAGGCTTTTTTGAGTGGACTGACGCTGGTTTTGGTCATTGCTGCTATGGGCGCCGGTTGGGGTCGGGTTGCGCAGGAAATTGCCATTGACGGTCAATACATCCGGATTGCGTTCGTTGCTGTCCTGCCGTTGCAAATCTGGCTGGCTCTTGTGAGGAAACCCCCTCGTATTCTCGTTCAATGAATGTCACGTACTGATGACGATGGATCTAGTTCTTTATGCAATCGGTTGCTGGCTGCGTGGCTCAGATCATGGGACCTATCAGTCAGATGAACAATAACAGCAAATTTTACTCTGGAAAGGCCCCTCGCAGACTGCACCGGGACCACAGAGCTTTGCCGCATATGACTATTCAGTGCCCTGTCTACAAGGAAGGCTTGCACTCGGTCATTGAACCTACCATTCGCTCGATCAAGGCTGCCATCTCAACATATGAGATGCAAGGCGGCACGGCTAATATCTTCATCAACGATGACGGCATGCAGCTTATTCCAGAGGAGGAGGCTCGCATGCGCCAGGACTTTTACGAAGAGCACAACATCGGGTGGGTTGCTCGGCCGAAGCACAACCCTAAGCCTGCCGATGGCGAAAAGGTTTTCATTCGTGCTGGTAAATTCAAGAAGGTGAGAGTTTTGGTTTTCCTTGAAAAGGTGACGCATCGTGTGCTAAAATGCTTTGCTAGGCCTCCAATATGAACTATGCCCTGGCTGTCAGCAATCGTGTTGAGGAGAAGCTCGAGTACGTCGAGCGCAACGAGTACTGGACCCAAGAGGACGAGAATGAGGCATACCGCCGATGTCTCGCCGACATCATCCGCGAGGATGAGGGTCGCACTTGGGCTGAGGGCAACATTCGTGTTGGTGACTACATTCTTCTGATCGACTCTGATACTCGTGTTCCGAATGACTGTTTCTTGGACGCCGTTAGCGAAATGGAGCAGAGCCCCGAAGTTGCCATTATACAGTACAACTCTGGTGTCATGAACGTTACCGACAGTTTCTTCGAAAGAGGCATTACGTAAGTCCCCTATCGCTGCCATCAGTCGTACTCTTGCCAGTCAGCTAATAATTATTTTGCAGCTTCTTCACCAACCTTATCTATACGGCCATCCAGTACGCCGTCGCTAATGGCGACGTTGCTCCTTTCGTCGGCCACAACGCCGTGCTTCGTTGGGCTGCCATCCAGGAGATTGCTTACGAGGGTGAAAATGGCGAAGAGAAATTCTGGTCTGAATCAACGGTGTCCGAAGATTTCGATATGGCTCTACGTCTCCAGTCTGCTGGTCACCTTATTCGCTATGGTGCCTATACTGGCGATGGTTTCAAGGAGGGTGTCTCTCTCACCGTGTACGACGAGCTTGCCAGATGGGAAAAGTACGCCTATGGGTGCAGCGAGTTGATCTTCCACCCTATCCGCTTCTGGCCCGTTCGTGGTCCTTTTACTCCTCTCTTCCGAAGATTCATTGGATCGTGCATGCCTCTTCCGTCAAAGCTTACAATTCTGGCCTACATTGGTACTTATTATGCCATTGCTTCTGCCTGGATCTTGACGCTCGCCAACTACTTCATCATGGGATGGCTCAACGGCCACTACGACCACTACTACGTTGACTCGTTCAAGATCTACATTGCCATCATCGTCGTCTTCAACTGCCTTGGTAACGTCTCTTTGGCTGTGCTGCGGTACCGTATCGAGGAGAGGAGTCTCTTCTCAGCTCGTGAGTTGCCCTTCCTTCCCCCCTCCCAGAGATCTTTCTGTCTTTTGAAATCATTCATCGCTAACATGTTGGGATGAATAGTCATTGAAAACTTCAAGTGGATTCTTCTTCTAACCGTCTTCCTTGGTGGTATCTCCTTGCACTTGAGCCAGGCCATCCTGTCGCACATGTTTGAGATTGACATGAGCTGGGGTGCTACAGCCAAGGAAGTTGAGAACACGACCTTCTTCAAGGAAATTCCCAAGCTCCTGAAGAAGTTCAAGTTCACCTTTATCTTCTGTATTGCCATGGCGGTCGGAATGGTCGTCCTTGCTCACGTCGTGCCTCCGCTCTGGCGCATTGACTTGTTCGTCGCCATCTGGCCCCTCAGCACCATTATCTTCTGCCATTTCTTCTTGCCCATTGCGCTCAACCCCAACCTCATGCTGTTTACCTGGTAATTATCAGGCATATTGTTTCTGAGATGGAAAGCGCGCTTCTTTTTTTCTTCTTTCGGCTTGCAATTCGGAGCACTGAGATTTTTTCTCTTCCGAGCGATGGGCTTTTTTTCTTCTATACCTAATTTGCATCAATGTGGCCGAATTCGGGCGATCCCTTATTCTTTCTTTTCTTCTCACGATGGATGACGACTGAATCGGCAGTATGGATAAACAATTTTTTAATGGCATTGGAGCGTCCAGAGCGAGCTCATTCTTCCCACCCTCCTCTTTTTCGTTTTACAAAATCATGTTGTTTTCTCACTGCATATGCATATAGATTATATGTTGCTGTTGTTTCTTCTTCTACAATGCTTACGAACGAGCATACCGCTCGAATTGCTTTCTTAAGTATACATCTTGATTCCGTTACATATTTGGGATACCTCTCTCCAGCCAAGCGAGCTGGATATAAACAATAAAAATACTAATCTTGGGTTCAATCCTTCTTCATATTCCCTTTATTCGCGCTGTCCTTTCTCGCCCCCAGCCATTCGAGCGACAGGTAACTTATGAACTAACTACCTTACCTAGCCCTTTTGTTGATCCTTTTGCTCACCGCGCTGCTTGACCACCTCGGCTATCACTTTCCCCGTCTCGGTCTGCAGATTCTCGAAGCCCTGAATGATCCCTTCTCTATCACCCTTGCCCATTTCCTGGCTCATCTTGAATTTCCCCTCAAGGCGATCAACCTCAATCTCGATCCCGATAATGTTCTTCTTCAACAGCTCCACATATCGCTCCGGCGCATCGCTCACTTTCCAGTCGTTCTTGCCCGCCGTGTATCCCATAATCCTCGTCTCGCTGTGCCGCGTCAGGTCGCTAATCTGTTTCCCCAAAAACGCTGACGTCTCGTCGCATGCAGCGTCGAAATATATTTTTGCCCGCCCGTACACCTGCGCCGCGGCGTAGTTCCATGTCGGCACCACTTTGGCCGTCGCCGGTTTGGTCTCGGTGTAGAATTGCGGGGTCACGTAGTGGTGGTGCGGAGAGGTGAAGACTACGAGGACTTCTTGCTCGAGGACATTCTTTGGTGTTTGCTGCTGCTGATTATCATCACTGCCATTACTGTTTTTCATTGTCGACCCTGAAGATCCTGTAGAGTCCGGAGAGGTAGAGCCTGAGGTCAACGACTCAATAATCGCCTTACTCTGCGGATTCTGTCGGGCCAAATGACCCCTCAGACGCCCCGTTTCGGTCTCGCTCGACTCGTCTTCCACGTCAAGCACAAATGGGACATGACTGCTTTGCAGCAACGGAAAGGTCCCCGAAGAAGACGGGATCGCAGTGGTGAACATCCCCAGGGGATTGTCCCGGATTAATTGCCGAAGGACGCGGAGGTCTCGCTCTGCGTGGGCGGCGCGAATGTACATGACGGTGAGACGTTTTGTAGATGAGTTGATAGATGTACTTGTAGGTGAGTTGTAGGTGTGATTGTGTGTGTTGCAGATAGTAGTATTCCGTTCCTTTTCTGGCCTCGAGATGTGCCCGAGAGAGATGTTATATGAGTTGCAAATGAATCACAAGCCACGAAAGGGTCTATGTATGCATATAAGTATAAGTATGTAGGTATGTAGGTATATATATACAGTATGCCTGCTACGAGTACAAAATATGGGGGTTGAGAGTCTGATATGACTCTAAGAAAGACGTTATCTTGCCCTGTGTCATACATTTAACTTAGGTAGCTAGCAGTTATCGATAACTACTTGACTTACACAGGTACCAGCCTAGAGAATGACGGACTCAACTAATCAGCGTACCTGGATTACGGAGTAACCATTCGCAAAAAAAAAAAGCCAAGCATGTGAGTCAGGACAGGGTAGGTCTAGTGGGGGGTTATTAGTTATATACTAGTGAGCTTTCTCCGGATCTCCGGTGCGAGTAGCCTCCCGCCCAGCTAAACTCTCTTAGGAAGTTAACTGGAGAGCCCACTAAAGGTACTCGGACTATTGGGTGGGATGGACCGTGGACGTTCACAAGTGTCACACCTGCGACAGTTTTGCATTCTTGGACTGACTATTACCTTTATAGAAGTTGAAAAGAGAGAGACAGAGAAAAGACGAAAAAATGAAGGGAGAAAACAAGGAGGAAAAAAACTAAAACTAAAAGAAACTAGAAAAATGACGAATATAACAATGTCAATTGCAGGGCGTGCTGCGTAAGGTGTATTACATTGATATAATGGGACAAAATCCTCACAGGGCTCTACGGACTTCGAAGAGACACTGACAATCCATACATAAAACTGGGAATATCTTCATCAATCGGAGTCTACGACTGATATATAATTTGCCTTGCCAAAAAAAAAAAAAAAAAGGGCGCAGAAAAGAAAAGAAAAGAAACGAACAGAACAGAAATAAAAGAAAATTAAATATCGTCTACCAACACAGAGTAGTCCCGGACACAATGACAGTACCAAGCCCTCAAGATGTCACGGCAGGGCCTGCTCAAAAGGAACCATACATTATTCGCGCGGCCAAATCGACAGACGCCACTAGCATTGCAAAACTAGGCGCACATGTCTTCACCGTCTCATTCGCGCACTCTGTAGCACCGCACGAGCTGGACGCCTTTTTAGAGGAGTCATACACACCTGCAGCAATCACCAAAGATCTTGCAGCCGATGCCACCGATGCCGCCGCCGACGACAACAACAACAACAACAACAACAACAACACAACAAGGGATATCATCGTCGCCACGGACGCGCAGGACGACCAGATTATTCTAGGCTTTGCCTATCTCACCCGCGGCAGCACCGATGCCTCAGTGGATCATCTGGAAAGCAAATGCGAGCTGCAGCGCATCTACGTACACCCTGCGGTGCATGGAAGGGGAATCGGTCGTCTACTAGCCACAAGAGTTGAGAACATGGCTCGAGAACAGGGCTTCAAAAATATCTGGCTCGGAGTCTGGGAGGAGAATGCGAATGCCATAAAGGCATATGAGAAATGGGGGTATCGACGAGTTGGCGACCACGATTTTGTCATTGGCACGGTTGTACAGACGGACTATATTATGTTGAAGGACTTATGAATGAATAACTTTTTTGGTTTTAATGATATTTTTTCCCCTTATAATCTTCAGAATGTGGATTTGTGAAGTAAACTCTCTGCAGCTGTGCGGCTCTTGTCTCCAAGCTCTGCTCGACATTGTTTAGCAGGTTTTCGTGTTCTGCTCTGTTTGCGTCCTGTCTGGCAAACTTCTACTCGAAAGAATGTCTGTAATTGGTAAATTCTGCTGATAGCTGTTCGAGCTTTTGCTTGAGGATTGATCATGGTTACTGGATCCTTGCTTCTGTGATTTTCGGATTCTAAAAAATCTTAGCTTTCCCTTATTTTAAAAGTACCCGGATTCATGAAAATTATATCAACATACAATCTTTTCCAACTCTTTTGCCATTTGTATGGCAGTATTAACAAATCTCTCCCCGCGAGCACCTTCATTAGGTACCTTATGTACTCTAACATCATGAAAAGTAACCTTTCCCCCCCAAATAATGGAGGCCTTGCTGGTTGTTTTACACAACTGAGGTAGTTCCTTTTCCTCGTTAGCAACTTGAAACAGCATAGTGACTCCATGTTCTCATATCCTCTCGAGGCTGATATTCTATACTTACTAGTTTCTCTTTCTCTAGCTCCCTCAGCCGATCTGCAAAGGGAATCAATGCCTGGAGTTTCTTGCCCTCATCTGAGATGAGCAATCCCTCACGTTCATGGTAATTGGTCATTGTGCGTACAAGAAGCCAAGGTAGCTGGGTAGATTACAGTACGTATGGACACGTGCTGGCCGGCATGTATCGCAGTCAGACACAAGGACGACACGGCCACCACCAACATGCCAACTCTGTCAACTCACCATACGCAAGGTATGGTGAGTGTTTCCAGGGTAAAACCCTAACTGGCCAAATGGGCCTCACGGGCCACTGCCATATTAGCCAGATAAAGGTAAAACGTAGGACCAAGGTTCAGGCCATGGATCGGTGGAAACATGAAAATGTGAGGATTCAGAACTCGACGACTCCACGAGAATGCTAGGAATTGTGGAAGACCGCAAGCGTGGCCCTGAGGGATCCACGAATACTCGAGTCCATGATCTAACAGTTGGCGAATCAGCTATGCAAGAGCACGGTATTTTCTCAGTAAAGTCTTGTTCCTTGTTTTCTCGTCATTTTTGTATAGCAAAGCCGTGTAGATAGTTTTCAAGCGCAGGTTTTCATCTGGAGGATTAGCCACTCGGAGCAGCTCAATGGCCAGAGTTCATGTACATGAATCATGACTGCAATTCTTGACGTCTCAATTTGCTTCAGACGCTTGATCGTCCATTTGAGAATCTTTCCTGAATGCGTTTGTAAAGCTGATTTTCAGCAATTTTGAGTCGGAGCCCTCTGCTTTCCGCTTTTTATAAGCTCAGAGTCTCAGAAGCACAGGAAATTCTGTTTTCCTGGCCAAAAGAGCTGAAAACTGCCTTAGTGCTCGTATTGAGAGCGTCTTCTTGAAAGCGACCAAGATTTCCAAAGTGCCGGTTACTTCTTTTCGTAGGTTTAGTTTCGATTGGTTCAGAGTTGCACAAGACCATTTATGAAAAAAACAAATAATTCTGCAGGCTGCTGCGCCGAAGCATTTCAGCTTCGAATTCCTCCGTTGCTTTAGCTGCTAGCACGTCGGAGGAAAGCTGTCCTCAAATGGATGGAACTTGTTCGCTCAATATCATTGTAATTTATTATCTGGCAGCCCTGCAGCAATCATGTGTCTTATCTGATGAAACGATAGGTGATGTAATCTCGTCGAAGGTTTCAAAAAGTGGCTTTATGAGATAGCCATTGCAAAGGAGAAATACAATCTGGCAATTTCGATATTGGCAAGTACTGCCTTGAGTTGATAAACTTGATTGTAACCAAAACAAAATACGGCGCAAGGTTGGTGATTCTCTTCGAGCAGGCGGGAACCTAGAATCGTTGATTCTTGGCTGATGGCGTGCGCTAGATTTTAGCTCTTTGCTGTTCTTTCAAGAACAGGCTGGTTGAAAACTTGGATATCTAAGCTTCCAAGAGTATCAGTCTTCCAATCATTGATTCACCAGCAAAACGCCTCAAACTGTAGTTGACGCGTTACCGCGACTCTATTTGGCGGAACTGGCCAAGCGTTTCCCTCAATCTCATCAAGTAGCTTCCACGTGGGTGGTGAGTTTTAAAAGTCTATCATTCTTCGATTAATACGTTTAAATTTATTCGGGTTTTCTTTGCTTATTCGATCTCGCTTTGCTGATCTGGGCTGCTCCTCGTGCTCTCGCTCTTCGAGTGTTCCATCAAAGTCAGAACAAGTAACTGGGCATACGGTGCGTAAGTAAATTAGTAAGTTAGTTCATACATTAGCAGCGTATTCGAATGGAGCTGCTAGACGACAATGCAGACACGTAACTTCACAAAATACCGATGAATGAGTATGAGAAGTGATATGTGTTTTAAAAATCGTTTTATATTGTTTATCGGGCCTAGCCACAGAGGCGGCCTATAAGGTTGGTTATTTTGAGATGAGAAGTTGCGTTTGATTACTCTTTTTGATCGACGAGCGACAAGAGTGAGAGCGGCAAGTGGCGCGCCAAACTCCTAACATATGCAAAGATCTGACACGCAAAAGATGATGAAAAGGAAATCTCGTGAATGTGCATCGTTTCAACTCATGACCGAGAAAGGAAAATATTAAAACTCAATGTAAGAGTCAAATCGAAACTGAGACGCGAGATGCTGGGCAATGCGAAAGGCGCAGCAGGTCTGGGTGTCTAGTAATGAATCCGCAATTCGTAGAAGAGCCGCGACGTATAGTGCGTCCGTAAACTTTAGGTGGTCGGACAAGCCAGTAAAGTCGGAAAACTTTCCCCGGCGGAAAAAAGGTCGATAAATAGAAAAGAGGAATGAAAAGGCTCGAGAAAAACTTTTCGAAATGGCCACAAAGATGCAGAACATGTCTAGTATGAGGAATACATGTTGCGGAAGTCCTGGGAATTTTTGATTCGCCCATTGGCATGCCGTCGAGAGTCTGACAGAATATGCCTGAGGAAACCAGTCATTCTGTCAAGAGCTTCGTCGGTGATTTCTGTAAGAGAAACAAAAAATGTAAGTCTATGTGCATTCGGTGGAGCGCGAGGGGTTGTATTTATAGGCTTGGGAGGCCTGCCAAAGAGGTGGAGGAAAACCAAGTTGCCAGGTGAATGGATATGAAAGACTTACGATAGTGAACAATCATTCGGGGTCCACGCAGACGCAGGCCCCATTCCTCGCCTTGCTTCACCCATTCTTGTGGGGAAATACCAGCGGCGCTCAGGTCAACCCAGACGTGATTTGTCTGAGCGGGCAGAACCAGCTGCCCGCCGAGTTCCTCCCAAACCTCTGCGATTCTTCGGGCATTCTCGTGACTCTTCCTGAGCAGAACAGCCTCGGAGCCGTTAGGGTCTCTGCCAAAGGCTTCATCGAGAGCGGCCCAAGCCATGCAGGTGACGATGCCGGGCTGCCGTACGTGTCCACCAATGCTCTTCATGATCCATTTAGAGTGAACGATAAAGTCATCCGATCCAACCAGAATACTGCCAACGGGGGCACCAAGTCCCTTGGTGAAGCACATAGTGACACTATCTGCCTCGGCACATATTTCCGGAAGGGTACAGTGGCCAGCGGCAACAGATTCCCACAGGCGGGCACCGTCAATGTGGACCTTAATTCCATGTTGACGGGCAAACTGACAGATTCGCCGAACCTCATCAAGAGGCATTGTCACACCTCCAAGCGGGTTCTCGAGGTGAATCAGCCGTGTAGGGCAGTGAAACACGTCTCCACGTTCCTCGAGGACAACATTCTCCTTGATGTCTTCAAGTGTCAGATAAAGCCCATTTCGGGGCATCACACTCTGCACCAGCGCTCCGGTCAAGCTCGCAATACCACCAGCTTCGAACAATAACGCATGACTACGCTTGTCACAGAGAACAGCCATGGGATGCCGCGTAAGATGGGAGCGAAATGCCAGCTGGTTCCCCATGACTCCAGAGAGAGCAAACAAAGCCGCCTCTCGTCCGGTAATCTGGGCGAGATGCCGCTCGAAGGCAGTCATACCACCCTCATTCCAAGCGTCATCAAGTAGAACGTTTTGAACGGATTGAAGCATAGCGTGCGTAGGAGTTGTTACGGTATCACCTTGACAATTGGCCGTATCGTCAGTGTGTTATTCTTCCCTTCCCAATTAAGGGAGATCAACGGTGAACTCACTGCGGAAGTCGGCGGCAGACGTGCCGGGCTGCTGCCACGAATTGGACCTGACACCATTGGACTTGGGGTGATCCAGTCCATTGGTCGTCTGCTTGTCTGCAAGTTCAGGTACCGTCATCCTGTCCGATGATGAGATCGGTTTTCAGGGTGATTTGGAAGAGTTGAGATATAGAGGTCCAGCGTATGTGTTGAACACGCCACCAAGGTCAAAGATGTGTCATGGTGGACGGACGAGCCTTTAAAAGTGGTCTGGATGTGTGGGCAGGGACGCCGGGCCTACTAAACAGTGCAAACCACAGATTATGACTACTAAGGTTGCTGTACTACTTACTACGGGCTCTATGTGCAACGCAACGGAAACGCATCATTAACTAAGAACCGGATAATGGTGGGGCCCAAAAAGGCCCCTCGCACAAGGCACCGCATCAAAAAATATTCTTATGAGGGAAATGGCTATTTTTTCTCGTTTGGCCATCATCGGGAACGTGGCTGCCCACCAACCGGCGCCGGCAGAAGGACTTTTGAGAAGAAATGGGTTTAGTCAATGAAAAATGGCAAGAGTGTGACTAACGTTTTCTCATCTGGAAGCTTCGGTTTGTATCGGAGTTCTGTTTGATCCACTTAATCTTATCTGATCCACCGTCCTGCGCTATCCACCAGCTCCCTCGGTTCTACTGAGTAATCTTACCGGTTGCCGGACCGGTTTCACCGGGGGGCAACGCTGTTGACAAAAGGGTTGGCGTGGGTGGGACTTAGGTCATCTGGTCGGTGCGGTCGGAGGTACATCTGGAGGATAGGGGGATACACACGCGATGGCATCAACAATGCCATCACCATCATGCCTCCTGGTGTTCCATGGGATACTCCTCAACGAAATAGTGTCATTCATTTCAAAATCCAGAACCTATCAAATAAAGATGTCTCCGAAAAAACTGGTGTCCCTTCTCGAACTGTGAGCAGGATATTCAATGCATTTCTTGAGGTAGCAGCACGTACTCGTCATGTGCAAAACCACACTGGTCGGCCCAAGAAGATAACTCCTGAAATGATAAAGTCAGTGATCCCACAGCTCAATTGCTATTGCATGCGTTCCCTGAGCTGGGAAGAGCTCTTAGAAGAGCTTGGATGGGAGATATCTTCTCGCACATTACAGCGGGAGATGAATAGACATGGTTATTTCAAGCATCAGGCTTCAAAGAAGAGATACTTGACTGCAGAGCAACAACACAAAAGAGCCAATTTTGCAGCAGAACACCAGCATTGGGACCTCAAGAAATGGAAATCTGTCTTCTTTACTGATGAGGTACATTTTGCCCTCAATATGACTGGGACAGACTGGGTCATTCAGACAAAAGGAGAGTGTTACTGTGTGGAATGCATACAATTCAACTTCAAAAAATCACCAGCATTATTCCATTGTTGGGCCATGGTTGGCTTTGGGTACAAATCCAAGCTTGTTTTCTATGATACAGCTGCTCGAGGAGGCAATTTGACACAGGAAGAATATAGGGATAAAATTCTAAAGGAGCACGTAGCTCTAGAATTCAAAAGGCTTCAGCAAGAAGGTCAATACAAAATCCTACAAGAAGATGGAGATGGCAGCCATGGAACCCAAAGCTTGTGCAATCCTGTTCGAGAATACAAGAATGATCAAGGCATCAACCATTTCATGAACTGGCCACCATATTCAGCAGACCTGAATATTATTGAGAATGTATGGAGGATTTTGAAACAACGGGTAAAGCGCTGGAAGGCTCGCACGGAAGAGGAGCTCAAGAATGCTATCTTAGTTGAATGGGATACAATCAGTCAGGAGGAAATCAATAAGCTTGTTGAATCTGTGCCACAGCGCATTAGAAAAATGTATGAGCGACAGGGGAATCATACAGGTCATTAATTAGCTGAATTGAATTTCATCGCATCTATCTATTGATCCCATTGTTGATGCCATCGCGTGTGTATCCCCCTATCCTCCAGATGTACCTCCGACCGCACCGACCAGATGACCTAAGTCCCACCCACGCCAACCCTTTTGTCAACAGCGTTGGGGGAAATGAGGGACAACATTGTGCCTTGATGGTTGTTACCGACCGGAGGGGCTTTCTCTGGTTAACTATCCGTCGCACGGAAGTAGGCGCACCTTTGGCCCAATTAGCCCGACGACGATCCTCCGCGTGCCTGGCATGGGATCTAACTGTACCTTGCTGTAGGTGTGCGAAGGTAGGCACGCAGCAGCCACTCGATTTCGCATCACCGTGCCGGGAACATGGAACGAAGCTTGAGACATTCATTCAATTGAAGCTCAATTTTCAGCAAGCATCCCGCAACACAAGTCATTGTCACCGTGGAGCGGAAAAGTGCAAAATGGTAATACAATAGGATTTATGGCGTGGTAATATTTGGGATAGATCTTCCCTCCAAATTGGATTCCTACCTGTTCCGATAGCAACGAAAACAAGGTCCAATAAAGTCTTCAAGCCTTTCGAGAAGATCAATCGCCTCGAGCTGCTTGTTTTGAGCGTACCACATCTTGGCTGTTCTCTTTAAGGCTTTGTCCATGTTACTCCGTACATCATTCAAAAAAGTCCTGACCGGACACGTTGTATATGCCACCCTGCCACTTTACGAAATTGCCATATGGAAATTCACTGATATTATAAAGTTGCTTGGGGAAAGCTCCATAAGTTATTCATCTTTCTCTATTGCATTTGAGCTGGGCAAACTAAATTATCCTACTCAGAACCTATCTGTCTCATGTAGTATTCGTCCGAGGGGTCTGGGGTTGGGTTCTCGCTTGGCGAAACCGACTGCGTCATCGTTGACTACGACCAAACAATTCCCCAAACCGGTTGTTCGAGGTTCCTTCCTCCGCTGTGCAAATAAACTTATCCTCTGTTCTGTTACCTTGTGGAAGGCATCTATTGCTCATACAACAGACCAGATCCTAAGAAATCTATTCGTTCTCCCACAGCATCAATGGATTGCCTTCCCATCCCGTTTGTTTGTTTCCAGTGCGGTACCGACCAAAATCCGTGTCACTGTAAGGTCGTTGGGCCGACTCTCGGATTTGGTGTCGCCATTGTCATGGCTGTAAGTTGTCGACGATTAACAGCGTAACGAGGAGCCATTGACTCATCTGTCAACCTCTAGGTCGTCTGCTGGCCTGCATCCATCTTCTGCGGCTGCTGTGCGACAGACACAGGCAAAAAGTGAGTTTTCCTCCGCCCTAGCTATTGGAATTGGCCTCTCTGTCGTCTCTTAATTGTACTAATTATATATTTTCCCAGGATGCTTGCTGCTCCTGCAGACTCCAGTGGGGCGGTCAGTAATGCAATTCCTTTCTGATTAGACGCGTTGCCGAAAAAAACGACGATGGATGCCCCAGAGTAGTCCTTCATTAAATCATGACGATTGAAGAATTGGGTCTTAAGATATCAATGGCGTTTCAGGAATACTGTTCACCGAGGGCTATAATTTGCTGTTAATTTTGAGGAGCCCAAGCAAGGTATCGGTTTCTCAAACCGCCGCTCACTCCTTCAGCACTAAAGGCTTGGGACTGGGATGGAGATTATTATTATAAATACTTATCACTATTGATGATTTAGGTGGAATTCTCGCTTTCGCACAGCCGGACAGGGGTTAAGCAAGCCGCAAGCCCAACAAAGATAACCACTCTGTACAGTGAATTATGAACGTAGGATACCGTTGCCTCCAGGTCTTTATAGGTGGAAATGTAGCTTCTCCTTCCGTTATTTACTTGTCTTTACCGGTCCCTCAAAGTCGCTCATTTTGAGATATTGTTATAAGATACTTGTTGAATTGCTGTTAAATGCACACTTCACGATTCACAGCTACATCCAAGGACATTCAATGGCTTCTCGTCCGTCATTCGAGGATCTGAAGCCATTTCTAGTCGCCGAAAATGTATTCGTGTTCCTTCCTCCAGTGATTCCTGACTCTTCAACCAAGCTAGAATATTTTCTCTCCTATACAGCGAACGAGAGGGTCGATCAGACCGCACAGTTCTTGCTAGTGGATATTCTCGCGACCCAGGCATGGGAGATTCACGCCTGGCCTGGCAAGAATACTATCTTGACAGACGAGGACTTCCAACAGCTCATAGAAGACTTCTGTTCAGAACACACTGCGTCAAAAACCACTCGTATTCGAGAACTTGAGCAAGACGGAGAGGCCGTGGATGAGGTCTCGTTGATTCAGATACCAGATAGAATTCAGGGTACGATAATATTTTCGAATTTTCGAATCTGCGCGAGTTGAGATCATGCTTTTACTCATTCTACAAACTAGACCCTCAAAAGCCAAGCACGCAAGGCTCTTCTATCAAAACCACGCCCATGACTCCGCCAAACCAAGGCAACAAAGGAAGGCGCATCAGTGCCCCATTTCGTTATTACAGACCGGGGAAATGAATGTTTGTTAGCTCTGTGCAGGACTTTGAATCTGGAAACAAACAAACACAAATCCTTTTGTTCATGTGCATGCTACTGCTTGGGGTATTATTTCATGAGCAGAGATTATTCAGATGGTGAAGGAGAACGTGTATAATGCATCTGACAGTGGTAAACTTTCCAAGACATTTACTGGTACAAAGCTTTTTTCTAATCTGTCATCTTCGACCGGTTCTTCTGTTGTTAGCACCTAAAAGAATCCTAGGTTGAGCCAGCTAATAGAGCTGGATGCTGAGGCTGGATACTTGACCAGATCGTGTGCTGCTGCTAATAAGGCCATCTGGCTTAGAGTAACCTTGATAAATGGCATCGTAAACAGATCCACATTTCTTATGCTTCGAATGCTTCGAGAGACATCTTTGGTGAGCTTAAAGGGTCGACTGGCACTCTGAAAGATGCACCTAATGCGTCGTGGAACATTAATGACGCTGACAAAGTCAAGCCAGCATAGCCAGTGGGTTTTGCGGCTTTCTTAACGCACAATGAAAGGCAGAACGGACCGTCAGGAAAAAGACTGAGTCATTCATTATCTCGGGCGCCTTTCTATTTACCGTACTGCTGACAGATATCAGATAGAACCACGTTTGGGAGAAGCTAAAACATTTGATTTGGCCAAGCCACAAGCTGGTGGCGACAGCTTCTGAAGCTGTGACCGATAAACAAAGATTATCAGGAGAAGTTCAACTAGGGACGGGTAGATAGCCGATTCATTGTGGAGGAATTGACGTGGATTGGCATCAAAAGATCGTACAGCCACATTTATTTCTTCACGAGAGGTGGATTGTTTTATTTCTGGTTAGGCTCACAGGTCTAGGCAGAGGCAGTCACAGTCCAAGATTGGCAATTAGTCTCAGGGGTCGAGCAGCCGAGCAAGACAGTCCTAACTCAAACATGAACTCCCCCGTCTCCGCCGACACAAAACGGAGCTTCTTTCGCTTCCCGCGCTCCACCCGTTCGGCAGCTTCCCCCATAGGTCCACTTTGGCGGGGAGGTATTATATACCTTGACCTCGCTCATGACCCAGCAACGCTCCTTTCTCGCTATTCATTGCCATCAGTCGATTCATGGAGGCGAGCACCAACCTGCAGGGTGACTCGACGTCCCCGGATATCCCTCCCCCCACAATCTCCACCTCTGCCGTGGAGTCTCTGACTGCTGAAGACTTGCCTGCAAAGTCGAACAAGCGTCGGAACCCAGGGACCAGTTTGCGGGGAGTCGCCAATCTGACGCCAGAGCGTCTGGAAAAGAAGCGCGCAAATGATCGAGAAGCGCAACGCGCGATACGCGCGCGCACCAGGCATCAGATCGAAAATCTTGAGCGGAGAATTATCGAATTAACTTCGCAGCAACCCTATCAGGAGCTTCAATATCACCTACGGCAAAAGGAAGCTGTCCAAGCGGAGAATGCAGAAATACGAAGAAGGTTGTCCTCAGCCTTAGCCATTTTGCAGCCTCTCTTAGGCTCACACAAATTTAATGGTGCGTGTGATTTAGATCAGATTTGATTTACCTTTTGTCGAATGGTTTCAAGATCGAAGGACCAATGCAGTGAGCATCATCAACTAATTGCGAAAATGTAGAATTCACACCTCCGCATCCACCAGCTCAAGTCGGTCCTTATCATCCCTCAATTGCAGGTATCCAGGGCTACCCCAGCCCAGCCGACAACGATGCGCCAATAGTGCAGTCGTCCCAGGCACCAGCTGCATGTGAGCCTCAACGAGACGCGCTCGGCTCAGCAGGCTCAACGTTGGATGGAATGGGTCCAGCCCCTTCATGGCGCACTGCGGCCGTACCGGCGCCTGTCGGTCCATCTAAAACCTGGTCTCCTGTCCATTCTGTTGGCTCTCAAAGAGAATCATTAGGGCGGGGGATAGATGTGGGCACCTCGCGAGAGCGATTAGGCTGGGACTTTCTACTTGATCACCGTCAACGTCTGCCCTCTTTCGGAAATGAACCTCTTCCGCCAGCCGGACCCCACAGCGATGCTGCTGGTCAACCAATCCCCTTCGGTGCGTGTGAAGCAGATTCAACCATCGCAGTGAAAGCCTCTAACATCGAGACTGTCTCTTAGATCCCCAGCGCGTCGAGCCACGGAGTAGAGCATCGGTGAGCACGCCAACACCTCAATTGGGCCTTGATCCAGCAACCGTAGATTCGGACGGAATCTTCCAGGCATATACAGCAGCTCCTCGAAATTGTGCAGCCACATGTCCGTTAGATAGCATTTTGCTCGACTTCATTGCAGAGCGACGGCAGCAGATTGCGGATGGCGTGCCCGAGAAAAGTGTTGTGGGCCCGCCGATTCCCAATTTTGCATCACTTCTTCACCCAGAGCGAAGTTTATACTCTCATCCCTTGTCCAAAGTGCTGACCGATATCTTGTCGCGCTTTCCTGCCTTATCTGCCCTTCCCGAGAAAATCGCCGTGCTTTGTGGCATGTTTTATTTCTTGCAGGTGAGGAAATCACTTAGCTGGAACTATTATGAAGAAATAATGCTAATATCGACTTGACAGTGGCAAGTATCCTCGACAAAAGAGCGCTATGACCGACTTCCGGAGTGGTTGGTCCCTTGGCCATCTCAAATACTTGTTCCCCATCCAGTGTGGATCGATTATCTTCCTTGGTACATGTCCTAGGCAATCTGAAGTTGTTAATTATATGCACTGACTTGACCATTTACAAGGCCTCGTATGCGCGACAAGTTGGTCTATCACTACCATGAATATCCATTTGAAGACTTCTTTGCGCCTTTTACGACTACTCTCTCCATTAATTGGCCATATAATCCTGCCGACACGCTGATGACGAAACCCGAATCGGAAGAGCTTGTCCTCAGCCCGCTCTTCAATCGCCATTTTCAGAATTTACATAATTGGTCTCTTGGTCCCGCTTTTGCCGCAGCGCTTCCTGGGCTGGCTGAGACCGCAAGGATAGAAGGGGGTACAGAAAGACCATTTATGTCACAGAGGAGTCAAGATACAGCCCATGCACAAGTCTTGTCATCTCATCCTCGAGGCTGAAACTGGTTTTGATTCTACCGGGCGTTGGATTTGTTCCACCGGGGCCGCACAAGGAAATCGTATGCTGGGGACATTACGTATAACTTAAACGAGACCCTTGAAATTGAGCGTCGGCAGCTCATCTCGGTTAAGGCTCCCCGCCACCTGGGCCTAAACGGCAGCCCGCTCGCACCGACTTTCTGCACTAAAATCTCTCCCGTGTCCCCAGATCCTAACACGGACGTCTAATTTCTGCATGGTTGCTTGTTTTTTCCCCAAGGGCTCCACAATGCGGTATAAATACCTAACATGTCAGCAACTTTCCACAGAGTGGTTTCGAATTTATCAGCAAAAAACCAGTTAGAGAGTATGATACGGTCTTATCCGTGTTATCGCCCGCTGCCCCTGCGATTGCGTGATTACGCAGGATGTGGTACAATCAAGGGCGCCTCACCACATTCTGAATAATCGCCAACGCCAGTGCACAGCTCCTTAAAATGCCAGTATGCGCTGTGCGTGAACTGCATTTCTTGGCCGTCCCATCGACGCCATGATGGATTCTTCCGAGTCGGACACAGCCCTCTCGTCGACTGAACCCAGCTCATTAAATGGATCAACCCGCGACGCACTCGGGGATAGACCGACCGATGCGGGACCAGGAGCAGAAATCGGGACTCTGACGTTGAAAGAAGATGTCGCTGGCGGTTTGGGCAGGCATCTTGGCATTGTCTCGACAACATTTCTCATGTATGCTTACTTGAGTAACAAGTTATCCCCATGATGTAATGAACTTGGACCGTCTAACTTCTTTTCTCACAGTATCGGAAGAATGGTTGGTACTGGAATATTTTCGACCCCATCGTCGATTACCAACAGTGTTGGCAGCGTCGGCGCTGCTTTGCTGCTCTGGGTCTTCGGACTAGCCATCTCCTTTGCTGGGTTGTTTGTTTGGCTCGAACTGGGTTGCATGTTCCCTCGCAGTGGAGGGGAAAAGGTTTATCTGGAAGCCACTTATCGGCGGCCTAAACTTTTAGTGACTGTTGTTTTCTCCGTACAAGCAATTCTTCTTGGCTTCACTGGTATGAATTCGACTACTTCCAGATTATCACTGAATAAATTTCAATATACCAACTACTCTTTCCAGCTACGGCATGCATCGTCTTTGCAACCAATATTCTGCTTGCGGCGGACCGCGTAGCCACAGAATGGGAGGCGCGCGGTATCGCCATTGTTGTCATGACTGTCATTACACTTTTGCACATATTCACGCCAAAGGCTAGCGTGCGAATCATGAACGCCATCGGAAGCGTCAAGATTTTCGTTCTCTTATTCATTGTTGCAACGGGATGGGTGGTTTTGAGTGGCAAAGCACCCAATGTCCCCAATCCTGGAGCCAGCTTTCACCACCCATTTGAAGGTTCTGTTACATCCAGTAATCCTTATGCGACTGCATTGTTCAAAGTCTTGAATTCTTTTGCTGGGTAAGCTTTTTTTTTTTTTTTTCAGTTGCCCCTTGAGACTGCTTTGCGTTGAATCGTTTAACACGCAAATTTCCAATTCCAGGTGGTCCAATGCAGCCTATGTCCTCAATGAAGTCAAACGGCCGGTCCGTACCCTCAAAATCGCTGGTCCTCTTGCCCTCGCCACCTGCGGCCTTCTTTATATACTCGCAAACGTATCGTACTTTTCTGTCGGCACGCCACAAGAGATTGCCCATAGCGGCATTACCGTTGCTTCATTCTTTGTCGGCCGCGTCTTTGGCGCCACTGCCGAGCGCATACTCAGGTGTGTGTCCTCTCTCCCTCCCTGTGGCTTGTTTCTGTTCCTCCTTTTTGCCAACAACACTCTTTCTTTCTTTCTAACACATCTTGCACAGCGTCTTCGTCGCCATATCTGCTTTTGGCAACGTCATGACTGTAACTTTTACCCGGGCGCGTCTCAACCAGGAACTCGCCAAAGAGGGTGTCGTTCCTTTTCCCCGCTTCTGGGCATCCACCTGGCCCGTTGGATCTCCCTCTGCCGGCTTGCTTTTACACTGGATCCCCTCGTTTGTTGTTATCGCCGCTATTCCCTTTGGCGACGCATACAATTTCATCATTGACCTCGAAGGATATCCCGGCTCCATCCTCAGCTTCTTCGTCGTTCTCGCAGTCTTTCTCCTCCGCTTCGACCCAGAGACGAAACACCTCCCTCGCCCTTTTCGCGTTCCCCTTCCAATTGCCGGATTTTTTATGGTCGGCCAGACTTTTCTCCTCGTCGCGCCCTTCCTCAGACCACCAGGCGGCAAAGGCGACACTTCGTTGCCCTATTGGCTCTACGCCGTCGTCGGCACCGGCATCCTCTTCTCAGGTGTTGTCTATTGGGTCGTCTGGATGAAAATCCTGCCCTACTTGGGCAAGTACGAATTGCAAGAAACCAAGACTCACCTGCGGGATGGAACTGTCGTTACGGTCTTTGAGAAGGCCAAGTACAATCTTGCTCTATAACGAGTTCATGTCCTAACTCTTACAATGGAGTTTTCTCTAGAGTTGATGTCTACCATTTTTCGTATTACTTCCCTTTTATTTGTTATTTATGCCATCACACGGCGTTGGAGAAGGTCAAAGACTCAAGTCTAAAGGATCGTGTTTATTTTTTTTTTTTCTCTCCAGGGGTTTCATTTTGATTTTATTGTTTATTTTCTTAATTTTATTTTTTCTTTTTTGAGAGAAGTGGAAATTTTGGAGTATGGCGCTTTACATCACAGCTTTAGGGACCAAGGCCTGGGATAGCTTGCTGCTTTTAGGTAACTTACTACTTGTCATTGTGCGTGAATAGATCACATTCAATACGCAAAGCAGTGTAACTTACATTCTTTACATACCTTATGTACCATGTATAGCGGACACGACATACTAGGTAGCTTGATTGCCTTCCCTTTCCTTACCTTACCTTAGATCCTGTCATGACGCGTAGCACACTTCCACTTCCAATGCCATGTGAATCGGACGAATATTAGGAGATTTAAGAAACAAAAGTGGGAAAAAAGATTATCTACAAATTATTTATTTCCCCTTTCCACCCCTCTCTATATCGCCTATCTGCCTACCTACCTACCTACCTACAGTAGAAGAAGAATAAGAGACAATATTGGACAAGAGATATAGAAAGGGGGGG